GGGATGTGCTTCTTTGACCATGCTGCGTGCGCGTCTAAGTCTAGGTCTTGGCTAGGCTTGTCGCGTGAGGTTGAGATGTGCTTGCATGGCAAGGTGGCCTGCTGGCGTTTCAAGGCAGGCAGGCTGCTTTCTTCGCAGGAGGCGAAGGACGTCTGTGAGAGAGTCGTGCTGGCAGGGGGTGCTGGTGCTAGGTGAAAGGCATGCCCGCATCATGCAAGATCAGGGGTGACGTGCAAGCAAGGAAAGAGGAGGTGTTCGTCTAGCATGGACCTGCCTTCGGGTGGGAAGTTTGATGAGGTTCCATGCTAGACTCTCGGAACGAGAGTCTTAGGATTTCGATTGCGCTGGGTATAGGGCCTCTCTACGACGCCCGGGCGGAGCGCTCCCCAAGTCCGTGAGTCCCCAGAGGCTCCAACATCCCTTACACAGACCTCCGGGAGGATCCTTTAAAGGGATCTAAGGGTTTAGAGTTGAGGGTTTAGGGGTTTAGGGTTTAGGTTCTAGAAAGTAGATTTGGTGCTCTATATTACTAAGGGTACTTTATAGGAACCCCCATTAAGGGATGTACTTTTTGGATCCTCCCGGGGGTCTGGGTAACTAAGGAACATACCTTAAGTTATAGTAGGATCCCTAATATGATTTAAGGAATATATTCCGTACTTCCCTTACAGAACCCTTTATGGATCCCTTAACGGAACCCTTGAAAGGAACTTCAACATCGTTAATGAAAGGATTGGAGTCTCTGGGTCGTCAGGCGGAGGATGACGAGTTCTGGATGCGGGTAGAAGCCCGCCGCGAGGTGCCTGCGCTTGGTATTGGGGCTTAGGGTTTAGGGCTCCGGGTTTAGGGTTGGGGATTTGGGGTTCAGGGCTCAGGGTTTGGGGTTTAGGGTTGAGGGAGGGCTTAGGGAGTAGGGCTTTGAGAGTTGAGAGTTTCGGGTTGAGGTGTTTTTTTGGACTGTGAGCGATGTCCTGGGTGTTTTGCGGGTTTAGGCTTGGCGGCTTGAGGCTTGCGGCTCATGAGCTTCAGGTTCCGGGTGTGGGTTCAGAGTTTGAAGTTTCAGAAATTGTGGCAGGATCATGCTTCATCTTCCACGGAAGCCCTAAATCTAAAACCCTGAGCTGAACCTTAAACCCTGAATTCTACACCCTGAAACCCCAGGGCTTTCAGATTTGACGCAAACTCTACTTCGTTATTCAAGGTCCTTAGGTTTAGGATAGGGTTTGGCGATTAGGGTTTCGGGCTAATGGGTTAGGGCTTACTTTTGTGACGTAGAGCCGGACTGTAAGTGGGCCAGAATCCTGGCCTGAACCTCCAGGTGTGCATGCTTTTGCTTGAGTCCGCTGGCGGTTTCCTAACTTCAATGAGGGCTACCACCAATCCGGTGTCCAAAAATAAAGGACCCTCGTCTTCAAGTTTTCTGGAGCCCCCTGGGTCCTTGAACAGATTCACGTGAGAACTTCCGCATGTCCCTATACATCACGCTAATGGGACTCCAAAACCCCGTGGTGCAGTGTGTAGGGTAGGATTCTGTTTGCAAACTCGAATTTTTCGTCCTTTTCTGTCTTCCGAAGGCGAGAGATCGACAGCATCAGGGCAGAACCCCGAACTCTGAACCCGACACTCCCTACACCCACAGGGTTTAGGGTTTAGGTGTTTAGGGTTCAGATGAGGGCTCCTTGTATGGATCCTACTATGTTGGGGTCATAGGCCTTCTTAACCAGGTTCCTACATCAGACCCCCAAAATTACACTCGTTTCGCCCTTTGTGGACCATAATAGTAAACCCTGAACCGAAAAACAGCCCTCAACTCCCAACCTTCGCGATCTGCCACCCCCGCCCCGCCCTTAAAGCAGAACAAACTGTTGATGATATAAATCCTGCATCACCCATAGTAAGAAATATACCATTATTCCCATAGTTTAGGGTCCTTAAGGTAATGCAGGATTTGTATCATCAACCGTAGGTTCCTTTTCGGCTTTCGGGTTGCCAATTGCGGGAGTTGGGGAGATCTGGGGGCTTCGGTGTCCGAGGGATCGTGGCTTCGGCAAGGAGCTCGGGGATCGACTCCTTGAGTCGTACCTTGATCCTGAGGGACCTACCTTTTTAGGGTTTCCTGATTCCTGGACCCTAAGGAACCTACCTTTTTAGGGTTCCCTAATATGATTTCTTTATATAAGTCCTTAAAAAGGTAGGTTACGTGGGCTTAAGATTATGGTTTCCTTATATGAGTCCTGAAAAAGGTCGGGTATTTGGGGGGTTAAGGTAAGCAAAAGACGAGGCGCGGGCGCGAATGGTCACCATCCGAAGCGACGAGGAGTGAGGGTGCGCAGAGAGGGTCGATTGACCACAAAGCCTAAACCTGCAACCATAAGCCCCAAGAGCGAAACCCTAGGCCCGATAACCCAACCATAAGCCCCAAGAGGGAAACCCTAGGCCCTAAACCCCAACCATACGCCCCAAGAACGAAACCCCAAGCCCTAAACCCCAACCAGCACCCCCAAGAACGAAACCCTAAGCCCTAAACCCCAACCATACGCCCCAAGAACGAAACCCCAAGCCCTAAACCCCAACCATAAGCCCCAAGAACGAAACCCCAAGCCCTAAACCCTAAACGCCCAACCCTAAACCCTACAAAGCCCCAAAGGCTTGAAATCTACCACCCTACGTGCCGCAAACCCGAAGCCTGAAGCTTGAACCTCCAAACCTAAGGTTTAGGGTTTAGTTTAGAGTTAAGGGTTGAAGGCTTTGGGGTTCTACCTGTAGCCTCCATTGTAGTTCCTTTTTGGGGTTACCTTACAGGATCTTGGCAATTTTTTGGGGCTTTTTAGGGGTTTAGGGTTTAGGGTAACCATGAATAACTTACCTTTTTAGGAACCTTATATAAGGAAATCATAATAAGGAACCCCCAAAGAGGTAGCTTATTCAGGGTTAAGGTTGGGTGTATAGTGAACCACAGAAAGTTGGAACATAGATTTTGGATGGTTCATGCTGGGATTCCCTATACTTTACTTTAAGCGTGTGAGGCTCATGATGTTCCAACTTTCTGGTTTCTATTGTGGGTCTGGGGAAACTCGAAGCCTTGTAGACCCCTTTTCAATGAGACACAGGAGTTTCAGAAGACCCGAAACCCTAACCCTAATCTAGGGCACAAGCCCTCAGGTAGAAAGAAGCCCCGAAGACGAGTATGAAGACTCCCGCCGACCAAGACAAAAAGGATACATCAAGTGAGAAGACCTCGTCGCAAGCCCTTCAACCACCCTAAACCCTAAACCCTCAACCCTACATCCTAAACCCTAAACCGTGCAAAAGAGCCCTCAACACACTTTGGCTCTCAGCCAAGGCCACCTACTTTTAAGCAGATCCCCCACTACCATGGCGCGGTCGTTCTGCGCCCACCGAGTCTCGAGCGCTCGGTTCGACAAAAGGCAGAACTACGGTGGATGATGTAAATCTTGCATTACCTTAAGGATCCTAGACGATGGGAATTATGGTATATTCCTTATTATGGGTAATGCAGGATTTATATCATCGACCGTATGATATTTGGCATATTTCGGGCGTTTAGGATTGTAGAGTTCAGGGGGGTTTAGTTTTTTTTTCCCAGGGTTGGGGTGTTTAAGCTGTTTAGGGGGTAGGCCTGAGGCTGGAGGGTTTTGGTTAACCGAGCTTGAAAGCCGACGTTAACCCCCACAGAACCTTCCGTTTTTACCGTTTATAGGGTCCAGGTAAGACTGTACAACCTACAGTCCACGACTTCAAAGCGCAAGCCCGCGAATCGCAAGCACAAAACCCGAACCCAAGCCCTAGTCACGCCGACACCTGTGTGTTACAGGGGCCTGGTTAGGGGTTTCACCGGTCTGGGGTTTAGGGTTTGGGGTGTAGGGTTTAGGGAATATTCTTCTCCGGGTTTCTTGCTTAACTTAGCATGTTTCAAGAAATACCAGAGCGAAAACCCTAGTCGCTCCCTACTTGGAGGTTCATGGGTAGTTATAAGTAGGGTTATAAGTAGGGTAACTATACTTATAACCCATATTAGGGGACTTATAGCCTTACTTGTTTCTACCCTAAACCCCCGAACCCTAGTCCGCTGTATTTGTTTTTGCGGATTGCTGTGGAAGGGCCACCGGCTGTCCGATTCCAAACACGCTTGGGGTTTTGGGTTTTCGGGTGTAGGAGCAGGGTTTAGGGTTTAGGAGCAGGTTCTGGGATTTCGGGTTTTCGGATTTCAAGCTTTCGTGTGTACGGGGGTTCAGGGCCTTTGTGGGGCGGAACTGTTTTGTCATAGGAGGGCCAAAAGGGGTTTTAGCCTATGACGGTTTAGGAGGGATTCGGGTTCCCATAATGGGGTTCATATTAAGGAATCCCTACCCCAAGAATCTTAAACTCCCCTTTTGGCCTCCCATCATTTACAGTAAACCCCATAAAGTTGGAAGCAGGGTTAAGGCCAAATAGTGCTGGGATTCCCTATACATTACTCTTAAGGATTGAGGCTATTGGGTTTCCAACTTTTGGGCTTCTACTGTGGGGCTGGGTTGAGAATTTGGTTCTGAGCTCCCTACGTAGCTTGAAGGGTTTTTGTGTGACGCGACTGCCGCCATGAGTGGCCTGCTGGGAAGCAGACCTTAAACGCTGAACCCTAATCCCTAAACACCAAACCCTCAACCTTTAATCCTAAACCCAAGTCCCAAACACCAAACCCGAGATAGTAAACCCAAACCCTAAACCTTAAACCCGAAGGTTTAAACCCTAAACCCTAAATCCTAAACCTTGACCCACGAAACCAACATGACACCCTCAAGCTAAATGGGGGTTTCCGAAAATGAGGGACGCCAAGAAAGTCCCCTCCCTAACTAGTAGGATCCTTATTATAAGGACTCAAAATAGGGTACTCCTCATCTTCGGAAGCTCCAAACCCTAAACCCTTTATAGAACTCTTATAGATCCCTTCAAGGAACCCTTAAAGGATCCCTTTTAAATCTTCCTTTGACCTCTGGGCCATGGCTGGGGGAGAGTGGTCCCGGCGACTCCTTCAACTGCTCTTGCTCGCTTGGGCAGGCACTTGGAGGATCATGGGACTTAGTAAGTATGGTTATAAGTACCTTAATTGGGGTTCTAAGTACTTGTTAGTATAGTTACCCCAATAGTAACCTTAGTTACTAAGTCCCATGATCCTTTAAGCAGCGTCACTTTACGGAGGAGGTTTTTTGGTTTAGGGTTTATGGGCTTAGGGTTTGGGGTTTACTGTTTCGGCTTTGGAGTTTAGGGTTTACGGCTTCGGGCTTCGGCTTAAGGGTTGACGGTTTCGGGTTCGGAGTTTCGGGGCTTTTAATTTAGAGTTTTGGGGTTAGGCAGGGGTACCGCGCTCACGGGTTTAGTGTTTCAGGGTATAGGGTTTATGAGTTTGGGGTGTCTGGCTAGCGGTTCGCCAATATACCATATGTATACAGACCCGAAGCTCGAGTCGAAGGTTGTTTCGTTGAAAGCTTAACACATAGAAGCTTCGAAGACTAGTTGGTGTGCATTAAACTTAGTAAACATTCTCAACAGCAGCTGATACTACCAGTACTGATTCATAGGTTGTGATAGTTCGTAACAGCCAAAAACAACTATTAGTAGCAATTCATTTCCTAATGCAAGTCAAAAATGTTCATGACCTGTCAGCACGGATTACCACGATCATACCGGTAAGAGCAAAAGCAGATGACAAAAAGACGACGACTACTACTCGTGCTGTTTCACTGCTCTACGACAGCAACACTTGCTCCTACTGCTGCTCTGCTGCTGGTGGTTGTTGTTGTGGTGGTGGTGGTGGTGCTGCTGCATCAACAACAACAGCAACTGCTGCCGCCACGGCTGCTGCACATGCTACTAATACTTATGCTAACAATGCGATTGCACCAGAAAGTATTAATGATGACAACAATACTGACAAACAGCAGCAATGCTAATAATAGTAGCAGTAGTAATACGATCAGCAAGGACAGTAATGCATATCAGCAATGACTAAGCAAGCGCCAACGTTAGTGGAATTGTCAACCGCAATAACAACAGCGCTAGTTCAATAGTACTACAGTGTAAAACCGCGAAGGCGACAATAATAATGACTCACACCCAACATTTTGTACAGACATGATGTGTATATATATATATATAGATATATACACATACAAAGGGGCTTAGGGTTTGCTCAATTTTTGTGTTGGTTCGGTGTGCCACTGGGATGAAATTCATACTTAGGGTGTAGCATTTGGAGGTTAGCATCTAGGCTATCGAAAATGGCTTGCATGGTTACGACGCGAATAAGAAGCATTCTCGCAAAAGCCCCAAGCCCTTTTCCCTAAACCCTGCACCCGAAAAAGCTCTAAACCCTAAACACTTTCTCGCATGCAAGTCCCGGAGGTCTGTGTCTATTGTGGTGCACGTACTTCTACGTGAACTTGCCTGTGATCTCGATTGAGGATGCTGACGCTTTGACGGCTCGGCATACCCTTTGCCTGCGCAGGCTTACTAAGCCCAGGGACCAAAGCCTAAAGTTACATGGGTGTTTCCGAAAATAGGGGACCCTAAATAGTAGGATCCTTCTTGTAAGGACCCCAAAATAAGGTACCCCCCCAATTTTCGGAAACTCTCACTTTGCGAGTTGTGAAGGAAGCAGGGCAGATTAGCCCTGAGCTTGAACTTCTAAAACTGCCGGGACCTTTCAGTGGAACCCAAAAGTAACTGATAATGACTGGGCCGGTTAAGGGAACCCTGAAAGAACCCTTTTCGGAACCCAAAAAGTAACCGTATAAACCCTAAACCCTAAACCCCTAAACCCTAAACCCTAAACCCTAACTCAAAGGAAGTCTGTAGCAATCCTTCAGGGCCTTGAGGGAGAAGGCTGGTTGCCTTGGGTTTAGGGTTTAGGGTTTAGGGTTTAGGCTTTAGGGTTTAGGGTTTAGGGTTTAGGGTTTAGGGTCCAGTTGTCGTCCGATTATGCCAGGAGTAGTGGCTACACCCCTCAGCCCCGCAGCCCTGAACATTCTTGCCTAAACCCTATACGGGAGTTTTCCGAAAATAGGGGACCCTAATATAGTACCCTAGATAGTAGGATCCTTATCATAAGGAGCCCAAAATAAGGTACCCCTAATTTTCGGAAACCTCCCATACCGACCTGTTTTCCCCAAACCCTAAACCCTGAAAGCAGAAGCCCCGCTCAGGAAGTGTGTCCGAGCGGATCTGAGCTGGGAGGTGTCGAGACATGCCAGAACCCCAGTCCGCCCACAGTTTTGGGATTTAGGTTTTAGGGGTGTATGGTTTAGGGGTTTAGGATGTTGGGGTTTGAGGTTGCTACTGCTTCTACGACGGCAGTAGCAACTACTCCTACTGTTACCGCTATGACTGCCAGGACCGCTAGGACTGCTGCGACTGCCACGACTACGACTGCTACGAGTACGACTGCCACGACTGCTTCTACTGCCACTGCTGCTGCTACTTGCACTGTTACCACCAGCACCCGTCAAATGAGGTTTGAGGATTGGGGTCTTGGGTTTACATCTAGGGCCTGGGCGTGATCTATGTTTTCGGATGTAGGATTCGCTATCTAGCAAGAGCGATCGTGCGCGCAATCAGTGGTGTCAGTACTGAGCACACAGCACCATACACAGGCTCAACACCAGGCAGATAAAGAAGTCTTGAGTTGGTGTCCACGTGCCCAAACCAAGGCGAACCCAGAATTCCCCACAAACCCTGAGCACAAATGTCCGCAGTATTCTAGTCCCAAAGCATGGACCCAAAAATTTTGAATTCAAAGCACTGATCACAAAGCCCCCGACGATCCTCGTGCCCGGAAGGCAATGCGACACGCCGGGAGGGGCCGTGCTTCGGAGGAACCTTGGAAGTCCCGTGCAGATGTGCAGAGGGCTACCAGCCTTACATCCACAGGCGCTCCGATGTGTCGAGAAAGTCAGAGTTCCTGCTGAAAGGATAGGGGGACATGAAGCGGAAGTGGGGCAGACGTGGGAGTTCCAGGTAGGATGACTCCAATCAGGGTACTCATCGTTGCATACCAAGAGTTTAGCGGTTTAGAGCTTGATGGTTCAGGTGGAAATAGGTGGCGAGGATCCTGCCTTATCATCTGGAACTCTTGTCGCATCCTCAGCCTTTCTCTAAACCCTAAACCTCAAACCGTACTATTTTTGTGGTTCTTTACAGTCTGAACATGCTCTGCCCTTGTCAGCTCTTATCGTAGATAGAACGCAGAACCCGAGCCTCAAGATACGCGAGGCACACTTGGAGGTTGAGGGGTAGTCATAAGTAGCGTTATATGTTCCCTAATGTGGGTTATAAGTATAGTTGCGCTACTTATAACCCTCTTCTAACTACCCATGAACCTCCAAACAGCCCATCACAAATCCTCAGACGCACGCTCCGAAACCCGGAACCAAAGCTCCAAAAATCTCCAGGAACCTGATTAAGAAACCTTGGGCCTTCATAATGGCTCCTCATATGAAACCTTCTATTTTGGGGCTATAGGCCCAGGAATTCTTAATCAGGTTCCTACATTAGTCGATCAATCTTCTTCGGGTGCTTTGATTTAGGCAGACTGTCTCAAGGGGTAACAGAGCACCCAACAATCAGACACAGCTCCTGTATTTGGCCCACTGACAGCAGCCGCCTATGGGTTTGTCCATGGTTTTCCTTAAGCCCTAAACCCTCAAGCATACTTTTCCTAAGCAGGAGGTCGCAACCGAACAGGGAACCTCAAGCCCACAAACATAGGCTCGAAACCCGAGTCCTAAACCAATCTAGGCTTCTAGTACCTCTACAAAACCCTCATAACGCCAGAGTTGAGGTTTTAGAGTTTAAGCATCCCAAAAACCCAGCATCATACCTCATGGCTAGGTCAAGACCCCAACCCCAAAAAGCCAAAACCCCCAAGCCCACCAAGCCCTAGACCCTATACGCCCGAAATCACGAAAATTTATAATTCAGATATCTCAAAGGGTACAAACAGCGGTGGCATCGGTCGATACACCCCAAACCCTAAACCCTAAGCCCTAAACCCTCAACCTCAAGCCAGTCCTAAACCCCTAAACCCGAGACCCCTACACCCCTATAGATCCCTTGTAGATCCCTTAAAGGAGCCGTTAAGGATTCCTTACAGCCCCCTTAAGCTGCCCTAAACCCGAAGCCCCAAAAGTGTCTCTCCAGCCCGTGGCCCGAAATCTTTGCATCGGAGTCACCGAAAAAAACACCGGGCTTTTACTTGAAGGGATCCCTGTACTGTAGGGGTTCCTTAAAGAGATCTATAAGGGACCCTTTAAGGGATCTATATAGGGTTTGGGGGTTCCTTTACAGTAAACCCCAGAAAGTTGGAAACCGGATTAAGGACAAATAGTGCTGGGATTCCCTATACATTACTCTTAAGGATTGAGGCTATTGGGTTTCCAACTTTTGGGCTTCTACTGTATTTGAATATGGCTTGAGGGCTATGGGGTTTAGGGTTTAAGGTTTAGGGTTTAAGATTTGGGGGTTTAAGGGTTTAACGGCTTAGGGTTTCGGGTTTATTGTTAAGGGTTCAGGGTTTGAGATTAATGGCAGTTCTCTGAGCTATATTGGTGGTTCATTCTAGTGCGGAGAACACCCAGAAGCAGGAACCCGCCGGTTCTGTAGGCTGTAGGGAAGCCCTGGACCCCAAAACCGTCCAGGTAAACCCCACCGGAGCCAACATCCGGCGCCAAGCCTTGTGCCAGGTTCACTCTTGCACAAGAGGCCTATGAATTTCGCTGCTGCTCGCAAAGCGACAGAAGTATAGAAGGCGCGACGGCTTAGAATCTTGAGCTTTACGAGTAGAGATCTTTCTTGTGGCGGGGCTCAGGGTTCAGGCGACCGACTCGGCCAGAACCTAACTCAGTCGTGCGCCTGAGGCCCCCCACCAGGCCATGCTAGGAGGGGGTGGGGGGCATTGACTCAGGGTTTAGGGTTTAGGGACATGATCTGACTGTTCGAAGCATGTTTGTGAAGACCCGAAGAAAACCATGCTTCAACCCCTGAACCACCCCCAACCTTTGGAAGGGTCCTCTATAAACAGCATGACCCAAACCGCTGAAGCCTCAATCCACAGCCCGAGAGGCTTCATAGCCTCAGACATCTAGACTGCAGAACCCACCTCCTGCGACGTAGAAGCTTAAATGCATGCCACTATTATTCCTATTCCGAGTGTTCCTTTATTATTTATTATAGTTCTACTTTAAAAGAGCCCAAAGCCCTACTTTAATTATTAATGTTATTCCTAGTGTTCCTTTATCATAGTTCTACTTTAAAAGAGCCCAAAACCCTAAAAAAAAACCCTTAAGGCCCCTACAGTAACTGGAGGGCCTCCGTGTGGGGATCCGGCCCTGTTGGGCGTGCTGGCCCCGCTCTTCATGGGCGTCGGCGCCTTCGGATTCCTGGTGCCTGATCTTGTGCGATGTTCTTAAACCTTAAGCCCTCAACCCCAAACCCCTAAACCTTTAAACCCCTAATTCCCTAAACCCTAGACCCAACGTTTGGGTGCTGTTCTGGGCTCCTAGACCGAGTTTGCATTGATCTTCGGATGCTTATGGGTATATGGGGGAGGATTCGGTTTGGGGTTGTTAGCAGTCTTTCGTTTTACAGTAGGGCTGAGTGGGCTTCTTGGTATTTTGGATTGGGGTGATTGGGGTTTCGCGGCTTCAGGTGTGTTGCGTAGGCTTGTCTTTTGATAGTTCGACAGCCACTTCTACAAGCCACGTACCAAAGCCCACAGCCCAAGGAGAAGCAGACCCTTTGCATCTTTACTTCATTGAAAGACAGACGATACAGATCCGAAACCAGACGAAGCGATCCCAAACTCTGAACCGCTAAACTCCGACGCCACTAAACCTAACCGTAAAGCCCTAAGAACTAAGCCAAATACCTTAAACCCAAAATCCTAGTCCTAGCTTACCATGGACCCAGTTGCGTACCCCCTGGACCCGTAACCCTACAACTCTGCATGTCAAACCCCTTGGCCCTGAAACCAAAGCCCCAGGAAAAGAATTTGACCTTGGAGTCCGAGCACCGGTTTGCATCCGCTGTATATCTTGAACCCTACACGAAAAGCCCAACCCCACCAGAATCGTCGTGCAGCCCAACTTAAGCAAGGGCACCAAGTAAGGGACATTCGAATGTCGTGTATGGCATCCTGGGCAAGAACAGCGCTCTACACCCCTGCCATCAAACCGTCTAACAGAATGTAGAAGCCCTACTAATTGGATGCGGGTCTTGGGACAGAGTATACCATAAATAGGAACCATACGGGAATACTACTAGTAATCATTCCGACCCACATATATAGATCAACTGGACCAAGGTGTGCGTCTACTTCATCCACTGCGCCACGGCCGCCCCTGAATCGTTGAGGCCGGATGTGGGCGTGGGGATTAGGATTTACAGACTTGAAAACTCAAACCTAGACCCTGAACCCTAAGCCCTGAACCCTGAACCCCAAACTCCAAATTCTAAACCGTAACCCTAAATTCCCTAAATCCTAACTTCCTACCCCCATGCTCTAAACCCTAAATCCTACGTATGGAGGGTCCGGTCTCAAAGTGAGACATGGCTTTAGTGCGCATACAGCTGAGAGGTTCGGGTTTACATTCAATGCTTAAGGTGTTCTGTTTAGGGCTTAGCGCGAAGCCAGAAACCCTAAGAATTCGGGTCAAGTGCTGGCTATGAAGCTCTGAAGCCCAAAGCCCAAAACCCTTAAGCCCAAGCCAGGAGCCCAGGAATGCAAGTTCAAGGAACCCATTCAACACCCTAAAGCCTAAACCCGGAAGCCCGAAATCCACTCGCAGGCCCGAGGACCAGGAAATCGAAGCTCCCGTCGTTCGGGACGGCGCGCATCTTCACAATTCTGTGGAGATGAGGCGTCTACAGTTTAGGGTCTAGGCTTTAGGGCTCGAGAGTCAAAGGTCTGGAATTTGCAGATGCCCTAAACCCTAAACCCTGAAACTCTAAACGCCTAAACCCTAAACCTTAAGCCCTAAACCCTAAACCGAGTCTATGGTTTAGGGTTTAGGGGGTCAGGGTCGCTGCAGCTCGAAACCCAGAAAAGCAGCCCCCCTAAACCGTAAGCCAAAGAATGTCCTGAGGATTCAAACTTCCAGACTTCAAGGTGTTTCGGGCTCCGGGGTTCTAGGGTTCACCTGTGGCCTAAAAGACCTGCCATTTTAAGGAACTCTATATGTAGAAACCATAATAAGGAACCTAAAGACCTACCATTTTAAGGAACTCTATGTAGAAACCATAATAAGGGACCCTGAAAAGGTAGGTCTTTTCGGCTACAGGCAGGGTTTAGGGTCTTTAGGCCTGAAGCTGTGAGATTTAAGACACGGGCCAGCCCTGAAACGCTTACCCAGATTTTTGGGAGGCCCTAAAGGGATCTAAGGGTTTAGAGTTTAGGGTTTAGGGGTTTAGGATTTAGGGTTTAGGATCTAGAAAGTAGATCCCCTACTGTAATTTGGGGCCCTATACTACTGAGGGTGCTTTTTCGCAACCCCCATCAAGGGATCTACTTTTTGGATCCTCCCGGGGGTCTAGGTAAGTCAGTTTAGGTCAGGCTGGGTAAACCCTTGCCCGTAACCTAGACCCTAAACCCTAAACCCTGAACCCTAATCCCTAGACCTGGACAAACCAAGAACCCTAAACTCCATCTCTGCGAGGAAATGGGCCGTCTCCCTCAGCGATATTCAGCAGTTTCGCCGGCTCGTTCTTGAAGCCGTCCGTGATGGGAGGATCCTGGATTCCCGTTTCAAATCGTTTCTTTAAGGTTTAGGGATCCATGTTAGTATAGTTAGAAGGGGTTGTTGTCCCGACTCCGGTTTCGGAGCCCCGAAACTAAACTCGGATTAAACGATTTTCAGGCTGCTCATAGCGTTGTCGAGAGGATGCGTGAGATTGTATGAGGTGTTTTATGGGAGGGTTCAACATACATCCCTGATTGGTAGACGACCCCTTCCTCAATGAGGATTGTAGCAGGGATCCTACAATGAAGGCCCGGGTTGAGAATTCTTCCATGTTACCGGATCCGAATCACTTGGCTCATGTATTAAAGGATCTTCGTCACGGGTAGGATCCCAGATGAATCTCTAGAGCCTTGAGCTGCCTGTAATCCGAATCCCTACGTAGCAGTTTTCGTGACCCCCTTATTCTACCTATACCATTTTTAGGGGTTCCTTATTAATATATGTATAGTATAATCTACACCCAAACCCTGTTCTAATTGTTAAGGCTCCGATATTTCAGGGGTTCCTTATGATAATTATGGTATAATATACATCAAAGCTTTGCTCAAATGATCTAAGACCCCTTTTCTACTTGCACCCACAGGCGAACCCTTGCAAGAACCTGTGTTGCATCCCTTAAGGGTCCCTTGGAAGGAACAATTAGGGTTTAGGGTTTAGGGTTTAGGGTTTAGGGTTTATCGGAACAATTACAGGAGCCCTTATGGGAACGAACCCTGCAAGGAGCCTCAAGACAACTCTCAAAGCATCCGAAAAAGAAGCCCTTTAAGGGTACTTGGATTTCTTAAACGGTTTCTTGAAGTGTTCCTTTGAGGGTTCCGGGTTCCTTCCTTCAAGGCTTTAATCGAGCCCGAACCCTTGCTCCAGCCGCCCGGAGGATCAAGCCTACCGACCGGGACGCCTTCGATCCTTCCGATTTCACTCAAGGGCCCTCCATGTACACGGTGACGGAGCAGTGACTGGGCTACAGGGTTCGGGGTGCGGGTTTAGGGTTTTACCTGGAGCTGTAGAAAGGTTGTAGGGGGCTTCTGTAAGGGTTTCTTCGGGGTGTGATAGGGGCCTGCTTAGAGGATCAGCGGCCTGAGTAAGTACGCTCACAACAGGTAAACATCCTTAGCTATAATGACTACATGTTGCCGTAGTTTCAGTACTTACAACCCCATCTGCATGTGTAGCCGCTAGCCTCAAACCCAACGAAGAGTATAGAAGCCTGAATTTTGGAACATTGATCCCTATGATTCCTTATTATAGCTGCACAGCAATATGAACCAAAACCCTATTGTAATTACAGAGGCCTCCGTATTTGTATGTTATGGCCCTTGAGTAAACGGTGTACCATGTAAGGCATGAGATTATTGGAGTCAGAGGTACACCTCATCTACGGGTCTGGATCATCAACAGTGATACCATCCCTTTATAGTCCTGATTCAGTTATACTGTAACCTACGCCAAGCCCAATACCTACTCAATAAGTCCTCCACATATGGGTAGTTGTCTACATTAGGGTCCCTTCTTAGGTCCGCAAAATAGTGGGCAGCCTTTTTGAAAGAGCCCAAAACGAATCTAGGGAACTACCCACTTTACTTGGTCGTGATCTTGCAGGAAGGCGATGTCAGGGGCTTGTCGGCACGCGTAGATTGCGATTTACGCTTTAGGTTTTAAGGCTTCGAGGCCTTCTTGTCATGGCTTAGATTTAGGTCTCCTAGGTTTTAGGACTTTCGATTTGGTTTTTTGGGGATGTAGTCAGGTTTGAAAAGGGGGTTTGGCACCTTTTCACACAAATACTTGGAGGTTCATGGGTAGTTATAAGTAAGGGTTGTAAGTAGGGTAGCTATACTTATAAGCCATATTAGGGGACGTATAACCCTACTTATAACTACCCATGAACCTCCAAGTAGTTGGATTTCCGGGTGCGGATCCGGCAAAAGCCCCAGATCGCCAGTCTTGCGATCTTCGGTACGCTTGGGCTCTCTGGGTTTCTTGCCGCCGGGGTCTGAGATTTAAAGTTTAGGGTTTCGGGTTGCGTGGTTGAGCCTTACTCTAGGAGGGTGAGGTTAAGGGTTCGGAGGTGAGGCCAACAGGGGTTTTAGCCTATGGGGGTTTAGTAGGGAGTAGGGTTCCCATAATAGGGTGCTTCATATTAAGGAATCCCTACCCCAAGAATCTTTAACACCCCCTTTTGGCCTCCCATCACCTTAGACGCGAAACCGAGGTACATCAAGCCTGTGACAGAGGCCGCAGGAAAGATGAACCGCCGCTGATCATGGCAGTATTTTCCTTTTTTCCGGAAGAAGAGCGAAAGAGTCTATGTTGTCGTTGAGTGTTTGAATAACTATAATAACGGTATATAGCTTAACTCACACAGAGCTTGCAACAGTTTAAGCACGGAGCCTACAATCAACATTCTATATGCTGGTGTCGCCATTTGAAGCCTTTACACTAATTCTACAGGCTTCCTGAGCTACTGGCCTTCATTGTTTTCAGGTTTGGGATATTCCAGGCTTCAAGCACGGATGGGGCGAACCCAGAACCGTAGAACCCTAATGCAAGACCCCTCCTCGCTGTAGGCTGAGCCTGAACCTACTCTCAAGACCGTAAACTTTGACTCCGCATAAAACCTGGGTCGCAGAACACTAAACCCTAGCCTCCAACCACAAACTCTAATGCCCCCCCCCCCGAACGCCCGCAAGCCGCCCTGTCCCCCGGAGCCCCGGTGCCCGAGGAGCTGGGCGTTGATGAAGCACCCAGAGGGCCTTGGCCTGAGTGCTTTTCCTTGAAGGTCCCAGAAGGGGCAACGGGGGGGGGGGTTCTGGAATTTTCATAGGGTTGACGAGGGTTTAGGGGGATCTTTTGGGAAGGCCCCTTAAAGGGGATATGATATCCCGGATATCGGGCCAAGCATACGGCCTGTGTGTGTGTGTGTGTGTGTGTGTGTGGGGATATATATATATATATATATATATATATATATATATATATGTATATATATACACACATACATATACGTCATACCATATGCATAGATGCACAGTCTGACCAGGCAAGTGTGCAAACCGTGCGAAACGCCAGGTGTGCGTCGTCGGTGCAACGCACAGAGTATGCCAAGGTAGTGGGTCACCCAAGACGATGCCGGAGTCATGGCCAGAGTTCTGGCCGTGCGGAAAACGGCAGCCACACGTCCGGAATCCACTGGAAAAGAATGCACCAAAGCCCGACAAAGCGTTCCACCAGACCGCGCAGTGCGCACCCCGCTGGGTGCAGTGGTCAATGGGAGTGGTAAAGTGCGGGTAAGTGTCACTACCTGAGGTAATCAGAAGCATGTCGAAGCCCGAGTAATGACGTTGGCCGGATTCTCGCTCCACGCACGCCAAGATGCAAGGAGGAGAGCCATGCAGGTGTCAGAAAACCGACATCAACGTATGTCGACGTGCTGGCAACCCAACGCGACGCGACGGAGTGCTAGCAACACCCCTTGGCCCCAAAGTCCAAAGTAGGCCGGGGCGAAGGCATCAGCTCTAACGGTGTGTGAGTCGTTCCGACTCAACGTCACCTAGAAACGGCCGGAACCAAAGGTCAAGATGGATGAGCCTCGGTGTGCAATGTTGTGATGGATTTGCTGCCGGCGGTCAAATCCACCAATCAACGCGCACAGTCTGACCCGGCAAGGGTGTAACCGAGAAAATGCCTGGTGTGCGTCGTCGGCAGCGCAACGCAAAGAGCAATCCAAGTGGGTTACCCGAGACGAAAGACCAAAACAAGAGCAGCTCACCCAGGACGAGAAGCAAGAGCTGACGGACCTTCGACAGATACAGACATAGATCTAGATGTAGATGTAGGCATTGATTGCATTGATAATGGATCATAACCATAGGGGTATCTTTCATTTATCCTCGCCTTAAACGCCTAGACCCTAAACCCAGACCCTAAAGCCTACACCCCACAACTCTAAACCCTAAACCCCTCAACTCTAAGTCCTAAAACCCTAAACCGCTAAACCCTAAAGCCTTAAGCCCTGAAGCCCTAAATCCTAAACACTTAAACCCTGAAACCCAAAGCCCCAAACCCTGCAGTTCACCGTTCACCAAGGCCTCGCCTGCGATCTCTTCATCACCCACGGCTGGTCCGAGGGCATCTTCGAGTTCGCAGACAAGGTGGGAACCAGGCTTCTTCAACCCTACATCTTAAAGCCTAGACCCTTAGACCCCAAATCCTATCCCTAAGCTACTTCAGGGTTTGGGAGCTTTTGGAAGCTAGGTGACCTCAGAGTTCGGGGGATGCAGATTTCTGCGGGGTTGAGGGCTCCAGGATTTAGGGTTTAGGGTGTAGGGAGTTTACGGTTGAGCAATTACCCCCCCATTAAGGCCTTATTTGGGAGAATGCTTCAGTACCGCTGTGACGGGCCCCCCGACAAAAGCCTACAAGCAAGACCCTAACCGGTAAGGGAATATGTTAAGGAAAAATGTGTTGCAACAAAGAACGCTCCAAACGAAAATCCCATAAGAAAACCCTAAACCCTAACAGATCTAATGTCTGGGTGGTCTTGGGGTGGGATGTCGCGTCCAGCTCGGCGCGCCGCCCCGCGACCCTCTGGGTCGAGGCGCGCCGCTTACGATGGAAAACCCCTAAACTTCTAAACCCTAAACCCCAAACCCGAAACCGAAACCCTAAACCCTAAACCCTAAACCCTAAACCCTAAACCCTAAACCCCTAAACCCCAAACCCGAAACCGAAACCCTGCACCCCAAAACTCCCAGTCCTCGGTTCCTACGGAGGAGCTCACCTCAGGCCTTGTTCAGCTACACAGGGTATAGGGCTTGAGGGTTCAGGGATTTAGGGTTTAGGGATTTAGGGTTTAGGGATTTAGGGTTTAGGGATTTAGGGTTTAGGGCTTGAGGGTTTAGGGATTTAGGGTTTAGGGATTTAGGGTTTAGGGCTTGAGGGTTCAGGGATTTAGGGTTTAGGGATTTAGGGTTTAGGGATTTAGGGTTATCTCGCGGGCTTTTATAGTTACCTTAAGCGCTCAAGCTTTTCTAGCCCAGGTCACATACTGCTGGCCCAGAGGTGCCACAGCTGCGTACGTGTGCTTCCTGTCCAACCCCCAGCACCACGGCAGCAAGCACGCTCTGTATGTTGAAAATTATCTAGGGACTCTAAAGGGACTTATACCTTGGGTTCTGCCCCCACTCCGTAACAGTTGGATAATATTCATAATATAGCTCTATTAGGACCTTAACAGTAGCCCTGTTATAGACTGTTGCAGTATGGGGGCAGTACCCAACTCATACCCTTTACCCTAAACCTTAAACCCCAAACCCCGAAACTGTTGTTTCAGAGCCATTGCCACGGTAGGGGAGGCGAGGCTCCTGGCGGCTTTCGGCTATGGTTTGCCACAGCTTTCGCGAGATCCGAATGCAGGAACCTGCCTAAGAAGCCCTGGCCCTAAAACCCTCAAGTATTGGGATTCATATCGAACGCCCAAATAACAACAAACGCCCAAATAATGACCCAAAATGTCAGATTCCTATCTTACTCTAGCACACCCTAAACCCTAAACCCTAACCCTAAACCCTAAACCCTAACCCTACGCGCTAAACCCTAAAGCCTAAACCCTGAGTGAGATGCGTCCTCAACCTTGGCCCCAAGCCTGGCCGCAGCCACCCGGAGACTCCAAAGCTCCGTGGCCACGGCATGTTCGGAATGTTCCTTCAATTAAGGTTTAGGGTTCCTTTTACTAAGGGTACTATAGGCTTCTATAATAGGGTTCCTTAAAGGGATCTACAAAGGGGGTCTATAATGGAGATCATGGTTTAGACTCAACGGAAAATTGAAGCTTATGACATGTCAGGACTGCGCTTTCCTTGGGGGTATTTTTGGGGTGTACTGTACGACAGATACAAAAGGATTACAAGGGCTTGATAGGCAGTCAGAGCCCTCTGTTCAGTCTCTGGGCACGAACCCCCTAAACCCTTAAACCTAAACTCTAAACCCTGAGCTCTTGAACCCCAAGCTGAAAAAGCTCTAAACTCTTAAACTTAAAACTCCTAAACGCTAAGCTCCAAACCCGAAGCCCTAGAAATCCAAAGCCCTAAGCCCGAACAGGAATCTGGACATCGGCCACCTCATCGCCTCCCCGGAGGAGTCTCCAAACCCTACACCCTAAACCCTAAACCTCATCGCACCGAACCCTAATTCCTAAACCCTAAAACCCTAGAGCAGAGCCCTCAGAAAACCTCATCGCCTCCCCAAAGGAGTCGCCTTTTGCACGGGCCCTGACGGCCTCCCAGCAGATGCTGGTGGTTCCGAACCATCAGGCTTTAGGGTTTGGGGTTTACTATAGTCTCCTTAGGAATTATTTTTTTATTTTGTTCATATAAAACCCAAGAGAATATTTTTTTGTTATGGTTCTAAGGGAGGGTATAGTTTAGGGCATCTGAAAGGGGTTTAGGGTTCAGGCTTCATTTGAGCGGTGGTCTTTAACGACTTTGATCAGGGCTTCGTGGGTTTAGGGGTGTAGGCTTCTACTGGGTGGGGGAGGTCTTAAACAAGGTTCATGAGGTCGTCATGGGTTCAAAGGTTTGGGGTTTCAGGGCGTAGGGTTTGAGGGTTTAGGATTTATGTAGTCTGTACTTCGTTGGGGGCATCTGGAGTTTCGAGCGGAGAAGTGGAGACCCCCGCGCGGTTTTCCCTTCATGGCCCCAGATTCAGGAGGACTTATTTGGCCATGACTTTCCGGTCCATATGTGCGCGGAGTGTTGAAGACTCGGGGTAAGCAAAAGGCCTTTGGTGGATTGATTTGCAAAAGTCCTTTGCATGTAGCCCCTCTTTTGACTGATAGTATATCTCTCTATGTATCAGTCATGCCTCAAAACCCTGTTCTTGCTTTAAGGCCACTTATCAAAATCTCCGGGTCCAATTTAAGTGTTTGACGTCGTTCGGAAGTTCGGTGCAGGCGAGCATCTACACCCGCATCTGGTGCCTTGGTAGATTTTCATGTAAGGTTTTTGGTTACGGGCTTCTATACTGTTCTTGCCAATTCCAAGCACCTGCAAAAGCCTACATGCACCCTATCCACAGCATCCTTACATAAAGCCTTTGTAGTACAGCCCGAAATCCTAAACCCTAATCCCATGAACCCCTTGGAGCCCTGAACCAGCAACCCCCAGGTGCGTCTACGAAGCTTTTTTGGCCTACACCCTGAAGAAGCCCATCCGCACTGCGCTCTCGCCAGTCAGCTGTTTCTGGCCGCGGGTGCTTCGGGTTTTCTTCGCGTGCGTTGCGAGCCATGGTCTCGGGCGCCCGGGATCTCATGATGTGGGGGTAGGGTTTAGGGTTTAGGGCCGGGATCTTATTGCCGGGGTTGGTATAATTGCTAGCAGTACCCCCTTAATTATAGTTTAGTTTCAACCAAATCTGAGTATCAAGGCCCATCACATTAGCGGATTGCTCAAAGGATGGAAGATGATAGAAGGATGAGGGTTTGGGGTGTACAGTGTCATTCAAGTTCAGGGTTCAGTTCAGAGTTTGGGGTTTAAGTGGGGTGTCAGTAGAAAGCGGTTTAGGGTTTGGGATTTTCATGAGGTGGGAATTTAGCGTTTGGGGTTCAGGGTTCAGGGTTTGGGTTTTATTAGGGCGGGAATTTAGGGTTCAGGGCTTAATAGTAAGCCCCCCGACTCTTCAAGTATTTTGGTCTGACTTGCAGACTGTAGAGGTCGTGGAGTGTTGGGTTTTGGCTGCAAAGCCCTCCACCAACACCCTCGAGCGACACCGTTCTCAGAAGTAGATCCTACTTAGGATCATGGGACTTCGTAACTAAGGTTATTATTAGGGTAACTGTACATATAACTGCTTATAACCCCAATGAGGGTACTTATAACCTTACTTACTAAGTCCCATGATCCTCCAAGTAGCAGTTCGATTGCCAGGTTCTTGCTCATTGCTGGATCTCCTCCAAGCAGAAGGGCGGAGATGTTTGCCTACGAGGCACCTCGTGGTTTAGGGTTTAGGGTTTAGTCACCCTAAACCCTAACCCCTAAGCCCTCAGCCCTAAACCTAAACCCTAAACCCTAAACCCTTAAACCTAAACCCCTAAACCCCTAAACCCTAAACCCTAAACCCCTAAACCCCCAAACCCCAAACCCTAAACCTTTCAAAAAACCCAAGCCTTAAATCCGAGTTTTAGTGAACAGCAGCTCCTTGAGGCTGCAGGCAGCATTGTGATGCTTCTCTCTTCCCTGGTCATGCTTCTTTCGTGTTCTTAGGATTGAGTTTTTACTTCTAGTATTGTAAAACCTCCGAGGATTGCTAGAATTCCCTCAACCCTACTGAACCCTAAACCCCTAAGCCTCAACCCTAAACCCTAAACCCTAAACCCCTAAACCCCTAAACCCTAAACCCTAAACCCTAAAACAGCCTAAACCCTAAACCCCTGAACCTTCAGACCCTAAACCCCTAAACCCTAAACCCCTCTTCCCTAAACCCCTAAACCCTCTACAGTAGAAGCCAAAAAGTTGGAAACCCAATAGCCTCAATCCTTAAGACTAGTGTATAGGGAACCCCAGCACTATTTGGCCTTAATTCGGTTTCCAACTTTTTGGGGTTTACTGTAAGCCCTTTAAGCCCTTAAGGATCCCTTGTTGATCCCTTTAAAGGAACCTCCGTGGGTTCCTTTAAAGGAACTCCTAAACCCTTCTAAGGATCTTCTTCTTCAAGACCCGGCGGCCTGCAAGTCGGATCCTCGAGCTCATGACGCTCGGAGTGTCGTCGTCTACGTTTTTTTTTTTTTTGCTTTTGGGCTTTAGGGTGTGGGGGTTTAGGGTGCGGGGGCTTAGGGTGTGGGGGTTTAGGGTTTTGGGGTTTAGGGTTTCGGAGTTTGGGTTTAGGGTTTCGGAGTTTGGGGTTTAGGGTTTGGGTTTTGGGGTTTAAGGTTTAGGGTTTGGGGTTCAGGGTTTGGGGTTTGGGGGGCAAGTTTGGGGTTCAGGGTTTGGGAGTTTGACGTTTAGCTAGGGTTTAGGGTTTGGGGTCTAGCTAGGGCCAGGGTTTAGGGTTTGGGGTTTAGGGTTTAGATTGCTTTTAAATGGGGTTGGTTTTAGGGTAGGGTAGGGTGTCGGTGTTCCATGACATTCATTTGCCACCGCAAAAACTCCCCCCCTGTTCCAACCTTCACCCCCCCCTTTCTCACCCTCCCGCGTGCCCGAACGAGGATGCTCAGCCGCAAAGTTCTGCAAAACAATATGTTAGCAGTCACAAGGTCTTGCGCAAGGTTCCTGCCAACGTAGCGGGGGACCCCACATCCAGATCTAAGTGTGTGCGGGTCTTTGCAAGGACGGCGGCTTGCTCTACATGTGGCATCTTACATGGGCTCTTACGTCCTAGAAATTTCCCAACACCCCAGAGCCAGGCTAGGAGCTGAATTGGCGGCTGTTGTAGCAACTGTGATATACAAATTCAAGGCGACATGTAGCAAAGTCGGGTGCAGGCAGGCGCGATGCTCTTCATGGGCCCGGAAGTGCTTCGCAACGTACGTGCATTATCATGCTGCACAGCGAGTGCCACAAGATAGTGGCGAGAGGTTTGTGCACAGTCTGGATGTGGACGTGCTCTAGCAACAACCTTAGTTGCTGGCAAATGCTTAGAGGCGCAGCAGACGGCCTGGATCCCAGCATTCCGCGGCATGCACTCGTGCACGATCGCGAAAATTGGTGAGCCATTCTTCTCTCGAAAAGTGCTTTCCAGGTGAAGGCTGATGTGTTGAGCGCTGGGATGACCCTTTACAAGATCATCGCCGGGTCAAGCTCTCAGATATCCGACCCTAAACTTTAAACCCTGAACCCTAAACTTTGAGAACTGGAAAACTGGCTGGCAGGCTTGCCTCTGCATCCCATGCCGAAAGCCTGCGCCCAAGACTGAGTGCTCTCCTTTCTGCTGGCCACATCTAGCAGGGTTGGGCGTCGAAGCTGTCTCCAGAGCTGCTTGCGAGAGGGCAGTCGATCAACAGGTATTCCGATGCTTGTGAAGGTTGCTGCCACGCCCCGCGAGCTGTCCAATCCCTGGAATCCCCGACTGGATGTTCTGATTTGCTGATGTGTTGGTGGTTTTGGGACCATGGGAATCAAGTTTCCAACATTCAGTTTTGCTGTTTTGCCACGGCGTGTCGGTGTGTGTGTGTGTGTGACTGTGTGCGAGAGAGAGATTGTGTGTGTGTGTGTGTCCGTGCGTCTGTGCGGGTGTGTGGGTGGATGGGTGATGTCGCCAGCTAAAAAGGTTTCGAGTGGGTGGGTGCTGGCTGTCATGCTACAGGGGTTTTGAATTGGCCGGGGTGTGGCCCGTCGTTGCTTGCATCACAGTCTAAGTTAGACTTCCCTGATGGATCGGGATTATTTGCAGAATGGCATGCCTGCTCGGCAAGTTTCTCAGCACATGCTGCACTGGCAAATCAAAATTGAACGACCTTGCAGATTGCAAAGCAACGGGATTGTAGGGTCAGGGGCTGCTGGGTGGGTCTGCCAGGTGCCGTGGAGCTCTGGAGCCTGCAAACTCAACAAATTGCCGAACTTCGAAAAGTGGATGGGGACGGGGGCTGCTTGTCCAGGACATCCCGGGCCTCAGAACCATTTGCGGCCTTCCCGGATCATGTGCTGCGTTTGAGAGCTTGATGCTTGTGGGGTGTGGTTTTTACAAAAGTTCCGGGAGGGAGAGAAAGCCAGGAAGTTGTATTCCTATGCTGAGTGTGCCATGCCGGCCTGCGTCAGAGTTTGCGACGGACTGTTCCCAGCAGGTCGACTTTGCAGCGGGAACGATGCTGGTAGCCTCAAGTGCGGGAGGATGATTCTTGGAGGAGCCACCCTGGCACTTTGCCCTCGCGGTGTCGTGGTGAAGGAGGTCGGCACCATACATGGTCTCGGCGGTGGTACGGCGCTGTTGGCAGGTGCCCCATCGTTTGTCGTTTGCTCGCCGCAACGATGCGGTTTTGCTTCGTCCTCCTGCCGATCGACTCGGATGCAGCAGGGTTTTGGGGCCGTGGTGGCTTCTACCCGCTGCATTGCTGATGGTACAACCCCGGCCGCGAGTGGCAATGCGAGTTGGCCGCGCGGCTTCACCACGTAGCTCACTGCCGCCTTACGGAGGATGGGTTCAGCATGCAAGACTTGTTTCATGTTTCCTATGGGTCTTTGTTTTGTTGGGCATGGCACGGAGCCAGTGAGCACGTACTTGAGTTTAAGTTAGCTTAGCTAACTTCATCTTTGCACTGAGCAAGCTGTCTTCCAGGTCCGTTTAGCGAGTTCAGGAAGAAAAGCTTCCTGCTGCTCGAAGTCCGGGAAACTGTCCAGCACATCTCAAACCCTGACCCGCCGTGCTTCGACTATCCTCGATTCAGGAAGCCGGATGAGGACGAACCAATCGATGTCGGATTGTCGACTGCTCAAATCACCCCTTCATTCCAGCCACAGGCTTGCCAAGGCAGCTGGGCTTCTACGACAGTGCAAAAAACTAAAAGCGTGTTGCTGGGGGTTAAGTGGAAAGGTTTAGGATCAAGAAGTTTAGGGTTGCAGTCGATATAAAACAAATAGCCCAGGCAGGTTGCGAAGTTCCCTGATCCTGCTAATAGCGAAAGAGCCCAGTATTAGGCCAGCCAGAAAACCTAAGTGCTGGTTATGGGGTACCTTGTACTCATCCCAGCAGTCGAGGATCTATGTTTACGGCGCTGCTTTGCCAGCCTACTTCATCCCAAGGGCGTATGGCCGTGGGATCAAGAGGGACACCAGTGTGATGATTTATGCCACTTGCCAAAAAGCCCAGCGGGCCCATAATCGGGTTCCATAAGGAACAAGGTTTTATACGAGGTGCTATAAGGCCGAAATTGGGCGTGTAACAAAGGTTCTGATGGCGGAAGGCCCGTTTGACCTTGACTAAGGGAACATGTTAGGCCCCACCAAAAGACTTTCTGCATCATCAACTATTGGAAGATGTTTTTTGGTACCTTCATCTTGTTAAATGATAATCGGCACTTATATGATTTCCACCTGTTGGCAATCCGGGGTTGCTTTTTGTGATTTCAGGGTTTCTGGATCTTTGGATTTTTGTATAATTTTAAGACTCTTGTCTAGTGGGTTTTTGGATCCAACAGCATAGCTACATTGAAAATTTGGAGAAAGGGCTTAAAACGTGCATTTAAAGGTTATCACAACTTCGACTGCCTAGACCTTAAGCCCCGACGCACGTCCAAAGTCTGAAGGACCAGTAACAGGGGATGAAGGAGTTTGTGCAATACACATGCCAGACAATGCGCCGGTAGTTGGTCACCATGGGCAAAGCTCACAACACCGAGTCCTTAAACTTCAATTGCCCGAACCGAAAAGCTTCTTCGACCCCAACCCGCTAAACTCAACTTCTAGACTCTAGACCCTATAGGAGCCGTTTTGAACTGGTGGCGCCCTGCAGAGCCTAACCCTAAACCCTAAATTTCCGAATGAAACTTTTTACCTCAGGACCCTAAAGTCGTAGACCTGAAACTCTAGGTTTAGGTGTTGTCCCGTGCCTTTCCTGAACCCCAAACCTTGCTTTAAACCTTAGGTGATCGCACCCTTCATCTGTGCCGGTCTTGAGACAGACCGCTTGCTGGCAAGGGCGCTGCTGGTGCAGTCGCAGCAACTGAAGGCCCAACCGATGTGGGTGCTATCGGGTGCGTTGTTATAGGGTTTTTGCAGGTGTGGTGCTGTAGGTTTCTTGAACCCGAGTTGCAAGGTAATTACATAATTATAGGGTGTTGCAAGTCTGAGTACAGAACAGCAGAATACAGCGGCTTTCATACACGGGGCTTGATAATTCTAGCATGGTTCTAAAGGCAGTCAACGCGGTACGTGAATAGAGAACATGGGGCGACAGCGTTTGTAACTATTCCGACCTAAAAATTTTGGATCTAGTGCTTCGCAACACTAAACCCTAAAGCCCTCAGCTTTAAGCCCCAAGTCCTAAACCCTGAAGCCTTAAGGTCTAAACCCCAAACTCCACACCCTGAAAGGTGGGCTTTCAAGGAATACATCATGCTGAGAGTTCGAATCCTGCGGATCGGGAGAGGATCCAAAATGAGATCGAATCACAAGGCTTCAAGCGATGCAGAGTTTGGGGTTTAGGATTTAGGGTTTAGGGTTTGGGGTTTAGGCGTTTTTCGGTTTAGGAATTCGGGCTTAGGTGTTTTCTGGAGTCTGTGTAAGGCTTTATTGAAGTCTTTTTGGGTTCTAGGCTAGGTTTTTGGGGTCAGGGATGAGTTTCGCCAGGACGCTCCCCGGTACCCTCAGTAGAGCTCACTAGGATCCCAAACAATGGGCATCTCAGATCTTCATGGAGGGGTTTAGTGAGGGTTTCGGTTTGGGTTTAGGGTTAAGGGCTCATGGCGTAGGGAGCTTTGGGCGCTAGGACACAAATTTCCTGAAACTAGAGCCCTTAGCCCCAACACCCAGCATCGTTAAACGCTAAGACCCAACACCCAAGCCCTGAATCCTAAGCCGTAAACCCCAAGCCCAAACCCTCAACTCTAAACCCTAAACCCGCCCCGAAGCCCGAAACTCCGAGCCCAAACTCGTGATCGATGAGGCCAGTTTCAGCGTTCTAGTCTTGTGGGACCCTTTATTAGGGTTTAGGGGTTTTGGGGGGTTTCGGGGCTTATGTCAAAATCGTGCTAGGGTTACGGGGATAAGGGTTAAGGGCTGAAATTCATTTTTGTAGGAGTTTGGTCTGGAGCTTACCGTGTACAGTTCTAGGGTTTAGGGCCAAGGGTTGAACCGCAATCCCTCAACCCGGAACTCCAACCCCAACCTCACACCCGCAATCACAACCCTCGACCGCAAATGCCAAGGGATTTGGGGTTGAGGGCTTGGGACTTGGTTTTTGCCAGGGGCAGGGGGGGGTTTTGGGGATGTCCTGAAAGTCTTGGGGGCTCTGGGATTCAAGGGGCTGGTCCTCTGGGTTCCGGGATCAGCTTCCCCATGCCTTCTGCAGGGGTGGAAGCTGAAGTGGATGATGCTATTTCTGCATCTAGGTTTCGCAGCAGTACCCTTTTACTCTTTCATATCAAGGAGTCTTGTTTGAGTCTGAAAATGTAATCCTTGAAAGAGGGTTCTACTTTTACTCTAAGCCCTAAACCTTAAACCCTAAACCGGGGAGCCTAGGTGTTGCTGGACATGGGCCAGTCGTCATCCGGACTGCGCAAGGTGGGCCACACGAGGGGTTTCAGCACCTCTTGGGCTCTGGCTTTCAGCCTGGGGGGTTTAGGGTTGAGGGGTTTAGAGTTTCGGCACCTCTTGGGCTCGCTTTAAGGCTGTGGGCTTTAAGAGCTTTTCTCTTGTCAATGGGCACTTGAAGAATCAGTCGTATGATTTCTTACGGTGCCCAGTACGGAGGTCTTTTGGTGCCTGGTCTGACATGCAAAACCCTAAACCCTGAAACCCCAAACCCTGAAACCCTAAACCCTGAAACCCTAAACCCCGAAACCCTGAAACCCTAAACCCTGAAACCCTGAACCCTAAGGTAAACCACAAGAGACCATAAACCCGGGAGCAGCCCGCAGCTGCAAGCCAAAGCCCTCACCGCGCAGAACAACGGCTCGAGACCTTGCGCACTCTTTCGCACTCAGGGTTCCGAAGTTTAGGGTTTAGGGTTTAGGGGTTTAGGGTTTAGGGTTCCGAAGTTTAGGATTTAGGGGTTTAGGGTTTAGATTTCGGGTTAAGGACTCCTGGTCTCGGATTTAGGATTTTGAGTCAATTACTTTCTTCGCCACATGCACTCTCCTGCGTGAGATGTGCGATGACGTTTTGCAAGAACCCATAAACTCAACCCCTAAACCTCTAAACCCTAAACTCTAAACAAAGCAATGCAGCACCTCACCTTGAATCCGAACGCTATAAATACGGATTCTTACATCCGACATCCTAAGCCCTACCTTGTCCCCCTATAACCAGCCTGCCTCTTTCGGGTTCCTTTCCGGACTGCCTCACATACGTCCTTGGAAAGGTAGGGTCTTTACGGACCAGGTAAACCCTAAACCCTACACCGGAAGCTTCACTGATCATATTAGGGATACTACTCTAATTTAAGGTCTATTCCTTAATCAAGGGATATTGAAGTCGCCGGGAAATCCCTGCTTGGAGGTTCATGGGTAGTTATAAGTAGGGTTGTATTTAGGATCACTATACTTATAACCCATATTAGGGGACTTATAGCCCTACTCAATAAAAGCCATGAGCCCTAAACCCTATACCCTTCTAGAATCCCTATAGATCCCTTTAAAGGACCCCCAGGTGACCAAGCAAACCGGTCCCTTGGGCGATATCTCCACGTGGAGTCGCACGCTCTTCTTTGTCAGCTTGATGCCGGGTTGCCATGGCTTCAGGGTTTAGGGCCTTTTAGGGTTTGGGGTTTGGGTTTCAGGGTTTAGGGTTTAGGGTTTCAGGGTTTAGGGTTTAGGGTTTAGGTTTAGGGTTTCAGGGTTTAGGGTTTAGGGTTTAGGTCCTTTTAGGGTTTGGGGTTTAGGGCTTTTTAGGGTTTAGGGTTTCAGGGTTTAGGGTTTAGGGTTTAGGGTACAGGGTCAGGGGACTTCAGGCCTAAACCGTAAACCCTAAGGGTTGCGACTAGGGTTCTGTGGAGCTTCGGCTTTCGTCCTACTGTTGATGGTATAAATCCTGCATTACCAAAAATAAGGAATATACCATAATTCCCATAGTTTAGGGTCCTTAAGGTCATGCAGGATTTATATCATCAACCGTAGGTCTCCCTTCCGGAAGACTCAGAACCCCAAGCCCCAAACCTTACTTGGAGGTTCATGGGACTTAGTAGTACCTTAGTTGGGGCTATAAGAAGTCTAAGGGGGTTCATGGGACTTTGTAAGTATGGTTATAAGTACTTCAATTGGGATTATAAGTAGTTATAATGACGACCTTGGTTACTAAGTCCCATGATCCTTTACGAACTATGCTAAGGAACTATTGGATCACCAATGCGAATCAGCTCTGGACAGGGCGCGTCTTGGGGAATGACCCTCGGCGCATGCCGGATTGGCTTCGCCCGGTGCTCTTTGGTACGGCTCTGCTCGAGTGTGTCACCTTCCTCATTATGTTCATCCTCCTCCCTCCGCATCGGAAGGCCAACTCCAAACACTAAGCCCTAACCCTGAACACTGAACCCTAAGTCCAAGACCCTAAACCCCAAACTTTTAACCCTAAACCGTAAACCCAAGACCTATCTCCTCCCTACACGTCGCAAGGCCTTCGCTGAGAGGACCGAGATCTTGATTGTGATCTTCCTGATGGTGGCCTCCAGCATCTCTTTTCAGGGGCCGCCTTACGAGTACCTGGGTTCCTTCTAAGGGTTCTTTTAGAGGGTTTAGGGTTTAGCGTTAAGGGTACCTGGGTTCCTTTAAGGGCGCCTTTAAGGATTCTATAGGAGGGTTCCGTTGAGGGCTCCATACTGGGGTTCCTTCGAGGGCTGCATCCTAAACCCCAAACCCCTAAACAGTCCAATTTTCCGACTCCTCCTTCCTGCACCGTAAACCTACGCCCTGAACCCTTAAAAAATGCTTACGCCTTATTCCTGAACCCTAAACCCTAAACCCTAAATTCTAAGCCGAGGTAACGCCCCTTTAAAAAGTGCCTATGCCTTCTTCCTGAACCCTAAATCCTAAACCCTAAATCAAAAGCCCCAGGTATGCCTACGCCTTCTTCCTGAACCCGCTGATTCTTTGCCTCTCCTTCGCTGGTCCGGCGAAGGCTCGGGGCCCGAAGACCAGCTGAAGACAAGGATCCGAGGCGTAGGGCTTAAGGGTGTGAGGCTTAGGGTTTAGGTCTAGGGTTTGGGGTTTGGGTTGAGGGTTTAGGATTTAGGGTTAAGGGTTTAGGGGTTTAGGGTTTAGGGTTTAAGGATTTAGGGTTTAGGGGTTTAGGGCTTAAGGGTTTAGGGTTTAGGGTTTGAGGGTTTAGAGTTAAGGGGTTTAGGGTTTAGGGGTTTAGGGTTTAGGGTTTACCGTAGAGATGTCTGGAATTCCCACTTCAATCAAGGCCTCTCGAACTCCCATACCCGAAACCCCAAACCCTAAACGGCCCTAAGCCATTATCTATGCTCTAAACCCCTGAATCCCTAAAGCCTCTAAAAGCCCTGATACCCTTAAAACTTAAAGCCCCTAAAACCCCTGAACCTTGAAGCCCTGAACCTCAACCCTGACGCCTAAGACCCTAAAATCCTGAACCCCTAAGCCTTAAACCCCAGTACGCTCAACCCAAAACCCAAAGGGTTCTTGATTATAGTTATAGTATAGTGGGACCCAAAACCTTTTTCTAATCATGAAGGCCCCCATATTAAGCCCTCTATAATACCCCTTATAGGACCCTTTTTAAGAGAGATCGACCCTTCTGTTTTAAGAACCCTTTAAAGGAAACCTATTCTCATTATTATAGGCCCCTATACTAAGCCCCTTTGGGGCCCCTGAAAGGTGGCCCGGGTTCCCATCATCGGCGCGCCTTTCGTCCGGGCCCTCTTTGGCCGGAACCCTTTCCGAGCCTGCGGCTTAGGGGTTTTCGGGGTTCTGGGGTTTAGGGGTTTCGGGTTTAGGGGTTTTGGGGTTCTGGGGTTTTGTTGGGGTTTTGGGGTTTCGGGTTTTGGGTTTGGGGTTCTGGGGTTTAGGGGTTTCGGGTCTAGGGGTTTTGGGGTTCTGGGGTTTTGTTGGGGTTTTGGGGTTTCGGGTTTTGGGTTTGGGGTTTTGGGGTTTAGGGGTTTCGGGTCTAGGGGTTTTGGGGTTCTGGGGTTTTGTTGGGGTTTTGGGGTTTGGGGGTTCTGGGGTTTGAGTTTTTGGGGTTTTGGTGTTTGGGGTTTAGGGGATTTGGGGTGTAGCGTTTTGGGCTTACGGATTAAGGTTTTCTTCTGGGGTCCGATTCGGGGAGTCGAAGGGACAAGCCTGAGAATTGAAGATCGGCCGTAGGGTTTAGGGCTTAGGGTTTGCATGGGGTTTAGGGTTTAGGGGTGAGGATTTAAAGTTTAGGGTTTAGGGTTTAGGGCTTAGGGTTTGGGGTTTAGGGTTTAGGGGTGAGGATTAAAGGTTTAGGGTTCATAGTTCCTTGCAGCTCAACGGTTCAAACGGCCTTTGCAGGTTTGTGGTATAGGGCTTTTGGGGTTTGGAAGCTATGGGCTATGGGTTATCCCGCAAAAAGCACTGAGGCCACGGAGCTCCAGAGAAAGACCACCCTTCCGAAGGAAGAGGTTGGGAAGGAACCAGAAGTGCTTAGCTTCTAAATTTGGGTGGTTGTCAAAATTATTACCCTTGTATTCGGTGCCGTACTATAATACGGATCCAAAAAGGGGGCCATAATTTTGACAACTACCCAAATGGAGCTAGCACTGATTACAGCTGCTTCTGCATTTTCCTTGGGGTGTTTTGTTCAGAGGAAGGCAACAGGGGCTTTGGGAGATGGGGTCGTGGTGGCAGTACCCGTAGAAGATGTTAAGAGTTAAGAATTAACATCAAGCCCTGATCTAGACCTGGCTTGAGTGGTAGGATCCTCGATTCAGACGGGGACCCTTAAACCAGGTATCCCTTGACATTCAGAACGCCCTTCATTCTCGTAGACCACGCCATTCTCCCAATGCCTTGTTGGCTTCCATCATCCGCGACACAGTCCCATTGGAGCAGACTGACAGCTGTCCTGCGTGAGCCCCAAACTCAAAAATCCAAAGGCCTTGAACCTACACCTTGAACCCGACGCCACACTTGAAGGTTCGTTGGTAATCATTTGGGTGAGAAAGACTTAGGAGTACTTAGAAATATTTTTTTTATCTTTGGTCATTATTATCCCTAGGAAACAGCTAAGATTATAATTTTTGCTAGGGTTCTAAGTTCAGTATAGAATACCTCAACAAGACATATGATTGGATCTACTTTCAAGTTCAAGAGTGCCCAAATCCTCAAAATATCCAACTATCCATCAGCAGAACCGGTTGTTGGCCCTTATAAAGGGCACGAAGTGCCCGCAACCAAACCCCCTCAGTCGCAAACTAACTCCGACCTACTTAAAGGATCACTTTGTAACTAAGGTTATTGTTAGGGTAACTATACTTATAACTACTTATAACCCCAATTAAGGTACTTATCACCTTAAGGTAAAAGCCAGAAAGTTGGAATATGATTATCCTAACCCTTCTATGGTAAATTATAGGGTATCCTACCATGAAACCATATTCCAACTTTCTGGAGTTTCCTATACTTACTAAGTCCCATGATCCTCCAAGTACCAGACCTGAGACTCCCGAACACACGAACCGGTTTAGGGCTTCGGGAGCCCTGGGGTACGCTCCCAAACTGTAACCTGGACCCTAAGGAACCTTAATATGATTTCTTTATATAAGTCCTTAAAAAGGTAGGTTACGTGGGGTTAAGGAACAGTTAGATAACTCTTGCAATATACTTGTATAGAGCCCTTCATATGGCCCCGAAAATAGACTGTTACAGGGTTGGGGCTGCACCGAACCTGAGCCCCTGAACCTTTTAGACCTCAACCCGAAAGTCCCGAAGGCTGGCTTAGGCCCAGGGATTGCTTAGACACTCAAAGCAACGAAGGTTGGGGTTTGGGGTGGTTTGGGGTTCGGGGTTCAGGGTTTAAGGTTTGGGGTTAAGTTAAGCAGTTTGAAGTACATTGCTGAGAAGGCTTGAACCCTAAACCTCCACAAGGTCTACTTGCACCTTCATGGGTAGTTGTAAGCCGGGCTATAAGCGCCCTAATGTGGTGAATAGCTATAGTTATCCTACTTATGAAATGAATTACAACTACCCATGAACCTCCAAGTAGGTAATGCGGGGGCCTAAATAAAAAGAATTGGGTTTGGGGGTATATTATAGCATGATTTGAATAAGGAGCCCCAACACCCTAATTCTGATTATTAAGGCCCCTTGCTAAATCCTTATAGTCGCCATTATAGTAGCCCTTGTAGACCCCTTTACAGGGAACTCCAGAAAGTTGGAATATGGATTAATGGTAGGATCCCCTATAATTTACCTTAAAGGGGTTACGATAATGATATTCCAACTTTCTGGCTTTTACTGTAAAGGAACCTAGAAGACCCCCTACGTTAGCCGACCCGCACCGTGAACGGAAATAGTATGCAGCCGAGGCATTGAGGTTCCCACGTTTAGGGTTTAGGGTTTAGGGTTTAGGGTTTAGGGTTTAGGGTTTAGGGTTTAGGGTTTAGGGTTAAGGGGTTTGAGGGTTTAGAGTTAAGGGGTTAGGGTTTAGGGTTTAGGGTTTAGGGTCAGTATCCCTTAATGAAGGAAGACCTGTAGCCGGAAAGACCTACCTCTTTAGGGTTCCTTATTATGGTTTCTTAATATAGTTCCTTAAAAAGGTAGGTCTTTTCGGCTACAGGTATGCCTTAGATCATATTAGGGATCCTACTATAATTTATGAATATTCCTTAGTTAAGGGATACTGGAGTCTCAAGGTGGAGACTGGGTTTTCAAGGGCTTTGGGTTTAGGGCTTTGGGTTAGAGGGTTTAGGGTATACGGCTCAGGTTTGGGGTTTAGGGTTTAGGGTCTAGGGCTCCAGTTTGGGGTTTAGGGTTGTCGTTTAGGGTTTGGGGCGCCCTTTTGGAGAGTGGTGGGGTTTCAGGGTTCAGGGCTTCGCGGCTTTCCGTTTTGTAAGGGTTTTCAAGATTTAGGGCTTGGGGTTTGGGCGTGTTGTAGGACTACAAGGTCAGGCTTTTGGTTGGCTCCCCTGAGGGGTTGCGCTCTCTTCAGGCCTAGGGTCTGGGATTTTCGAGCCATGCCTGATTGAAGCGTCGCTGCAGTCTTTATGAACAGCAACATGTGCTGTCTTGTTCAGTTCCAATCCTAGACCCTGCACCCCAAACCCTAAACCCTAAACTCCCAAACCCTAAACCCCGAAGCGCTACGACCACAAAACCTTATAACGCCCCGTATCAACGTTTAGACAACCCTCATCGCCACCATAAAACGATTCTGTATGGGCCGCTTATATCCAAGGGTAAAAGGAGGGACCCTTGATAAGGACCCCTAGGTCTATACCCTTAGTATAGCCATTATATACCCATTAGCCCATTATAGGGTAGAGCTCCCCAGTGAGGGCCCCTCCTTTTCCCCTAAACCCCCTAAACCCCCAAACCCCTAAACCCTATACCCTTATAGAATCCCTATAGATCCCTTTAAAGGGTTCCCATTAAGGGTCCCTCCTTATCCCCTTGGATTATAGACTCCTTTGCATCCCGATGGCCTGCTTTGGCCGTTGGTCCTGGCTGCTGCTCGCGTGCAGGGCCCAGGGGAGGAAGAGCTTCAAAGGTTGATACAGAAGCCTAAATAGCAACCAAATTTAGTCCCTGGGGTTCCTTGTTTGAATATATATATATATATATACAGATATGTATACTGGGGTTCCTTAGGATTCCTTGAAAGGCTTTACTAGAATCTACCCCAAAACCCTCCACTTGTGAAGTCTCTTATGGTAATTTGGAGATGCCTTCGGCGTGAAGTGTAGGGTTCGGGGCCTTTTTAGGGTTTAGGGCTTATGTAGGGTTGAGGGCACAGTTTGGGGCTTCATTTTATTTAGGGTTTAGGGCTTATTTAGGGTTTAGGGCAAAAGTTTAGGGCTCAAGTTTATTTAGGGTTTAGGACTTATTTGGGGTTTAGGGCAAAGTTTGGGGCTTAATTTTATTTAGGGTTTAGGGCTTATTCATGTTTGTTTTGGGTGTTAAGGATGTGAAGGGCTTGGGCGTCACGAATCATGAGCTGAAACCCGCAAGCCCTTTAACCCTACACCAGACCCATCCTAATCTCAATCGATCTGAAGCGAGCGGTGGGAGAACGTGATTCACGGACACACCGCATCGCAGGAAGGGTTCATGCCGTGCAAACTCACGTGGGGTTGCAGGGTAAAGCTTGGAACCCCCGCAATTCACCAAACTTTTTGGGCGGGTTAAGCAGGAACATGACCCTGGGTGCACGCTACAACATCCCGACCCCAACCCCCGAGCCAAACGCCCGAACTCAGGGCTTAGGGGTTAAGACCTTCGGGTCTCGCGCCAAGCCCTAAGCTTAAAGGATCATGGGACTTAGTAGCTAAGGTTACTTTTGGGGTAACTGTACTAATAGGTACTTACAGCCCCAATTAAGGTACTTACAACCTTACTTACTAAGTCACTAAGTCACTAAGTCCCATGATCCTCCAAGTGAGCCCCAACCCCTGTAGAATCGACCGCAGCAAGGTTGGCAGCACTGGAGGAGACGCAGGCGGGGAGGGGTCGCTGCCGAAGAGGTGTTCGAGACTCTTTTGGGTGCAGTTTCACCAAAAGGGTTTAGGGTTTAGGGTTTAAACCCTGAACCCACTCTCCTAGGTAGTATTGGGGTACCCCCTTAAAGGGGACCCTTCTTAACCCTACTTCTGGCTCTCTTTAAAGGGACCTTATTGAAAGGGTCTACATGCCCAAAGGTCCCCCTTAATCCTAAGCCCTACACTCAAAACCTGAACCCACCTCTGCGGATTAGGGTGTGAGGTTTGCATGCTTAGAGAACTTGAGATTCCAGAGTAGGCCTTCGAGGGAGTCTCCGCACGGGATGTTCAGAGACATATGGGAGTTTCCCAAAATAGGGGACCCTAATATGGTACCCTAAATACTAGGATCCTTATTATAAGGGCCCCTAAATAAGGTACGCACCCAAAATTTTCGGAAACTCCCATATAGATCCCATCCCTTCAGTTCAGGAGTTCCTAGAGACTCCAATATGGGAGTTTCCAAAAATTAGGGGTACCTTATTTGGGGTCCTTATAAGATGGATCCTACAATTTAAGGGTACTATATTCGGGTCCCCTATTTTCGGAAACTCCCATATCCCTTAATTACGGAGTATTCCTTAGATCATGTTAAGGATCCTACTAGAATTTGTGGTGCATTCCTTAATTAAGGGACACTGAGTTTCGAATCCTCGCCAACCCCCACAAACAAATCTTGGCGTAATTAAAGCTTCCTCTTGGATACCCTAAACCCCTAAACTCTACGGTCAGGCATCTTCGTTGCTTTGAATCCATTGGTTAGGGTTTAGGGTTCAGGGTTTAGGTGTCAGGGACATTGGGGTTAAGGCTGCGGCCATGAGGATGCAGTTCTCTGTATTCTAGCGAAGCTCCAAACCCATGCCCTTACAAGGCTTAAACAACAGTATCAACAACTCATGAACGCTAGACTGCTAAACTCTAAAGCTTAAACTCTAAAGACACGAACTTCAAAAGCCACCCTTCCCCCCTCTAGAACACGAACAAAAAAAGAACCGCAGGCTTTCACAGCGACATGGAGCCAAGTCACGCCCTCCGGGAGTGAACCATCGGCACGATGGGGGCACAAAGCCGTCCTCACGACCTCAGGCGGGCCATCTCCCCAAGAAAGGAACACCCATAGATCCCTTCAGGGACCTATAGATCCCTTAAGGGAACTCTTAAAGGAAGCCCCCCGAAAGATCCCTTCAGGTTGATACTGCTGATGGACAACATCCTGCATGACCTTAAGGACCCTAAACTATGGGAATTATGGTATATTCCTTATATTGTGTCATGCAGGATATTGTCCATCCACCGCAACGCTAAGCATGTTGATTCTAGGGTTTTGGCAAGGCCACCAGATCTCCTTAATGAGTCTCTAACGGGGGGGGGTTGCTTCTCTTGAAAGTCGGCCGTAGGGATGGGTCGGGCTTGCGTCATCCCAAATCCATGTTCCAGCTTTCTGGGATCCGCTGTCTGATAGAGTTCCTAAACCCTATTCGTAAGGATTCTATAACTGTATTACTGAGGATCCTCTAGCCCTATTACTCACCCTGGGCATCAAAATAGCCCAAAGGCCTTATATAATTATGCAGTATGGTCTCTGGGCCCAAAAGCCTTAATATATGAGTCCTCAAATAAATCCCTAATCCCTATGGATCCCTTTAAAGGACGCCTTATAGATCCCTTTAAAGGAACCCCATATGAGTCCTTAGATGCCTAGGGTAAGGATCCTATTTTATCGACCTGGGTCTCTGCGCCAATGGGGGATCCTGGGGATGCCCCGAGCAAGGAAGCCACGGGAGTCTCTTGGGAGGTTCATTGTCTAGGATGCCCAGTAGTACCCTTATTCCCTTTTTGCAGTCCTGGGTTCCTTATAAAGTTACCCAATACCGGAAAGAGAGGCCTTTTTATTCTTAGGTTACTGGGTATCCTAGTTGTGGAGCTGTTCGGGTTGAGGGTTTAGGGTTTAGAGTTGAAGGGTTAAAGGGTTTAGGGCTTGCGGTTCAAGGGTTAAACGGTTTAGGGTTTAGGGTTGAAGGGTTTCAGAAGCGGAGGAAGAGCAGATCAGAGAGCAAGCCGCTTCTATCTTAGTCAGCGTGATCCGAAAGACAAATGCTCCTCAAATGCAAGCCGATACTAGTAGCCCTAAACCCCAAGCCCCACAACCCTCAGCCCTAGTCTGGAATGTTTTTTCGGGGCCCTTTGTTTGTTGATGCAACGGGATACCCCTACGCAGCCCAACGGGCTCAGACTTATTGCGTTCAACTTGAACACCCTACTCCGAGTCTTCTATAAGCCTTAAGCCCTAAACCCCGCACCCACCCTAAACCCCACAACCTAAGCCCCAAAACTCCGGACCATCACCAGGCGCCTGCTTCTTTGCCGGCTCGGATTCTTCTAGCCCTTTCCTCAGTGCAAGGAAGCCCTAAATTCCCCAAGCCAATAGTTAAATCCTGAAGCCTTTGGGATTTTTTTTGTGGTGACGGCCCTGGCACTCGTTAACCAATCAAGCCCTTCGACAAAAACTGGGCTTAGGGAAGCCGAGAGCAATCTTTACCCTCGACCATCGAGTCGCGAAGCAGCTGAACCCATGTTCAATGTAGTGGTCCTCACTACCGTGGGGCCGAAAACCGGGTAGCTACGAACCTTAAACCCTAAACCCTAAACCCTAAACCCTAAACCCTAAACCCTAAACCCTAAATCCAAACCCCAACCCTAAACTCTAAAGCTTCATGCACAGTTGTTCGATACAATACAAACCCTGTGAGCACCAGAGCCTCGTTAAAACCCAGTTAAAAGCCGGAGGAACACCAGTCGCGTCCGGTATGCTAGGATTCTACGCGGAAGGAGGGCCTCCAACTCAACGGAGCATCAAGCTTTTGTCCTACAGAGCCCTCAAAGAACCCTTAAAGGAACTCCGAAAGAGCCCTTACCTTGTAGCACTCTTCCGGAAGTCGCAAAATTCCTTAAAATGGCTGAAGACCCCTCTACAGCCCGCCTAGAACCTTTTACCTGAAGGATCATATACGTACCTTAACTGGGGTTGTAAGTGGATATAGCTGCATATAGCCCAACTTACTACGCCCTTGATCCCACAAGTTTAGGCTCCTAAACTCCGGCAGCATCAAAAGCCTAAGCCCAAAACCCATGAAGCCCAGGCAGCTATTTCGAAGATTCCTGGTGCTTCGATTTGTCCGTGCCCGGCCACATTAGCGAGGTTTAAAGTTTAGAGGTTTAGCTGTTAGTCTGCTGTTTTGTGGCTTTGCTTTGTGCGTTCGGGGCACAGGCTGCAGTTCTGGGGATGTAGGATTAAGGGCTTGGGGTGTGCGGTTAGGCGTTTGGCGTGCAGGATTTTGGGTTGAGGGTTCAGTTCGGCTTTTAGGCTTTCCATAAAGAGGACGACGAGGAGGAGTATGTGGATGAGACAGAAACAGAGGAGGTGTCGTGGGCTGTTCCCGTAGAAGTAAAATACTGTTCTGACCAACGAACCCAAAGCCCTACACACTGGACCCTAAACCAACAGTGGAAGAAACGACTTGAGCAAGCCGGGGCACAAGGCACACAAACCTCATGGCATGCAAGCTAGCCACCTGCATCTGCTCGTAAGCATGTCACTGTTAGCACTTATGTAAAACTCGCGAGGTCACATGATTTCCGTGTACAACTGCAAAGGAACGGTGTTGTGTACATCTGTCCAAACAGTATGGGCACATATTCTGCAAGTAAGTCTGTCTGTGTGGTGGTCGGTCGGTCGGTGTGTCGCTCTGTTAGTGTCTGTCTTGGTGCATGAGTGTATGGGTAAAGCAATGATTTGACCTGCAATCAGCACACAGCAGCCACAGACAGAGCATGGCATAATGGTTATGTCGATACGCACTTACATGCATGCAGCATACGCATTAACATATATGTACATCGATACATGAATAGGTACGTGCATGTATGCATATGTTCAACCTTCGCACGCTTTTGCTCTTGTGACGCGCAGGCAAGATCTTGGGACGAGAAGTTTACCAACTATGGCCCCCTGTCTCGCCGCAAGCATAGCGCTGCAGCGTACCAAGAGAGGATGTGGATTTTTGGTGGTGAGGACAGCAGGGGCCTCAGAGAACCGTAGGGGCCGCGGAACAAGATAAGATGGAAACCGAAGCGTACACAGTATGCAGCAGCACATCTAGAGACTCCAATATCCCTTAATTAAGGAATATACCTTAAATTATAGTAGGATCCCTAATATGATTTAAGGTATATTCCTTAATTAAGGGATATTGGAGTCTCTGGGCAAAGCTGTGCGCTGGCCACTTCTCAATTCGGGTCTTGCTTGGGGTCTCTCTCTGCACTCTTGCGGAAGCTCAAAGAAACCCTAGCCCTAAACGGCCGTAAAACGCTCAACCCGAATCCCTAAACCGTAGGCCTTAAACCTTAAACCCTAAACCCTAAATCCCTTAATCCCTAAACCCTAAAGCCCTCAAACCCTTAAGCTAAATCCCTAAACCTTAAACCCTCAACGCCAAACCGAGGTAGCGGGCAAACGAGCAGTGACTTGTGGGAGCTGAATCCGCAGGCAGGAAGCTTGTTGGCGGGCTTTGCACTTTCGGTTTCTTTTAGCGGTTGGCTGTGAGGCTTTAGGTTTTAGGGCAAAGCAAGTTATCCAAACTTGGAGTTTTGCATATGGTGGATCTCTTTCGCACTCCCTAAACCCTAAACCCTAAAACCCCAAGCTGGAATTATTTCCGAGTGCCTTTCCGTGGTGTAGTAGACCGGTCAACTCGGTTGGTATGCTGCTCATGTCTTGCTCCCGAGCGGTGTGGTTACTATACTTATAAGAAGGAACCCCCCAGAATAGTATGGGTAATTATTAAGGCCCCTATATTACGACTTCTCTACCTAACGCGCTACGGGATTGGTAATTTGGGTTGCGCAGGTGGTAACTGCATGAATATCGACTTCTGATCCCAAGCAGTGCAAGTATAAGCCTACTTCGGTAGTATCAGTAGCTCTGCTGGTCCGTCAAGTCTGAACCTAATGCCGAAGTTGAAACGTCTTATGATGTATGAATCGTCAGTACACGCGAACCTTATGAGCAGAACTGAGTGTTGGCTTTCATGATCCATTTCCCAAACCGAAAGACCCAGAGCCCGGAACCTTACACCGCTGGTCGGGTGTTAGCGGTTTAGGATTATCGGGTTTGTGGACTTTGTCTTTAGGTTCTAGCCCCAATCTAGGCTTCATTAGATGTTGCGAAGTGTTTCGTATGACCATTTGTTTTCGCGGGCGTCTTTGCTGGGGTGTTGAAACATCGGGGTCTAAATGATTAGCAACGCTATCCCCGTACAGTCTTTGCACTTGTACTTTAACGCAACCCCCTATTCTAATGATTTTTGTGAGTGCTTTTGCTGTTTTGTTTTGACCCTATAACTATATCCATGACTTGGAGGATCATGAGACTTAGTGACGAGGATTATAAGTGTAATTCTACTTAGAATTGCTTAAAGCCCCCATTAAGATACCTGCAACTTTACTTATTAAGTCCCATGATCCTGCAAGTATGGTATACTGTACCTCCAAAGCCTTGCTCTAACTATGAAGGCCCCTATGTTGGCCTAGCTTTTGCGTGGCTAGCCAGGACTCTAGCTGGACACAGCTTCATATTTCGGCGGCTACACCACCGGGACGACGCGGACACAGTGCCTGGAGTACCATACTTTACTACTTTTTGCGGGACCTGTCACTTAAAGGAACCATTATGAAACACAAGTCCATACTTTTTCTCCCTGCCCTAAACCCTAAACTTCAAAGCCCAGGTGCAGTGATGATTTCCGGGATGTTGTACGTGTTCGGTGGATACAGCAGCGGAGGTGACTTGGAAGTTTGGAAGAGTCTTCGATGTACATTAATACAGGGGCCTAAAAAGTGACCAATACTACTGTTGATGGACAAAATCCTGCATGGCCCTAAGGACTCCAAACTATGGGAATTATGGTATATTCCTTATAATGGGTACTGCAGGATTTTGTCCATCAATAGTATTTTGGGGGTTCCATATGATGATTATCGTACTTGCAGTGAAGTCGGGCCCACAACCCCGTTAGTTAGGAGAAATTCCTCGAAGGACAAAAAGAGACCATGCGTGATAAAGGAGGTATGTAAACCCTAAACCCTAAACCCTAACCGTTTCCTTTTAGGGGTTTAGGGTTTAGGGTTCATTATGGGGTTTGGGGAGTCATTGGGTTCGGGTGAAGGTCGTGGTATGTCCAAGCGCATTAGGGTTTAGGGTTCAGGGTTTAGGGTTTCTAGGGCGTAACGTAGAGCAGTGAAGCTCAGGTGTCCTGAAGGACCTGTGGTCGATTGACACCCAGGCATCGGACGGGTTGTAGATGAAGGATAGGGTTTAGGGGTTTAGGGGTTTAGGGTTTAGGGGTTTAGGGTTTAGGAATTAGGGGTTTAGGGGTTTAGGGGTTTAGGGGTTTAGGGGTTTAGGGTTTATGGTTTAGGGTTTAGGATTTAGGATGGAGGGCCTAGGGTCTATGGCAGATGCCTTGCATCAATCAGGTTTGAAAAAGAAACAATGCTTATGTCACTTTTGTCTCACACCCTATTCACTAAACCCAAAACCCTACACCCTAAGCCAGAAACCCTAAACCTTAAGCCCTAAACAGAAAAGCCAAAACCTAAACCCCAAACCCTAAACCTTAAACCTACACCTTAAACCCTAAACCCTAAACCCCTATAGATTCCTCATAGATCCCTTTAAAGGAACCCTTACGATTCCTGCAAAGGAACCTCTAAACCCTAAACCCAAAACTGCGTCAAGTTAATTGGGGCTTCCAGGACTCAACTGCTCTGCTGGTGTGTGAAACTAGGATGCCCAGTAGTACCCTTGTTCCCTTTTTGTAGTCCTAGGTTCCTTATAAAGTTACCCAATACCAAAAAGAGAGGCCTTTTTATTCTTAGGTTACTGGGTATCCTAGGAAAGCATCCCAGCACATCCTAAGCTCTGATTTTAATACTGTTGATGGACAAAATCCTGCATGGCCCTAAGGACTCTAAACTATGGGAGTTATGGTATATTCTTTGTAATGGGTAATGCAGGATTTTGTCCATCAGCAGTATTATCGTCGTATTTAGAATAGGATGAATTTAAGTACTAATTTTGTAGTCTCCAGCTGTATAATTTAGAATTTAGTATTGTCGTTATTTTCACTGTTATCAATATTGCGGTCATTATTGGTTAAACTTATCAACTCTTGTTTTGATTCTTATTCCTTTGGGGGTTGGCGGCCTTGGTAGTTCGAACGGGGATTCCTTCAAGGTTGCTTAAACCCTTGACGGCAAGCCCTAAGCCCAAAGCCCCAATCCCCGAAACCCAGTCGTCCCTGGTCATCAAAATAGCTCAAAAGCCTTACATATATGATGGTCTTTGGGCACAAAAGCCTTAATGTATGAGTCCTTAGATGCCGAGGGCTTAGGGGTCCGTACAGCATGGAGCTTACTTTTTGGGGCTCGTAGTCTTGTTCTCAGGATCCGGGGAGGCAGTAAGTAGGGCTACTGTTGATGGACAAAATCCTGCATGGCCCGAAGGACTCTAAACTATGGGAATTATGGTGTATTCCTTATAATGGGTAATGCAGGCTTTTGTCCGTCAACAGTATCCCTACCTCAGTTGCGAGGATGTTTCGATATGGGTAGTTCTCTAGATCAGGGTCACTTTGCCATTTTGGGGACCCAAAAAGGACCTTAACTGAGAGGACTACCCACATATAGCCCATATAGGACCCCTATAGGACTTTACAGATCCTTTTAAGGAGCCCCTAAAAGGGACCCAAACTTGCCTAGCCTGACCTACTACGGTTGATGATATAAATCCTACATTACCTTAAGGACCCTAAACTATGCGAGTAATGGAATATTCCTTATTATGGGCAATGCAGGATTTATATCATCAACCGTATGTCCCCCGACCCAAGCAAGCCCTGAAGTGAGACCCCAAGCCGCTCACCTAACCTGGGTTCTTAGGGTTTACCTGTAGCCGGAAAGACCTACCTTTTTAGGGTTCCTTATTATGGTTTCTAATTATAGTTCCTTAAAAAGGTAGGTCTTTTCGGCTACAGGTAGGGTTTAGCCTTGAAAATACGGTTTTAGGGTTTAGGGTACGGTTTAGGGTTTAGGGACGGTTTAGGCTTTAGGGTTTGGGGTTTCGGGCTTAGGCCTTAGGGTTTAGGCTTTAGGGTTCAGGGTGTAGGGTTGTCGCTGAGTTATGTTAAGTTACCATAATGGGATTTATGCTGAAGAATATGGGCTCTGCATTATGGATTACGCTGAATCCTTGAACAAGAGCCAAGAACCCGACTGATAAGTCACACCTAGGGAGATGGAATGAAAATAGAAACCTACATAATTGCCAACAGTATTCCCTACGGTTCCTTATTATCATATGACCCAAAGCCCTATTCGGTTTTCGTGTTTAGGGAGTTTTCGGGCCTGCATCAGGGATAGGGTTTTGGGCTGAAATCCTGCTCTAGCCCCCATATCCTGCTTCACGTGACAGGCAGGAGCTCCCACATGGCAGGAGATTTCCAGCATGACCCCGGCTCCTTCCGCGCGTGAAGACCACAGCGCAGTATTGATGAACTCTGCGATGTGGATTTTCGGCGGATCTGCTGGCGGTGGGGGGCCCAGAAACGGGTCCAACAGGCAGTTTTGCACTTGGATACGTACCTGTCATGAGTAGCATGTCGGCCAGAATGGGATAGAGATCTAGATGTGCAGCTCTGCTTCTTGAAGTTTGGAGTTTGAGTGCATGACTCGAGATGTGGTGCAATTCCTGTCAGACTCTTGCGCTATATAGTACCCGAAGCTTCTCGCGCTCGAACCCATATATGGGTAGTTGTCAAAATTATGGTCCCTTTTTGGATACAAGGTGCCGAATCATATTAAGAGCCCCAAAAAGGGACCATAATTTTGACAACCACCCATATGGTTCCGCAAACTGCCCAAAGCAGATCGAAACGCGTTCGGTCGGAAGTTTCAAGTCGTATCCAGCAGGTGCTCTCAAAACTTCAGCCACGCCCTCGTGCCTGCTTTTCAATGTACCCGAAACCTCAGACCCCATCAGGTGCAGGTGGGGCTGAAAGTCTGTAGTTTAAAGTGACACGTCGAGGCTTTAGGGTGTGCTCCGGGTGCCAAGAAATCCTAAAGAGCCCTGATGTTCAAGTTCTGCCAGCAGGCTTATCAAGCCCTAAACCTTAGACCCAAAGCCCGGAGCAACATCAGCACAGGTGGGGCTATGAACGACGTGTGGTTCGTCGATTTGTCACAGGCCGCAAACTGAAAAGGCTTATCTAGACTCTAGACACGATGGGGACGTCAATCATTTGTTATACACTCCCTGTAGGGCACCCCTATACTTATAGTATGGTCTTGTTGATGATTAAGCAAAACCGGCGTGTCATAATGAGGAAACGTCCGTGCACGGCGCGTGTCTTTGCGGTTTCTGAGACAAAGAGGACGGACCAAGCGCCACATCGGCAATCCCTAAACCCTAAACCCTAAACCCTAGACATGTCTCTGAAGCAAATCGACAGGGATACATATCCCAAAGAGGTCCAAGTACCATTATAGTAGGTACTTATTCTCCCAAAGGGGTGCAAGTACCATTATAGTAGGTACTTATTATCCCAAAAGGGGTGCAAGTACCATTATAATAGGTACTTATTATCCCAAAAGGGGTGCAAGTACCATTATAGTAGGTACTTATTATCCCAAAAGGGGTGCAAGTACCATTATAGTAGGTACTTCGTACCCTAAAGTAATATGCTGTATGGTTGCTTGGACCTTTTTGGGAAGGAAGGAGCTTAGGGTAAGGGTTTTTGTTTGGTTTTGGGGGTTTAGGGTTTATGGTTTAGGGTTTTAGGGGTTTGGGGTTTAGGGGTTTAGGGTTTAGGGTTTAGGGGGTTTAGGGGTTAGGGGTTTGGGGTTTGGGGTTTAGGGTTTGCTTCGAAGTCTTCGAAGGCCAGGACGAAAGAAGCAGGATCTTACGAGACGGAAGGTCCCAGTAGCCTGCTGCTGCAAGAGAGAACCTCAGGGTTTAGAGACCTCAATGATTAGGTTTAGGGTGTAGGGTGATTAGAAGGGGGTCTTTAAGGGATCTATGGGGTTTAGCTTTGTCGCAACAGAGAATTGGGGACAATTGACATGCCCCAGTAGCTTGGCGCAAGCAGGACTGAGCTTTAAGGTCTAGGGGCTTTTAGCGGTTTAGGATTTAGGGTTTAGGGGCACTGGGGCACTAGGGGCCTTGATAATGTAGTTGCCTTAATAATTAGAACAGGGTCTTGGGGATTCCTTATTATTTTTATAGTATCCTATACTGATTAATAAGGCCGCTGCATTAGCTCGGATAGGTCTTGGCATCATTGCAGTAAAGCCTAGACCCTGAACCCTCAAGTTATGTCGGAACCAAGCCGCGAGCTTCTACTCCTTATTCAGACCTCTAGGTCAAGACCTACCAGTACACGATGGCCCTACATCTTGTACAGCAAACTCTAGGCCATAAACTAAATCCACCACTAGGATGCCCAGTAGTACCCTCATTCCCTTTTTGTAGTCCTAGGTTCCTTATAAAGTTACCCAATACCAAAAAGAGTGGCCTTTTTATTCTTAGGTTACTGGGTATCCTAGAACTCTCCACCATCTTGTGCTCGAAACTCGATGAACCTGAACCGCTCCGTTGATCAGGCGCCAGGGTTTTGGACGGAGATCTCCACGAGTGGAACGACTGTCCGCCGAACCGGGCACAGTGCCTTGGTCAGGGCAGGGAAATGTTGGGCTCTTACCGCCCTTTTAGGTTCCTTCCTTGGTAACAACCATGTCAAACGGAGGTTTTGGGAGTTCATGCGTATGCTAATCATGTGGGCCGTGAAGGGTCATGCCTTAAAGCGAAGTTGGATCCTTGAAACTGGCGCCCCGAGCTGCCAAACGAATGGATTGCTAGACCTTAAACCTCCCATTCCAAGCCTTCAGGCCTCAAACCACCGTCTGTGAACCTTACGCCTCGAACCTCCCACGACAAACCTGACAACCTGGGCCTTCTATCATGCACTTTAAACCCCTGGCCCTAATTTCTAGGCCTACATCGCTTTTGGGTCTGGGATTTCGGGGTTTCGATGCGATCTCAAGATCCCAGTCTTCTAACCACTGCCCGACCGTCCAAATAGGGGCCTGAATAATTACCTATACTATTTTGGGGTTTCCTTATTACAAGTATAGTGTAATGTGCTCCAAAACCCCACTGTAATTGTCAGTGCCCGACCGTCTAGGCGTTTATGTGCAAAAGCCTCAACTTTGGTTCCGCGCGTTCCTTGCATCCAATCGTCTGGACGCCGAAAGTGTCGGATGTCTTTGTCCCTTTGCCAAGCCGCTTGTTGGCCCTAAACCCTAAACCTGTGAAGATGACCCAGAGCCTCATGCCCTCAACGCGATCAAGCCTTAAACCCTAACAGAGAGCCTCATGCACTGATTCCTAAGCCGTAACCCGAAGCTCTACTACGCCCTATCTGCCTATATAACTCATGCCATATTCTGTCAAGCAATAAGTCACTGCTGTTCCTTCTTAGGAATGTAGCTATACAAACCTCAGGAGTTCCGAGAGATGTGAGCAAACTCAGCAACATTAGAAGGTTTTTTGGGGTTAGGGTCCTCAAGTCAACCCTACCCTAAACCCTAAAGCCTAAAGCCTAAACCCTGAACCCTAATCCCCTAAACCCTAATACCCTAAACCCTATAAAGCGCTACATAGGCATCGAGTCAAGCGGATCGGCTCAATAGCTCCTTCCGCCGATCTTTTCCAAGCCCTCAAACCCAGTATGCTTGAATCGGGGAATGTAAGTCAAACTGTACAGGGCTGGGTATGAAGGGTTTTGGGTTTGGGGTTTACAGTTATGGTTGAAGAGAACACTCCCGGAGTGTTCAGTATCCCAGACCCCGATCCCTACATGTGCAAACCAAGTGCAGGTGCCCATGTGCACTCCGACAAGATGTGGGTCTTCGGTGGGCATGATGGAGGGGGTCGCGAGCCTCAATGCAGAGCACAGCTTAATTACCTATACTAATCTGGGGTTCCGTTTTAAACTTATAGCATATTGGGCCGTATATCGGGCCCCAAGGCCCTGTCCTAATTATTGAGGCCCCTAGATTATATGACATTGCGTCACCAAGCGTGCTTTCGAAGAACCGCATAGGATGCCGCATGATTCCACACGACATACGAGAGCATGGCAAGGCTCGTGAGGCAGGTATAGGAGCTGCAAAAAATTGCCAAAGTTAAGGGTTTAGGGTTTAGGGTTTCTTATTCTGGTTATACCACACTATATCACAAAACCCTTTTCGAATTAGTAAGACTCTACATCACTGTTTCTTGAACCTGAAGCGTCGGAGCAGGTTGCTCTTAGTATGAAGGGGCTACTTGAGAAACAGGTAAGTCATTGTATTGAAGAACCTCCATAAGAATTCGAGATCTTGGTTGCTTAGCTGAAGGGTTTGGGGCCCTGCGTGATACTTCAGAAGCACTAAACCTCGCCCCAAGCTCCGAACCCCCAAAACGCTTCAATGCCTAAACCCGTAAAACTTAAACCCAGGCGGAAAAAAAACAACACGCCGAACTTTGAAAGTCTCGAACCCCCTTCAAACTTGAAGCCCCAAGCCCTAAAACCTAAGCTCTAAAGCCTGCGAAGCTCCACCAGCCGCGAGTTGTCTTTGCTGAAAACCTTAAACCCTAAACCCTAAACCCTAAACCAATACCCTAAACCCTAAACCCTAAACCCTAGACCCTAGACCCTAAACCCTAGACCCTAGACCCTAAACCCTAAACCCTAAACCCTAAACCCTAAATCCTAAACCCTAATCCCCTAAACCCTAATACCCTAAACCCTAAACCCTAATATCCTAAACCCTAAACCCCTAAACCCTAATCCCCTAAACCCTAAACCCTAAATCCTAAACCGCTGAGGCTTTTCGGCTGCGCTGGCATACCTCGATCTGACGGCCGGGGGGCAGCTGTGTAGGGCTTAGGGCTCCGGCTCCAGGGTCCCGGGTTCTATAAGGAGTCCTTTAAGGGCTCCTTTAAGGGCTCTATAAGGGCTCCTTTAAAGGGATTTCTAAGGGTTTAGGGTTTAGGGTTTAAGGTTTAGGGTCCCGGGGTTCGGGCTCCGGGTTCTGGGTTTAGCAGGTTAACGCTTCGTTTAGGGTTTAGGGTTCAGGGTTTAGCGCTTCGGGTTCAGGGTTTAGGGTTCACGGTATCGAAGGAGCCGGCTTATGATACGGATGATCTCATGATGGTATCGAACACTCGTACTACTTCAAAATGCAGGCGCAATGAGAATAGCCATGTAGTAGCCATAGCAATAGGAATAGCAATGAAAAGTACCAGTACTAGTACCAGTAATCGCAATAGCAATAGTTAATTCGCAGTAGTTATTAATATTACATTAATATTAATAGTGCTAGCAACAATACTTGCAAGCGTCAGAGTGTGAAGAAGAAAAGTTGTAATAGTAGTAATATCCATAACAACGACAGTAGTAACATCGAGAAAAATGGCAATCAGAATTAGTAATAATCCCGCAAGCCAGGGCAAAGGTTCAGCGGAGACCCAGCAAACCCTTCCAACTAAGGCACTGTTTGGGGTTCACGCTCTCGGGTTTGGGTTTAGGGTTCCCCGGATACCTCCCAAGTTCTCAGGTATACAGCTTACTTGAAAGGTGTTTGGAGTAGTTTCGGTTTAGTGTTTAGGGTTTAGGGCACAAGGCTCCAAATGGAAAGAGCCTCAAAGCAAGGACCCCGGATACCAATAAATCACCCGCGTCAAGCCACGGAGAGAACTCGGTTTGGGGTTGAGAGTTTAGGGGTTTAGGGTTCATTATTGGTCTTGCAGCGCTTTGCTGCAAATGCGTGTGGTGGAAGGTATCCCACAAAGCCTTCCGAGGTCAGGGGTTCCGGTTGTGGCAAGTTTTGGGGTTCGCGTGCTTAGCTGAGGAGAAAGGGATGACCGAAACCATAATTCGTGTTTCCAATCATATACCTGGTGAGTTTCACTACCTTTGATGTCGGGTGGTTGTGCCATGCAGTCCAGAAAAATCGGGAAATCAGTAAACACAACTCATCTTAGATCCCCAGCCTTTAAACTTTTTGGGTTCTTACAGTTTAGTAGGAGTTTAAAAGTTCAACCTGTTATTTCTTTGTTTTATTGGGGGAGTACGTCTCCAGCATGCAGCCCCTCAAGGGCCTCACCCTGAACCCGCAGGACTTGAGTTGAAGCAGCGGAGCATATCAAATCTTGCAGAGAACTCAGAACCCTTTGTACCACTGATAGAAGAAGACCAGCAGCATCCAACTTGACCGAAGAACCTTAAGCCCTGATCCCTGATACAGACCTTAACCTCTACACAGGGGCCCATGTACAGTAGAAGGCAAAAAGTTGGAAATCCAATAGCCTCAGTCCTTAAGAGTCACATATAGGGAATCGCAGCACTAATTGTCCTTAATCCGGTTTCCAACTTTTTGGGGCTTACTGTAGGCATGAACAGCCTGCGCCCTAAACCCTAAAGGATCCGGGCGGCTCCTACAGCTGGTGGGAAGACACATCTTCAAGTGGAACCAGGCCTGGCATTGACAGTTGGGCGTGCTCTTACCGTGGGCTTCACTTAAAGGATCGTGGGACTCAGCAACTAAGGTTACTATTAGGGTAGCTATTCTGATGACTACTTCTGAACCCAAGTAATTAAGGTACTTAAAACCATGCTTCCCAAGTCGCATGACCCTCCAAGTATCTGGGTTCTGCCACGGTTGTCTTAGGTTCCCTGGGCTTCTCATGACAAGCCTTAAACCCTGAACAACAAACCCTGAACCTCAAACCCTAAGCCTCAAACCTGAAAACCCTCAAAAAACCTTAAAACCCTGACTCCCAAACTCTAAACCTCAAACCCTAAACCTTCAAACCCTAAACCCTGAATCCCAAACCCTAAAACGTTAAACCCAAAACCCAAGCCCCCGAGATCTCCCCCACCCACGGGGATACTCCGGGCTGAAGTTGCAGTAGCATAGGAGAACGACTAAGAAGCCTTGTGTATTTGGGCTTTTTTTTATGAATCTCAGCATTTTCTGGGGTTCTAGGAGAAGGATTTCTTAATCAGGTTCCTACATCCGTTCTATCTCGCAGAATCCCAGTAACCCCAGGCCAGCCGGCCGGCTGCGACATGCAGCGGTTCTGGACCAAAGCCGGCTGTGGGTGTTCGGCGGATCATCCACCAGCGTCTTGGTGGGTTTAGGGTCTAGGGATCGGGGTTTAGGTTTCCGGGTCGAGGGCTTTTTGGACTAGGGTTTAGAGCTCAAGGGAAGCTCAAAACCCTAAACCTTGCCTTAAAGGGTTTAGGGGTTGGGGTAGGGGAAGCCCCAAACCCTAAACCCTAAACCCTACCTTAAAGGGTTTAGGGCAAGCCCCCAAAGGTCATGCTACAAGCCGATATAACACGGTTAGGGTATAGGGATCAGGGTTTAGGGTTTAGGGATTATGGGTTTTAGGGTTGAGGGGAGGATGAGGGTTTGAGGGATTAAGGGGGGTTTGAGGGTTTTACAGAGCATCACTAAGAAGGTATCCGAATACCGAAACGCTGTAACGCCTAAGTCCTAGCTCTCACGAAGCCGGCCGGCCCGCGACCCCCGAGCTTACATGGAAGTGTCAGGGAGTAAGAGGCCCGGCCATACGGTGGATGATATAAATCCTGCATAACCTTAAGGACCCTAAACTATAGGAATATTGGTAAATTCCTTATTCTGGGTAATGCAGGATTTATATCATCAACCGTAGGAGCCGAATCGGAGGATCCTTATCATCGCGGGCAGAAGTGAACTGCTGCAAAAGGCTTGGGACCGTACAACCCTAAGCAGATTTTCAAACCGAGTTTCAAGGGCGCACATAAACCCGACAACCCTCTCGTAGACTGCCAGCCCTCAGCGCGGTGCATAGCTCTGCAGGACTCTGCATCGTTGTTTTTGTTCGATGTTTACATGGTCGACAAATTACACCAGGGATGGCTGTTTTCAAGCATCCCAGCCCACATGTGGTTTCGGGATTTCCATTTAAACTTGCTGGTGGAGTCTTCTCTCTCTAAACCCTAAACCCTAAGCCCAAAACCCCAAACCCTGAACAACAAGCATTAACTCCTACACCCCAAACTCTAAACCCTACACCTTAAGCCCTAAACCCCTACAGGTCCCTTATACATCCCTTAAGGGAACCCTTAAGGATCCCTTAAACCCTAAACCCTAAAACCCCTAAACCCTTAAACTCCCAAACCCCCAAACTCTAAACCCTAAGCCCGAAACCCTAAACTCTAAACGCAAAACTCTAAATCCTAAACCCCTAAACCCTAAACTCTAAAGCCTAAACTCCTAAACCCCTAAACCCCAAACCTTCTTGTCCTCTGAGGTGGAGACCTGAAAGATGTGTGGTACGTTGACCTCGAGGCCTCCCCAGGAACTTAAGGTTCCTCAAAGGGATCTATAAGGGCTCTATAAAGAGTTCCTTCAAAGGGATCCTTGAAGGGATCTACAAGGGTTCTGTAAGGGAAGTAGGGAAAATTTTCAAAATTCTCCCACTGGTTAAGGAAGAGGCCCTGAACCATAAGGGGTTTCCAGAACATGATTTAAGGCTTATCCCTTCTTCCAAAACCTTCACCTCTAAACCCTCTACTCTAAATTCTGCACCCTAAACCTGGTTCACGGTATTTTTTCCCTTTTTTTGGAGTCTGCGGGCCCCGGCAAATAAGCTTTTTGGTGTCGGAGACTAGGGCTTCGGTCGCCGGATGCTGGGCTATGGGCGGCTGAGAGTCTTACTTGGAGATTCACGGGTAGTTATAAGTAGGGTCCCTTTAAAGGGATCTATAGGGATTCTAGAAGGGTATAGGGTTTAGGGTTCAGGTGGAGTTATAAGCCCCCTAATCTGGGTTATAAGTATAGATAACCATACTTATAACCACCCAGAACCTCCAAGTACAGGTTAGGGTTCAGCGTTCAGGGACCAGGGTTTAGAGCTTAGGGTTTCTAGATTAGGCTTCAAGGTTCAGGCGTAGAAGTTTTTGGATCCAGCTTGCGCTAAACATATTGGGGAAAATATTTTTCCCTAATATGTTTAGCTAGGATGCCCAGTAGTACCCTTATTCCCTTTTTGTAATCCTAGGTTCCTTATAAAGTTACCAAATACCAAAAAGAGTGGCCTTGTTATTCTTAGGTTACTGGGTATCCTAGACCCATTGTAAGGAATATACTATAGTTCCCATAGTTTAGAGTCCTTAGGGTCATGCAGGTCTTAGGTTACTGGGTATCCTAGACCCATTGTAAGGAATATACTATAGTTCCCATAGTTTAGAGTCCTTAGGGTCATGCAGGTCTTAGGTTACTGGGTATCCTAGACCCATTGTAAGGAATATACTATAGTTCCCATAGTTTAGAGTCCTTAGGGTCATGCAGGTCTTAGGTTACTGGGTATCCTAGACCCATTGTAAGGAATATACTATAGTTCCCATAGTTTAGAGTCCTTAGGGTCATGCAGGTCTTAGGTTACTGGGTATCCTAGGTAAGCTTGTCCTCGGAGGTTCATGGGATCGCTGCGGGGGCGAGTGAAGGCTTCGAGGCTGATGGGTTTGGGATTTTTGGGGACCTTAGCAGTCACCTACACTATATATATATATATATACATATATATATATATATATAGTTTTTTTTTTTTTTGTTTTTTTGTTTTTTGGCGGGGGGTGGTTCTTTATTATAGTTGTACGTCTAGTGTAAAGTATCCTAAAACCCTATTCTAATTATTAAGGCCCCGATTTTAAGGTCTGTGCTGATGTCTTTCGGGGTTCATCTCACCAGGCGGCGACAACGACGACCAGCGTCTCCACGACGGTCAGCGGCACCACAAGCAGTAGCCTGTCGGCGACCATGAGCAGCACCACTACAAACACTGGAACCAGTAGTTCGTCCACCACCACGGCAAGCAGCACCAGCAGCAGGACCAGCAGCAGCACCAGCAGCAGCACCAGCAGCGCCAGCAGCAGTAGTACCAGCAGCGGTAGTAGCACCAGGACCACCAGTGGTAGCAGCACTGCTTCGATGACCAGCTCATTGACTGCGAGCAGCAGCAGTTCAGTCACGAGTCATTCAAGCACGACGACTGGCAGCACGAGCATCACCATGACTCTGACCAGCAGCACAACTGTCAGCAGGACAGTGTCCAGCACTTCAACCAGCAGGTCTAGCACTTCCAGCACAACATGGACAGACAGCACAACCAGCAGTGCTAGCAGCACCTTGAGCACAAGCAGCAGTGCAACCAGCACGGTCAGCACAACCAACAGTGTGACAAGTACAGTCAGCATATCGTCCACATCCAGCACGAGCAGCTCGTCGATCTCCGCAAGCACCAGCGCCACGACCAGTACCAGCAGGACGACAACCAACACACGCGCCCTGTCAGCACATTCTGTAGAACCAAGTAGGTATTGGAGGAAATCCTGTGCAATGTTTTTGAAGGTTAGTTCGCCCCGCCGCATCATCCAAAATCTCCAAGCCCCTGAGCTCCTATCCTAAGCTCATGAGTCTCTAAGCCTCTTTACCCTGCCCCAGAACCCCTACGACCTAAACCTTTAAATCACTGAAGCCCGAACCGCCTACAGCTTTAAATCTTGAATTCTTATGAAATCTAAAAGCTCCATGCAGTGTTTATCCAACAACGACCGTTTGGCGTACCAAGCTTTGATGATGCAGAAGCCTGAATAGTTGCTAATACCCAGAATCCCCTTTTAAGTATTTAGGCTCCTATAGTAGCCCTCATGGTACCCTTTCAAAGGAGCCCTCAAAAGGAACCCCACTCCAAGCGTTGCGGCTTAAGTTCTAGGTTTTTTCTGAGTGGTATCCTTTTGCCCTTCTTGTCTCAGAGTCCCGCTGCTCAGGAACCCAGATGGGGGTTTCCGAAAATAGGGGATCCTAATATAGCACCCTAAATAGTAGGATCCTCATTATAAGGACCCCAAAACAAGGTACCCCTGATTTCCGGAAACCAACAGATAAAGCGAGTCACACCTTGAGCTCCTCGAGCTAGGCAATGACTTGACACACAGGCCCCAAGCCCTAAACAGAAAACCCTAAACCCCCTAAACCCTAAAGCCCTAAACCCTAAACCCCTAAACCCTTGATGACTAGAATAGGGTGGGCTTAAGGTTTACGCTTTAGGGTATTGGGGTATATTTAGAACTAAATCATTCTACTAAGGAAGCCGAAGGAACAGAATGACCAACTATGCAGGCTTGACTCTAGATTCCAGCCCACACTCAATTTAGGTTTGGATAGGGTGTTGGCAGAGTTCAGGGGTTAGAAAAAAAGGCTTTTCCGTGCTTAGGGTTCCCGGGGTTTTGGCTTCAAGGTTTGTGTCCGGCTCATAGCGCAGCCTTCAATTCCAAACAAACCTAAACGCTAAACCCCAAACTCCTAAACCCCAAACCCGAAACTCCTAAACCCCAAACCCTGAATTCCTAAACCCCAAACCCTGAGCTTTTAAACCCCAAACCCTAAACTCCTATATAAACCCCAAACCCGGAACTCCTAAACCACAAACTGTTATGGATCCCTTAAAGGAGCCCTCAAGGATTCCGTATAGCCCAACTCCTAAAGCCCAAACACCACACCCGAGGCACCACTGCGACGAGCAGCTTCACGACTTCGGCCACCACGTCCTCTACGACCAGCACAGGGAGAGCTGCTTTAGGGTTTAGGGCTTTAAGGTTCAGGGTTTAGGGCTTAGGGTTTAGGGTTCAGGGTTTAGGGTTCAGGGTTCAGGGTTTAGGGTTTAGGGTTCAGGGCTTAGGGTTTAGAGGGTTCAGGGTTCAGGGTTTAGGATTTAGGGTTTAAGGTTCAGGGTTCAGGGTTTAGGGTTTAGGGCTTAGGGCTTAGGTATGTGGGTTTAGGGCTTGAAGGGACTCATCCTTCGGGCCTCGCCCGCCAGACTTCCCACAGAATGGGGATCCCAGAACGCCTCCATGATCGAATCCTTCGGTGGATGATATAAACCCTGCATTACCTTAAGGACCCTAAACTATGGGAATTATGGTATATTCCTTATGATGGGTAATGCAGGATTTATATCATCAACCGTTACATTGCGCTGCTCTTTCTTCAGGCACTTCATATAGGGGCCTTATTGATCAGAGTAGGTGTTTGGGGCCCATCATACTCGACTTACAATAAGGAGCCCCCAAGATAGTGTTGGTAACCGATAAGGTCCCTATATGATCTCGTGAGATCATGGTTCAGCATTTTCCAGGCTTCGAACATCGGGGGCCAGGTACTTCACCAGAGAAGTTTCGGCTTCAGCGCTCCTATGTTGTAGTGGTTTAGGCGAATGCGAGATCGTGAACGCCGAAGTCCAAGCGTAGACTCCGCGGGCCTGTGAAGCCTTAGTCTCAGACCCCCACCCGGCCTGGAAACAGATGTCATGAGCAGTCATGATTCGGGTCTTAGGTTTAGGGTTCAGGATTTAGGATTAAGGCTTTAAGCCCTAAACTCTACGGGGTGAGGGGTTCGGGGTGCAGGGTTACAGGATCAGGGTATGGTGTCTCTACATTCTCAGATCTTCGGGTGCGGTTCGGCACCCAGATACCAGAGTTTCCGAAAATTAGGCGTACCTTCTTTTGGGGTCTTTATAATAAGGATCCTACTATTTAGGGTACTATATTAGGGTCCCCTATTTTCGGAAACCCCCAGATACCAGAAGAGGAATTTTAGAACATGGGTTTCAAATAGTTAGAGATGAGGGTACCTGTGCACCTTTTCGCGTTTCAGCAACCCCACCGCGAGCATCTTAAAAGCCCCCCCGGTCGAATCCAACTTCAGCAGGCCCCGGAAACTCTACTTGTAGGTAGTATTATTAGGGAGACCCCTTAAAGGGTACCCCTTCTGAGCCCTACTTGTGGCTCTCTTAAAAGGGGCCTTATTGAGAGGGGTCGATATCCTTAAGGGTCCCCCTAATCCTAACCCCCAACTTGGAAGTATTTGGGTATGCAGATGGGGTTTAGGTACCTTGTTTGGGCTGATCGTGTGGAAGGGTTTGGGGTTCTTCTGTCAAGGAACTCTAGCGGGTATAGGGTTTGCGGGCTTAGGGGTTTAGGATTTCAGGTTTGTCTTAGAGGTTTCAGCTCAATTTGCCGGTTTAACGACTTCTCAGCTTGTGAGAGGTACTACATGCGAAGAAATTATGAGGTCAACGTGCAAGGCCTCAATACATAATTAGTGGGGTGCGGTTTACATGTTCCCACCAGAGCACCAAGCTCTTTAGTTTCGATTCTGTAAAGGGTTATGCAGCCAAGCACCCTACACACTAAACCCTAAATCTTAAACCCTTAAACCCTAAACCCTAAACCCGAAGCCCTAAACCCGAAATCCAAATCCCTAAGCCTTAAACCCTAAACCTCAAACCCTGAAAACCCTAAAACTTTAATCCCCAAACGGCCCCAAACCCTAAATCCGTAGGACCTACTCGACCACCACCACGGCTACCGGGACGACCATCACCGTCACGGGAGCCGGGCTTGAGTTGAAGAGGCCGATAGACTTCGGGGTTTCTGAGGGGTACTTAGAAATAGTTTGTAATTTTTGGTTATTAATAATCCCTAAGAAACAGCTAAAATTACAATTTTTGCTAGGGTTCTAAGTTCAGTATAGGTTTAGGGGTTTAGGGTTTATGGGGTTTTAGGGTTTAGGGTTGATAGGGGTGTGGACTTTAGGGTTTAGGGTTTATAGGGGTTTATAGGGGTTTAGGGGGTTTAGGGTTTATAGGGTTTATAGGGTTTATAGGGTTTATAGGGGTTTAGGGTTTATAGGGGTTTATAGGGGTTTATAGGGTTTAGGTTTGCGGTTCAGGCTACGCCTTGGGGTTTGAAAGACATACCCTGCTGTAGGGCTCCAAGTGTACGAATAGTACCTACTTTGGGGTCTAAAGTCTTAAAATAGTACCTACTTTAGCCCCAGGGATATGTAAGAAAATCATACTTAAAGGATCATGGGACGTAGTAACTAAGGTTATTATAAGGGTAACTATACTTATGCTTACTTATAACCCCAATTCAGGTACTTATAACCTTACTTACTAAGTCCCATGATCCTCCCAAGTAGACCCTAAACCCTAAACCCTATAGATCCCTTTATAAGGAACCCTATAGATCCCTTTAAGGAGCCCTTTAAGGAACCTTACTAAGTCATAGAAGGAGCCCTTCAGGGCTTCGCGTTGTGGGTCGACTTCATCCTAAAACCCCAAGACCGTTCTTCGCTAGGGTTTAGGGGTTTAGGATTTAGGGTTTAGGATTTAGGGTTTAGGGGTTTAGGGTTTAGGATTTAGGGCTTAGGGGTTTAGGGTTTAGGGTTTAGGGTTTAGGGATTGGATTAGAAGGGGCCCCCACCCTGTAATAGTGGTATAATAGGGCCCCCTTCTATAATCCTTATAGTCACCATTACAGGGTGGGGGCAGCTTCTAGTCTACACCAAAAGGGAGTCGAGAGGATGGTTGGGCAAACGTGGTTTCCGTAGGGAAAGGGTGCCGACCTACGGGATCATATTGGGAACATATCGGGGAATCCCACACCCATCCTGGTACTACGGCATTGATGGCTGTTCTCTTGGGATCTTTTCAGGGAGACTTTACGAATGAGATAAGGGATCTATAAGGGTCCTATAGGGATCTTTCAGCAAACATCCAATTTGGCTTCCAATGCTTGGAGGTTGACGGTGGTCTGTCGTTACAGGCATTAGGGTTGTGGATTTTTCGTCACTGCTTTGAGGTTCAGCAGCTTACGGGGTTTCATCATTTGAACTAAAAGGCCGTATACAGTTTGGAGGCATATTCCTTCCTTCACGATTCTCGGGCTTTCCGAAACCCAAACATCATCTTCCTGACAGCAACGCTCGTCTCCCTTGCATTGGGACCCGTCGATTCCAACATCCCTGAATTGAGGACTTTCCTTAATCCAGAAATATACCTGAAATTATGGTAGGATCCCTAATGTGATTCAAGGAATATTAATTTCTTAACTCCCTTATAGAACCCTTATAGATCCCTTTAAGGAACCCTAAGGAATAGCCCTTGATTAAGCGATGTATTGGAGCCGCTGGGGAGGCAAGAGGAGGCCTTCGAAGCCTCCGCAGCCATCGAAAGAGCCGAGGAGGCCGACGACACTGCGCCTAATGTGTAATACGGTTGATGATATAAATCCTGCATTACCCATAATAGAGAATATACCATAAATCCCAGAGTTTAGGGTCCTTAAGGTAATGCAGGATTTATATCATCAGCCGTAAGGCTGTCTAGATAAATAGCAGGGTTTATGGTTTAGGGTTGAGGGCTTTGGGTTTAGGCTTGAGGGCTTAGGATTGAGGGTTGAGGGTTTAGGGTTGAGGGTTTAGGCTTGTGGGTTTAGGTTTTAGGGTTTAGATAAGTAGCAGCACAATATCATTCCCTTGTAGTCGTTTATATGAATATACTACAGTAAACCCCAGCCATATGTTCATTGTTCAGGCCGCTATAGTACGGTGTCGTAGAGCTTCACATTGTTATGTGGGGGTAGATGAAGGCGTTATCGGCTTGCGCAAGGGTTGAGGGTTTACTTGCAGAAGCCGGCGACTTGAGTCACTTGCATTCAACAAAGTCTCTCCCTCCCCTAGAGGATGCAGGGTGTAGGGTTCGAGGTTTTTAAGCTAAGGTTCTTCTACTCCTACTAACATGCAGGCTTTGAGGTCTACTATAGGGGCCTCAATAATTAGAACAGGGCTGTGGGGGTTCCTTTATGCTTATAGTAGAATATACCCCCAACCTTATTCTAATCATTAAGGCCCCTATATTCGTGTTCAGAGCCCAGGGATCGGGTTGAATCCTTAAAACGCCGAACCCTCAACACAAGCCCGATACCAGGGTTGAAAAGTTACAATTTCAGTTTCGTAGGGCTCTAATAGAAGTCTACTGGAGTAGAACCTACCCTTCAAAACCCTATTCTAAAAAAACAAGCTCCGAATCATTCGTCATGGAATTGCGGCCGATCTTTTCGGGAACCCAAGTCTAACATTAAGGACCTTACATTTAGCCCGACTCTCCCCTACCTTGTAGTATCCTTAAGGGAGGGGGGGCCAAGGGGGGTATATAGCCTAGTGATCCCTAACTCTCCCTAGTACTCCCCAAGGTTCCCCAAAGGATTCCTTGTACCCTCCCCCCTTGAACCACCCTCCTTAAGGATCCCATAACTACCCTAAACCCTAAACCCCACACCTGGCTTCATCCCCGAAGCTGTTTTTGAAAACGCAAAGCCCTAAAGACCTGGACAGCGTCCTGCATGGCTAAAATAGTGTTGAAAGATGCTGTAGACTGTAGGGGCCTAGATAATTACCTGTACTATTTGGGTGGTTCCTTATTATCAGTATGGTATATCGGGCTCCTAAACCCTACGCTGATTATTTGGGCCCCTCTATAAGTGACTGTGATAAGCCCTTCCTGATCGATGCTAGCAATTGTATCCTTTTGCAATGGGCCAAGATTCCTCAGATGCTTCAGGTGTTGTCTGCTTGTGGAAGCAGTTGCTGACAACAGGAAAGCCTCAAGAACGACGTGAAGCACGCACAGCCTTGGAACCCAAGATTGGGAAGGAAAGAGCACCAGGCATGTTTGAGAAGCTCCCTGCCAACATTGCCCAGGACCGCATCGCCGACCGGACATCCGTGTGGGAAACTTGGAACTAAACCTCCTGGCTTTGCGGCTATGCCGGAAGTAATATAGGGGCCTAAATAATCACCAACGCTATTGTGGGGTTCCGTATTATGATTACAGTGCAGGATACCCCAAAACTCCATTCCAATATTGAGGCCCCTATATTCTGGAACGCTAGTAGAAATCCCCTGTAGTACCCTGTTAAGGATCCCTAATATCACCCAAAACTCCATTCTTTTTTTGAGGCCCCTGTATTACAACGACGGCTGTTTCGCACACAACTCCCCTGGGATGTTTGAAGTCGAGGTTCGAGGATAGACCAGCGGTCTATGCTTTGGAGACGGCGTCTTTGCTGGCCTTCCTGAAGCAGCAGTCGTGTACTATGGGGGCCTTAATAATTACCTGGACTACTTTAGGGGCTCCTTATCATTTTATGATTGTATAACGGGCCCCTAATCCCTATTCTAACTATTAAGGCCCCTATAGCAACTGCGAAAGTGGGGGCCAAGTCTGCAAATGCTTGCTCAATCTCAACGCTACAGAGATTGATCAAAAGTGCGAAGGTGGGCCATCAGTCCATGCCAAGGTGACCAACGGCGAGGTTCCTTTAAGCTTTAGTGTACCTAGTATAGCGGCCTGAATGGCTGGACCGGGTTCTTTAAGCTGCAGTGTTCTTAGGAACTGCGTTTGGTTCTTATCAGAACAAAAAAACTTCAAGGTATTCTGAAGGTAAGGGGTCTTTACAGGGTTCTATATGAGCTACTCTCAGAGCTACTGTGAGGGTTTTGTGGTAGGGGGACTTGGACTTGATAATCTGGATGGTGTTTAGGGGGCACGTTCTACTACAGTCATAATAAGGGCCCCAAGGAACGGTATCATGAATTATGCAGGGTTCTTCATTTAATTACAGCCCACGCGCACAAGGTAGGTTTCAAGGCTTAGCAGTTTAGTTTAGCATGTATCAATGTAGGGCACAGCGTGTAGGGTTTAGGATTATGCAATCAGGGTGCAGGGTTTGCCTCCCTTGCCCTAAACCCGACCTCCCGCTAACCTGAACTACCCAAGCCCTTGGCATTCTCGAGTTTGGGCTAAGCCCCTAAACCCGAAACGCCTAAACCCCTAAACCCTAAACCGTGGAACTTTCTGTGAGGTGGCCGTCCAAGAGCTGTTGGCTGTTTTGGGGAACCAGACGCAAAGTTCGGAGACAGGACAGGTTTTGGGCCTGAGCCCTAAGCCCCCAAAGTCGTCTAAGCCCAAACCCGGAACCCTAAACCCTACAAGCCCTACAAACCCGAAAGCCCTAAACCCTAAACCCTAGACCCTAAACCCTGGACCCTAAACCCTAAACCCTAAACCCTACCTAAGAAGCCTAAACCTCAAAACCCAGACGCCGAAACTCCGAAACCCCGCAGCCGACCAGACCCTAGGCCCTAAACCCTAAGCCCTCAGCGCAATACCCTAAAACCCCTGGCCGCCGCGATTTTTTTGGGGGTTGAAGTAGGCCCTCAACCTCAAGTCCTATACCCTAAACCCTCAGCGCATCTCAGCGCCAAGCCCTAAAGCCACTGGCCGTCGCAAGTTTTTGGGGGTGAAGTAGGCCCTAAACCTCAAATCCTAAACCCTCACCGCTAAACCCCAAAGCCACTGGTCGTCTCAAGTATGTTTTGGGGTGAAGTAGGCCATAAACTCCTCAAGTCCTAAACCCTAAAACCCTAAACCCTAAAACCCTAAAACCCTAAACCCTAAACCCTAAACCCTAAACCCTGAACCCTAAACCCTAAACCCTAAAACCCTAAACCCTAAACCCTAAACCCTAAACCCTAAACCCTAACTCTGGGCTGATGTGAGACTCAGGGGCTCTGCAAGACCCCAGCGTCGACCCTTGCACCGTAGGATCGCACCCTGATCGCCACACCCTACTGAACCATGGGGTTTAGGGTTTAGGGTTTAGGGTTTAGGGTTTAGGGTTCATAAGTCCTAAACCCTGAGCCCTAAATGCTGAACTCTAAAATCTTAAATCCTGAACCCTCAGTCCTGTTTCTACCCTCACTTCGGAGGTTCCCACTCGTGCGTAAAACAGTCTTCCACCACTTCGAGTTGTGGGCTTGCTATTAGGGGTAGGGTTGATAGAGTTTTGATTCGGTCCGCATAAGAGAAGTAGCTTGATTCCAAAGACAGACTCCAAAATTAACATAGGGGAGTTTCCGAAAATTAGGGGTACCTTACTATGGGGTCCTTATAATAGGGATCCTACTATTTAGGGTACTCCCATAGGGTGCAGAGATAGTCTTTCCCCGAATGGAGCTTTTAGTCATGCTGAGGCTCAGGCTCTTGGGGTTTCTCGGTGTAAGGATCATGGGACTTAGTAACTAAGGTTATTATTAGGGTAACTATACTTATGCTTACTTGTAACCCCAATTGAGGTACTTATAACCTTAGTTACTAAGTCCCATGATCCTCCAAGTAGGGGTTGAGGGTTTAGGGTTTGGGGTTGGTGCATACTGCCCTAAACCCTACACCCTAAACTGCCGAGAGCGGCGCTGACCATTTACATCGGCGTTACATGCGCGCTCGAGGCTCCGACCGAGGCCCCTGCTTGAAGGATCATGGGACTTAGCAACTAGGGTTATAAATCATGTAACCATACTTGTAATTACTTATATCCCCAATTGAGGTACTTATAATCTTACTTACTAAGTCCCATGATCCTCCAAGTGGCCGCAGAACGGTGAGGGAGGGTGAAGCCCGCCCGGCTCCGAGGCCCCTTTGCCAATCTGCTGATCTCCTAATTCTTACCTTTGGTTAGTAGGGAATGGAAGAATGGTAGTAATACGGTGGATGATATAAATCCTGCATTACCGATAATAGGGCATATACCATAATTCCCATAGTTTAGGGTCCTTAAGGTAATGCAGGATTTATATGTAGTCATAATTGTACTCCATTCCTCCATTCCCTACTAGCCAAAGGTAAGAACTAGCAGGCCAACATTTGCATCTGGGCCGGGTGCCGATGCCGGGGCACTTCACTTTTGTGTTGTGTACCTGCTCTACCCTGTTTGTTGGGCAAACCCTACCCTAAATCCTAAGCCGCAAAACCCCCTAAACCCTAAAGCCCTTAAGACCCCTTAGCCCTAAAGCCCTGAAGGCACCTAAACCCCAAAGCCCTTAAGACCCCGCCCTAAAGCCCTTTAGACCCCTAAACCCTAAACCCTGAAACCCCTAAACCCTACACCGTAAACCTGAGACCCCTAAAGCCTAAACCCTGAAACCCTTAAGACCCCTAAAGTAATTCCACACCTGCAGGGCAGACTGCGGTCTGCTCCACCACGAAAGGAAGAAGCCCCGGAGGGCCGAAAGTAAGAAAAGTGACAAGTAGTGGAGATTAATCCTCTTCAAGGACACACTCGAGCCAAGTCCAGTCAGGACTCTGTGCAAACACAGGCGAGGCAGGAGCACAAGACCCCTAAAGCCTAAGGCCCTTAAGACCCCTAAGCCCTAAACCGCAAACCCTAAAGCTCTTAAGACCCCTAAGCCCTAAACCCTGAAACCCTTAAAGCCTAAACCCTAGAGCCCTTTAGACCCCTAAACCCTAAAGCCTTAAGACCCCTAAACCCTAAAGCCCTTAAGACCCCTAAACCCTAAAGCCCTTAAGACCCCTAAGCCTTAAAGACCCCTAAGCCCTAAAGCCCTTAAGACCGCTTAGCCCTAAAGCCCTTACGACCCTTAAACCCCAAAGCCCTTAAGACCCCTTAGCCCTAAAGCCCTTAAGACCCCTAAGCCCTAAACCCCAAATCCCTTAAACCCTAAACCCTGAAACCCGTAAACCCTAGCCCTAAACCTCTCCAACCCTCCCCCCGACCACACCCACCCCCCACCCCCAAACTCTGAGCTGGAGGAATTCTGGTGGAGCTGGAGCCGGTGGAGACCGAAGCGGGTCTGGTGAAGACCGCCGCGCTGGCCTCAGAAGGCACGGAAGGGGGGACTGCTTGGAGGATCATGGGACTTAGTAAGTAAGGTTATAAGTACATTAATTGGGGTTATAGGTAGATATTAGTATAGTTACCCTAATACCAACCTTAGTTACTAAGTCCCATGATCCTTTAAGTGCCGGGGCTGTTACTTGGAGCTTCATGGTTAGCTAAAAGCAGGGTGAGACGGATAGTTATGGTTCTAGCCCCCAAAAGCTAGCCATGAGCCTCCAAGTAGGTCAGGGGCGAGGCTTGCAGGTTTAGGGATGAGGGTTTGGGCTTTCTCGCGACTCTGTGCGTTGAGTAGGGCTTGAGGTTTTAGGGTCGGTTTAGAGTCTTGGGTTTGCGACGGCTTTGTAGGTAGGTCCTAAGTCTCTCAGAGTACAAGTTTTCGGATTCCAGCTAAATCCTAAACCCCAAATTCTTAACCCCAAACCCTGAACCCTAAACCCTAAACCTTAAATCCTAAACCCTAAACCTTAAATCCTAAACCCTAAACCCTAAACCTTAAATCCTAAACCCTAAACCCCAACTCCCAGAATCTTACCAAGCAGGCCTTGCTGTCGACAACGTCACGGTCAGCGCGCCGGGAGGATCGAAGCTGGCGATCCCGACGACAGTCTCGAGATCAGAAAATAGTAGCTTTTAGGGTTTAGGGTTTGAGGCTTAGGGTTTAGGTTCATAGTAGCTTTTACGGTTTAGGGTTTGAGGCTTAGGGTTTAGGTTCATAGTAGCTTTTTCGGCTAAAAATTAGTAGGCGATGTTTCAGGTTTGCGTTTTTGAGAACCCAAGGAGCATCGAGATCTCCCAGTAGTAACTTGTTGTACCCGTGTCGGGCTCAGGGTTTGTCGTGTTGAGATCCGAGGCCGAACGGTTGATGATATAAATCCTGCATTACCCATAATAAGGAGCAGACCAGAATTCCCATACATTAGGGTCCTTAAGGTAATGCAGGATTTGCATCATCAACCGGAATCAGACTTACGTGACCCTGAATAGAATCCTCAGCACAGCAAACTGAACTCATATACCCTAAAGCCTAAACTCCCTAAGCCCTAGACCCTATTCCCGAAAAGCCTTTAACCCTATTCCCTAACAGCACTAAGCCCTAACCTCCTCCCCCGCAAAGCAAGGTTCTGACCAAAGCCTCAGAGCTCTTCAACGAATCCGGGCCGGTCCTCCTGAGCTTGACGAGCATGTGGGACCCTGTCGAAAGTGGGTCTTACAGGGTTTCGGGTCTTACAGGGCTTTGGGGTTAGGATTTTTATGGTTAGGTTTACAGCAAGGGGTATTAAAAGGATATCTATAAGGATTAGTAAGGGTTTGGGCGGTTTCGGGTTTGGGATTTAGGCCTTGGGGTTGAGGGTTTAGACTTTTTTTCGCTGCTTTTTTTAAAAGCCTCCGTGGATTCCGAAGTTTCATGGCGTCGGGCTTGGTTTGGAGTTGAGGGACAGATTCGTTTGGTCCCCTAATACGAGCTTTCATATTTTGGGTCCCTAAAACAAGCACGATCCTGAAGTCTTTGTATTTTGGGGCTGTTGGACAGGTCGGCGGTTTAGGGATGGTTCCGAGTTCGGGGCTGAGGGTTTTCACCAAGACCCCCGCAAGCAAGACCCAAACATGACACACGGTTTAGGGTTTAGGGTTTAGGGTTTAGGGTTTAGGGTGCGTGTCTGTATTCCCCTTGTCCACATGCTGATGTCCGACTAGGATGCCCAGTAGTACCCTTATTCCCTTTTAGTAGTCCTGGCTCCTTATAAAGTTGCCCAATACCAAAAAGGGAGCCCTTTGTATTTCTGCATTACTGGGCATCCTAGCCTGGGGTTTAGTTTAGGGTTTAGACCCAAGCTCCACACCTCCTTAACCCTCATCCCGAGACTTGCCAGCCAAACTCTAAGCCCCAAGCTCCAAGCGTTCAACGCGAAACTCCAAACCAACAACCCCTAAGCCCTAAACCCTAACTCCCAAAATCCTAAGCTCTACGCCGTGGAACCAGAAAGCCAGAGACTCCAATATTCATATTTTTAAGGAATATTCCTTAACTCATTCTGGAGTTCCTATTATGATTTAAGGTATATTCCTGAACTCATACTAGGGATCTTAATATAACTTAAGGAAGCTTCCTTAACTCATACTAGGGATCCTACAATATTTTGAGGTATATTCCTAGTTTTAAGGAATATTCCTTAACTCATTTTAGGGTTCCTACTACAACTAGGGTTTGGGGTTTGGGGTTTAGGGTTTGGGGTTTAGGGTTTAGGGTTAAGGTATATTCCTTAAAGCCCGAGATGGTCGCAGGTCCAGCGACAAGGCAGCGAAGTTCGTCGATCCGAGCCGGGGAACTGAAGGAGTGCCGGCGACTCGAACCCTAAAACCCCCATAACCCAAGGTCCCTGCGGATCCCTTAAAGGAACCCTCAAAGGAACCCCTAAAGAACGCCTTAAAGGACCCCCAAAAACCCTGGTAATGATTAAAGGGAACTCCAGAAAGTTGGAATATGGAATAATGGCAGGATCCCCTATAATTTACCTTAAAGGGGTTACGATGATGATATTCCAACTTTCCGGCTTCTACTGTAATGGTTAAGGGTTTAGGATGTACTATAGAATAGGGTTTAGGGGCCCACTAGACTATAATTATGATACCCTAAAACCCTGGCAATTAGTAGGGCCCTATATTAGGGTTTAGGGTTTAGGGTTTAGGGTTAAGGGTTTAGGGTTAAGGGTTAAGGGTTTAGGGTATTAGGGGTTTAGGATGTCCTATAGGGGCCTGAATAATTAGAATAGGGTTTAGGGGCCCCTTGTACTGTAATTATGATAAGGAGCCCCCCCAAAATAGTATAGGTAGTTATTAAGACCCCTATAGTAGGGGTTCGGATCTAGGTTTTTGGGTTTAAATGTAGATTTTGGGCTTCCCGATGTAAGGGGTCCTGGTGTTATCCTGCTGTTTTGGGGGGTTTCGGGGATAGCCATGCTTTAGGGGTGGGGTGGGGTGGGGGGGGGGGGCAGTGACGACGTTCTACGACCGCACACAAATGTAAGGGTCCAAGGGTCGTCGACAAATGTTCATGTGTATGTAACGTCTGAGATCTATGTAGTGTTCATGACATATAAGACCTAGCCTTGGCCGCAAGTTTTAGAACTTACAATGCTTCAACTTCACTTGTCGGTTCAGGTCGTTAATAGTTTTTAGGGTTTTTTCAAAACCCATTTTTGCTAAGAAATGAGCTTTTCCCTAGGCAATATTGCAGTTCGTACCTCACATCGCTACCAGGGTCCTGGTGGGCGCGTGACCTAGTTAGGCTTCTTTACCTTCGATGCCCCAATAACCAACATTTGAACTTTTTGGGCTCTTATCGTTTAGTAGGAATTTAAACATTTTTTTGGGTTCTTATGGTTAGTAGAATTTAAAGGTTCAACCTTTTGCTTTTGTGTCTTATTGGGGCAGTAAGCTACGTACACCTTGAACCCTAAACCTCTTCAGCCCTGAGAGCCTGCACCTTAAACCACTCAACCCTAAACCCGTAACCCCTATATACCCTGAACCCTAAACTCTAAACCCCTCAACCCTCAATCCTAAACCCTAAACCCAAAAACCCTGAACCCCAAATACTCTGGATCGAGGAGATGAAGACGATGCTTGTGAAAACGGCGCCCAGACCTCCTGCAGGCTTCAGCGCCTACGTCCGTCTCTTCCGCGTTCGAGCAGAGGGAACCAGCTACGAGGAGTTTCGCACCTCAAAGGCGTGGGTGCAAGCTGGATGCCCCAGCGAGATCCAGTACGTGCTCCGACTCGGCCCGAAAAACCGGCTCCCCATGCAGTGGCGCTAGTCCTTCTGACCACGACTTTGCGGAGCCTTGCAAAAAGAAGATCTCTCCGACAGCAGTCTGCCAGCGACTTGGGTGGAAGCTCTGCGTGGCGCACGCTGCCCCTTAACCAAGGTCTTTAGAACGCCGAGGAGAACACTGTCCAGCACTCGGCGCGTGTGCGCCTGCGGTTTGTTCCCCCTATACTCACCAACCCACCCACCCACCTCTTCCCTTCATCCTTCACCCTCGTTGAACTCTCAGGTCTATATCGTCTTCAACATGGTCCTGGACGGGAAGCACAAATCCTTGTCGCGGGCGCTGGTGCGAGGGCTAACTCTGCGACTGACTGTTTGGCTGCGGAGATGCGGCAAGGTCACTGGCATGTTCTTCCCCGAACCTGCAAGTGTGTTGGAAAGAGAAAGAAAGCAAGGTCTGGAGTCTGGAGCTCAGATCGCAAAGCGTGCGAGAGTGAAGCAGCAGGACGTAGTCAGAAGGCTTTCAGCAGCTCAGGGACATGTCACCTGCTGAGCTGCATATCTTGGATCAAACAAACACGTCACATGCATTCTCCAAACGCCTGCTGCATAAAGAAAAGAAAGAATACACAGGAAAGAAAACAGAGACCGTCAAGAAAGACAAACACCACCGAAGCGAGCTATGGCGGCCAAACGACAGCGGCCCTGGAAGGAGCCGGACTACGTCGCTGCGACTGCTGAGCAGCGTCAAGGCTTCGTGACGGCCTGGGCCACCTGGCTGGGATCCATGGCTTTCTCCCCCGCCGGGCCATCGCGTCGGCCCAGCGGCGAGCCAAGTTTCAAAGGGCAACCTACTTCGAGGATGCTGGGCGCCGCAGCAGCTGGAGCGTCCGGGAGGTGGCGCTCTACGATTGGCCGGTCTTCCAATCGTGGTCCCAATGTCCCGAATGCAAGGTTCTGAGCGCCAAAAGCATCACGGAGATGGATCTCAGAGTGGCACTTCGACGTTCACGTCTTCCGGAAAGTCGCGGTAGGGCAACAGGTCAAAGCGAAGCACTCGCTCAGTCCACAGACCGGCGACCAATCCTTGCACCGGAATCCTCTCTTTTGGCAGTTCCAGCACGCCATCTGCATGGACGTGGTCGACCTGTTCCTCACCATCCGCCCCTGGGGGTGGAGTCTTCCTTGGCGGAACTGCCCGGGCAGGAGACCTTGTGTCTGCCGCATCTCTTGGTGCAGGTTCCTCTGTGGCGGCACGGGACCTAAGACTTGGAGGAAGCACGTCTTGGCGGACGCCTCGGCCCGCCGCTACACGAAGAAGGAGGCGCGGCCTGACGTCGAACAGGAGGATAGAGAAGGGCGTGGTCAGGCTAAGGCAGGATTCTGGGATTATTTATTTTCCAACAAATTTCCCGTTTTACATTCAATTCTATTTCCAACCTCAGGTCTATTTCCAAATAACTTTCCAAACATGGTTCAATTTTGTTTCTGGCTTCACGTCAAATTTATCTTCAATTCTGTTTCCAATTTCTGCGGTTCGGGCACTGCAAAGCCAGAGGAAGAGCGGGGCCGGGGTTGGAATCGAGAATTTGGAGAGGCCTCGAGAAATATTCAATATTTTTCCAATGTTGTTTCCAATTTCTGCGGTTCGGAAGAACGGGGCCGGGAGTGAAAAACTAGAATTTGGAGAGGCCTCGAGAAATATTCAATATTTTCCAGATGTGTTTGCAACTGTGGTTCCAGTTTCTGGCTCGGGCACTGATTTTGTAGACAAAGCCAGAGGAAGAGCGGGGCCGGGGTTGGAATCGAGAATTTGGAGAGGCCTCGAGAAATATTCAACATTTTCCAGTTTTGTCTTCAATTGTGTTTCCAATTTCTGCGGTTCGGGCCGGGATGTCGAAGGAACCGCCAGAGTGACCCTGCAAGCCTATCCCGAACTCGTGTTGGAACTACCTTTTGGTAATATTTTGGAAACTGAATTGAATCCTGTGTCCCAAGTGAAGATTTTGCTGAAGTTCCAATTACAAAATAATTACGACCTACAAGCTGGCCCTTAGCCTGGGGCGCCCATCACTACAGGAGGAGCAGGACAACCCGGAGCTACTGGAGTCGCGGCGCCGCAACGTGCGCTGCGTCCTCGCACGCCACGAATTCCAAGAAGGCGATCGGCGCCAGGATGGCAAGGGACGCGGGCCATGCACGTGCACGTCATCATCTTCTCAACGCTGCAGCCGCGGGCCTGGAGATGGAGCTCTGCGCCGCGCTGCCTGCCACCGACGAGGATCCGGAGCTGCGTGCCCTGGTTCTGCGGCTGCAGTGGGTGAACGAGGCAGCGCCAGTGCGCGAACATCTCGGGGGACCCACCTGGACCTGGGACCAAGACCAGCAGCGCTGGATGCTGAGGCTCCGCCGCACACCCACGGACCAGGAGCTGAACTTGCGTCCCTTCCTCCGCGGTCTGCTCCGGGTCCTGCGGTGGGCTCAAGACGTGCAGTGGTGGTTTGGAAAAGCCGCCCTGCTTGCCTATGTCCTGGGCTACTGAAGGCCAAAGAAGACGCAGGTCGCACCTGGGCCTTGTACACCGACCTCTACAGCAAGTACTGGCTCTGCACAGAGCCGCAGATGATGATGACCTTGGCGCGAGAGCCCATGGTCTGGACTTCAGCCCAAACCAAAAAGATCTTCGCGCCGGCCGGCCCCAGCACCTGCCGTCGATGCATCAGGCTTATATTGTCGGCGAAGCAAGGACGAGGAGCACCTCAGCTACCTGGAGTTTCTGCGCTTTTACCGCGAGATCCAAAACGCTCGCTACAAAGCCAGCGAGAAGCCCGCCTGGCTCATGGCCGTGGGCGTGCTCTACCATCGCTTGCGCGGCGACAGCTACTTCTGGCAGTGGCTCCTAAGGAACCCTATGAATCCTAAACCCCAAATACCCTGAAGGAGAGCCCACGACTTCCGTTGTCTCGGACACGCTGAGCATCAATCTAAGAGGCCCGGACGGAGCCTCGCCAGATCTCTTTTAGAAACGGGCTTCGAAGTTTAGGATTTAGGATGTAGGGTTTCGAAGTTGAGGATTGTGGGTTTAGGATTTCGGAGTTAGGGTTTCGAAGTTTAGGATTTAGGGTCCAGGGTTTAGGATCTAGGGAAGTTTAGGGTTTCAAGGATTAGGATGAGGGGTTCAGGGGGGTGGGTATAAGTAGGGTTATAAGTCCCCCAATATGGGATATAATAAGTATAGCTACCCTACTTATAACTACCCATGAACCCTAAACCATATACCCTTATCGAATCCCTATAGATCCCTTTAAAGGACCCCTATGAACCCTACTTATAACTACCCATGAACCTCCAAGTATGGTGCATGGGGCTGTTTTTCCTGGCAGCCCGTACCTTTAAGGGTTCCCCTTGTAAGGGATCTATAGGGCTTTAGGGTTTAAGGTTTAGGTTGATGATACAAATTTTGCAATACCTTAAGGACCCTAAACTATGGGAATTCTGGTATATTCCTTATTATGGGTAATGCAGAATTTATATCATCAACCGTAGGAGCCGAACGGGGTTTTAGCGTATGGGGGCTTAATAGGGATTGCGGGGTTCCCATAATAGGGTTCATATCAAGGAATCCCTACCCCAAGACCATTAAACCCCCCTTTTGGCCTCCCATCATTAAATGCGCCGGTCTTGTTAAGATCTAGGGTTAAAGTTCAGGGCTTAGGATGTACTTGGATCCCCAATACCCAGCCTTTAGAAACTTCTTGGTTTCTTATAGTTCAGTAGGAAGTCAAACGTTGAACTCTTTATTTCTGTGGCTTATTGGGGGAGTAAGGGGTTTAGAGTTAGGATGTAGGGTTGGGGATCTAGGTTTTCAGGGTTTAGATGTAGGTTTTAAGGCTTCCCGAAATCCTAAACCCTAAACCCTAGGCTTCTTGACTGGATCTGCACCGAAACCTCACCTTCGCCCTGGCCTCCAGACTCTTGTACTGTTGATGGACAAAATCCTGCATTACCCATTATAAGGAATATACCATAATTCCCATAGTTTAGAATCCTTAGGGTCATGCAGGATGTTGTCCATCAACAGTATGACCCGCACTCAACTAAAAACACTCATCGCGCAAGCACCCAACCTTATTCTCACGTACTCCCCTTTGAGTTGGGTTGAGGGGCATGCTAGACTCAAAACTTCCCCGAACCCACAGCATGAATACCGAAAGAACTCAATCTGTTTCAAACGAAGCCTACACCCCCCCAAAGATCCACGTCCCAAGCTGAACATTTACAAGCTCAGTGTGAAGCCCAGCACATCAGTAGTGTAAGAACCTTCGCAACATCCTCCACTCCGACATGACGCCCCCTTGCAGGAAGGTTATGAAACCCTCGAACATATAGTAATTTAGGGCCCTAAACCCTTAACCCGTGCTCACTGGAGCTTTTCAATCTTTAAGGGCTCCTTACATGTCCTCTTTCAAGGAACCCCAGCACACCGTCCGAGGATCCGAATTGAAAGTCGAAGGCTTGTCTGAGACAGATGCCATCGAACTGCAGCTATCCGTTCGTGAGGAGCCTTGGATTCTTTCGGGTTTGGTTGGGGTTTAGGCCCGAAGCCCTAAATCCAAAACCCCTGAATCTTAAATCCGAAGCCCTGAACCCTATTGTATGAGGACTGCTTCAAGGGGTGCATGTTGTCTTTGGGCCCCAATATAGCTATAGCGTTTCGTACGGGTTTCGTAAATTTGTTGCAGGTGTGTAGTGTTCCCGAAAGGTTTCGCGAACTGTTAGAAGGGCCCCCTGAACGCGGAACCCTAGACCCGGTAAAGAAGGGGCTAATAAGAAAGATCTCAGGAGAACGCGAGTGCGATGTGCGCTTTCTGGGACGAAGAGGCACCTAGGGAGCGTTTGGGGTTCAACCTACGGTTCTGAATGGGTAGCAACAGCATCCTCTTACTGTTGTAGCTAGTCAAATACCTATGCTATATGTATGTATATATATATATATACATGTTAATGTTGATTGATTGACACCAAAGCCTAATTGTCAGTATTATGGCCCTTCAATCGGGGCTAGGTATACTAATTCGGGTTTCAGTACGGTGGATGATATAAATCCTGCCTTACCTTAAGGACCCTAAACTATGGGAATTATGGTGTATTCCTTATTCAGGCTATGGCGGTTTGAGTCTAGGGCTTACATTCCGGGGTTAATGATCCGAAGCTCTAAATCCTATGAAGTCCCAGCTAAACGCGGCAACACCCTGAATCCCAAACCCTACAGAAAACCAACGCCTGAAACTTTGCAAAGGCCGCAAAGATTTCAACCCTCACGTTACTACGGATCAAACTCGGCACTGCAATAATTCCCAGTACTAAGTACTGTTTTGGGGCTCCTTATTAGAGTTACAGCATAATAAACCCCAAAGCCCTATTCCATTTCCTAAAGCCCTATGTTACTCAGATACTACGTCTCGCAGCCCTTCACCCTAAGCCCTAAACCGTGGTACCCGAAGGCGCAGCGATGGTCTGTGGAAGGCGTGCAGACGGTTCCCGGAAGCAGCCCGGGACAGCCCCTGGGCTCCCTCTTTCTGAGTATAAGTAGGGTTTAGGGTTTAGGGTTTAGGGTTTCGGGTTTAGGGTTTAGGGTTAGGGTAGGGTTTCGGGTTTAGGGTAGTTCAGAGACCAGGACTTCCTGGTTTGATTTTGTGTGGTTTTGTGAGGCCTTTGCTTCGCGTTTTGAGGTCTTTCTGGGGATGCTGCAGGGTTTTGTAGGGTGTTACCATAACAGGGCTCATCATTATTGTAACGTAGAGGCCCCAAATATCCGTCTAAGGTCCGCGTAGATCCCCTATTGCTAGCCTGCTGAATGATACGAACGGTTGGTAGCTGTGTCCCCGAAGACACTTTTGAGAGTATGATACATTCCGCAATCCTATTCTGATTACTGAGGCCCTAACGACATACAACTCTGTTTTGAAATCCTTCCAAAGTGGCCCTCTCAGACGAACCCTTAAAAGAAGCTCTGTTTTAAGTACTGAAGGCCTTCAGATGAAGATCCTACCAACCCTAAGCCCTATACCCTAAACCCTGCACCTACTAGGCTCACCTGCCGAACGACTCACCTCTCCATTTTCGCTGCCGTGGCCGGCTTCGTCGCAGACACTGTGCGAGCCCCAACGCCTTTAAATGGGGCGTCGGATGTATGGGTTTAGGTTTAGGGTTTAGGGTGAGGCATCGGATGTATAGGTTTAGGGAAGTTGAGGATTTCCGATAGCAGGTTTAGGATGTATCGCTTGAGTTGTATCGTGCAAGCTTGAGAGCTAATGTAGGAACCTGATTAAGAAACCCTGGTTCTTTGTCAGGGCTCCTGATATGAATTCTACTAGTTTGGGGTTATCGGCCCAGGGTTTCTTCATCAGGTTCCTACATGATACGGTTTCTTTCACGCAGTCTTGGGCCACGAGCTTGGTGATCTCGCCGATCTCAGCGTTCAAAGGGCTCCTTGTAAATTCTGTTTGATCTCAGTTATGTGCGTTTCTGCGTTCCTACTCGCTTTTCCCACGTTACTATCGGAAACCTGCTGTTCCTCGTCTTTGCCGACATCGTTGTCGGCGTTGCCATTACTGTTTTCGCTGTATTGAGACCGTAAGCCGTATTTATGCCATTGCGTTTGAGCCCATGGGCCGTTACAAGTCACGGCTCCTTAACTAAACCCTAGACCCTAAACCCTAAGGGGTTTAGGGTTTAGGGTTTAAGTAGGGTACAAATACGTGAAGCTATAGTTACTTTACTTCGAGCATACGGACTAAGTCACTGGGCACTTGTAGTATATTTTTCGAACCCCTAAACCCTAAACCCTAAACCCATTTTTCGAGGATGGGTTCGGGGTTCAGAGCTTGAGGTTGTGAACTACCCCGTGACTCGAACATCCCTTCATTAATGAATATTCCTTGAGGTCATATTTGGGATCCTACTAGAATTTACAGGTATACCTTAACCCCAAGTAACCTACCTTTTTTCAGGACTTATATGAAGAAATCATATTAGGGAACCCTGAAAAAGGTAGGTTCCTTAGGGTCCAGGTACTCCTTGATTAAGGGATGTTCGAGTCTCTGGGTGACGAGAGGCCTGGCACCCCAGGAAATGGAAGCCTTCAGCGCCTTCCCTTTGGGAAGAATTGCTAAAGTCCACAAGTTGATTGCAGGCTCCTTCCTCCATGAATCACACCAGAAGACCCCATAGAATCAAAGCCATATGCCGGTTTATGGATTACCGTGAGCCTCCGACCCGCGAAACAATCCACCCTTGTAAGAGCCACTGTAGAATCCTGATTATGGAACACTTACTTACGAGGGGTCTTGGGAATGCGAGCGCGAGTATCGGGGCTTGACTCACAAGTATGACTACGATTCATCAGGGTTCCCAAATATCAGCACAGTATTCTGCACTCTACAAACCCTATTGAAACTATTATGGGCCCGCAACAAAACCTTGTACACCCAAAAAAGCATTACAGAGTTTTGTTCTAACTGATAAGAACAGGTACTGTTGACGGTATAAATCCTGCATTACCCATAAGAACCCTAAACCCTAAACCCTAAACAATAAGAAATGCAGGATTTGTATCATCAACCGTCGCTCACCTTGAGAACCATGAGCCCCAAAACCCAAACTCGAAACCCTAAGGCCACAGCCCGGAGCCTACGGCCCTAAGCCCTACCTGGACCCTATAAGGAACCTACCTTTTTTAGGGTTCCCTAATGTGATTTTTTGATATACGTTCCTAAAAAGGCAGGTTATTTGGGGTTAGGGTAAGCCCTAAACCCGGATATGGATTCAAGGTGTTCACGAAGATTTCGTGCGCGACGCCCTGGGACTATCTTGCGGAGACCGGTCTGGCCAATCTTTCTCGGAGCAGCTCCGCTCAACCCTAAACCCTAAACCCTAAACCCTAAACCCTAAACCCTAAACCCTATAAAGCTACAGGGCTCAGATTTTGGGGCTTTAGGGGTCGTAGGATGTAAGGTTTCGACTCGGCTTCTAGAGTGTCGATTTTTGGGTTTCAGGGCTTAGGGCACCCGTACTTGTGGCTTTTAGTTTTGGGTTTAAGGCCAGGGTTTGAAATAGTGTGGGCTCTTAGTATCCAGTCTGCTTCTTGCCACGACGCTAACTAAGCCAGGAGCTGGCATCAATAGTATATCGTTTTGAATAGTATATCGTTTTGAGCTCCCTCCTAAGAGCCAGCCTTCCAGTTGCCAGGACAGGGCTACAAGGTGCTGTGGGTTTGTAGAGGGGCTGCTTGGGGATCAGTTTCCTGCCAGCATCAGGTATAGTCGTGATGCTTTATGTACTATGAGGGTCGGAAGACTTGTAATGGTACCCCACCCCTCCCAAGAGTCACTAGATCATCCTACACCGCCTTCAAGAAAGCATCCAGGTATTTTAGGACCCATGTTCCCTTGCTCGCCACTAAGCGCACCTTTGTCATAGTTGGGTAACATTTACATGTTTATGAATACTTAAACCCAATAAGGAATAGAAAATAGGATTTTTTAATCCTATCCCAACCATGAACTAGGCACTGGTAGAGGGCTAAGGGTTGGGAGGTCGCTTCTTGGGCCTGTGTTCGAAAGTTTCCTATTAGCATAACTATAGTATAAGATACCCCAAAACCCTATTCTAATTATTAAGGCCCCTATAGGGTTTTGGGATGAAGGCCTAAAAAAAAAAACCTCAGCCCTCAAAAGAAAAAGCCCTCAGCCCTCAACGTTCACCCTTTCCTCGGCAAACTCCCTTTAACTTGGCAGGTGATAGACTGCTGTCTCTGCCGGCCGTCGTCACTTACGTGGCGCGGGCCTCGGAGGAAAGTGGTTCAGTTCGTTCAGGGTTTAGGGGTTTAGGTTGCAGGGTTTTCGGGTTCCGGGTGGTAGCATGGTTTGGGATTCAGGGTTTCGGGGTCTAGGCTTCAGGTTTTGAGGGCTGGTGTGACTAGTTTTCGAATGGCTCCTTCTTGGGTTTACGGCTCTGTGAGAGACCCCATCCCCACCTCCGCCCACAGCTGCTGCAAGTACTTTGGTACGTGGATGAAAGCTTCCGACTTAGCCCTCAGGGGGGTGGGGGGAGGGGGGGTAGGTGGCCTTAGCCCACAAACATAGATTTTGTTGAGGCCAAATCAAGGAAGAAGAGTCCACTACCCCCCTCCCCCTTGCCCCTCCAAGGGTCCCTATAACTTGGGCCCGCGCGGTGCTTGAATTGAGAAGTTATAGGGTCCTTAAGGGAGGGTGCTTCAAGGGGGGAGGTACAAGGGATCCTCAGGGAACGTTAAGGGAGCCTTAGGGAGCACTAGAGAGAACTAGGGATGAGTAGTGTGCTGTCCTGCGGTGTGTTCTTAAAGAAGGGTGGCCCCTGAACCCTAAACCCTGAATGCCGAAGCTTAAGGGTTCACGGCTCAGGGTTGGGGCTTTAAGGCCCCGTATATCCGGGCCTCTGGTGGGGATCTGTAGCTGCTCCCATATCTAGAATCTGGGATCTGAAGCCCGCAGACCTACCCCAGGAAAGCATTCATATGTAAAATTCGGCGGTAGAAGCAGGTTCTGTCCCCCCTCCGGAAGTCTGCTGCCTTCCTCTTAAACTCCAAACCCCAAGGGTTTAGGGTTTAGGGTTTAGGGACCTATGCCCTAACCCATGAAGGTCATCGCTCTCTTTATGCTGGTCTTGGCGCGGGCCATCTACGTCGACCGCCGGGCTGCGCGCGCTCTTCCTTGGGAGGCGCTTGGCTTCTTCCGCTTGGCCGATGATGGATCAGAGCCACAGTTTACGGGTGAGTTAGAGCCCAAAATTTTACTACACAGCACATAAAGCGTCAGGTTCTTTTTTTATGGGTATGAGACGGCGTGAAATGGGGGAATCCAGAAGCCCTTAATCGTGAGATTCTTTGGTTTCGGCGGTCTCTTGCACCCAACTTGGTGAAACCCGGAAGCCAGAAGCATGAATTGTCAATACCCCGCCCCTCATGGAACCTTGGACCTTCAAAACAGAGCGCAGAGACTCCAATATCCCTGAATACAGGTATATTCCTTAAATCATATTAGGGATCCTACTGTATATTATATTCCCTAATTAAGGGATATTGGAGTCTCTGGGAACACTACACCCTCAACCCTTGCCTCAACACTGTAGACGCACAACTTGCCAGCACACCCCGAAACCAAGCAATTAAACTGCTTCGACCCTTGAGTTCCAAACCCTGAACTAAGTCATCAAACAAAAGGGCATCTGGGAGTTAGGATTAGCGCGACCCTTGGGGATATAGACCGTCTCAATAAGGCCCTTTTAAGAAGGGTTCAGAAGGGGTACCCTTTAAGGGGTCTCCCTAATAATACTACCTAGCATCCGAACCCTGAAACTTTGGGGAGCCCTTAACCAAGTACCCCAAACTTGAAACCCCCTTCCAGGAACGGTGGCTCGTGCTCCTTCAAACCACGGAGGCCCGGTATCAGGTCTGTTTTTTCCGGGTGGAGGGCCTTCAGCATTTGAGGCTTGGGGGTTTTAGGGTTTCGGGTCTGTGTTATCATTGTTCGTGATGGATCTTGATACACTCTAACTTAACTATGGGTACTGTTCTCTTCTCCTACTCTGGTTAGGATTTCTGGGTTCTGGGGTTCGGGATTTCGGGGTTTAGCGTTTGCATAGGTAACGGAGAAGTGTTTCAAGCTTCTGTGCCACTAAATCCGTCCAAGCGTGGCCTTTTTTGCGATACCACGTCTTGTGGCCGTTCGGAGCTGGGACGGTCTACAGGTACCCTCCATGCACCCTTTATTCTCCCAAACCTTTCACCCACTACTAGGGGGCATCGGCCCCTTCCTGTTTAAGGGTAGTAGACCCTCAAAGCACCAAAAGCTACTTTTTAAGGATTCCTTACCCTGATTTCTTCATTCATATTCCTTCCCTAAACCCTAAACCCTAAACCCTAAACCCCTAAACCCCTAAACCCCTAAACCCCTGAACCCCTAAACCCTAAAACCTAAGGGGGGGGGTGGCGGTTGAGGTAAGTTTGTCAGTCCAGAGCCCCAGAATCTCAGAGGGCCTGCAGCGTTGCAACAACGAGGGGACGGAGCCCGAGCTTTCAACCCCTCAAAGAACCCCTAAAGAAACCCTCAAAGGAACCCTTAAAGAACCCCTTAATTAGAAAGGAACCCGTCTAAACTCTTAACTCCTCAGAACTCCAAAACCCTACATAAACTCCGAAACCCTAGACCTTAAACTTAAACCCTGGGCACCTTCACCCTAACGCCCTTAGCTCCTAAACCCCAACTGTTGAACCCCAAACAAAACCCAAAAGCTCCAAACCCCTGAACCCTAACTTCCTAAACCCTAGACACCTATACCCTAAAGCACTAAACTCCTAAACCCTCTCCTCCGAACCTCCAAAACCCCAAAGCTCAAAACCCTAACCTCCTAAACCCTAAACCCTATAAATCTCCAAACCATAAAGACCTAAACCGAACCCGTAAACCCTAAAGTCCTGAAGCCCGAAACACCCCAAAACCCTATAGATCCCTTATAGATCCCTTTGAAGGAACCCTAAACCCTAAACCCCTAAACCCTAAGACCCTAAACCCTTACTAAACCCTAAAACCCAAAACCCTAAAACCCTAAACCCTTACTAAACCCAAAACCCTAAAACCCCTGAACCCTAAACCCTAAACCCCCCCTAAAAGCCCACCAAGGAGGAGACCGATGAGCCGGTGGTAGAAGCCAGGAAGGGCTGCGCGGGTCGTGCAGATGGGCTGCTGCGAGGTCCGGGGGGGTCTTTGAGACGGCTATAGTGGGATAGAAGAAGAAGTAGTAGTAGAAGCAGAAGTAGAAGTAGAAGTAGAAGTACAAGTAGAAGTAGAAATAGAAGTAGAAGTAGCTGCTTTTTTCAAGTCGTGCTCTGTAGGGTTTCGCAGTTGAGCCCTTTGTATTGTGGTTTTGATTTGGGGGTCGCGGTTGACTTGGCGGATTCTTGGTTTCGAGGGTTTCGGATCCGATCTACGGATCGACACCCGGAAGTAGCCGCCACCCCTCTCCGACTTTCAACCGCCAGAGGGGAAATCAAAACGGGCCTACAAAAAGCAGCGTCAGCCCTCATCTCGAATCCCTAAACCATTAAACCTCCTTGAGGTGGGCTCTGGCCAGAGGGCCCATCGCACTTTAAACACAGCACTACCCTAGGTTCTCCGCCTTCAAACCCTGAAGCCCATACACCCTGAAAGCCTAAACCCTAGCCCTTTATCAAAACGTTCTGACCATGAAAACCAGGTTCATCCCAAAGCTTTGAAGCCCCCTGGGCCTCGTAGCGGAGATTCAGTCGTCTGTACAACATCCATCATCTCTGCCTACCTCTTAGAACTGTGCGGCGGTAGGGGTAATAAGACAATACTGAGAGCAGTCGTCGTCGTGTTCAGGGAGTGATAGGCACCGGCACACACAAAATGAACGAGTAATCATCATAAGCAAAGTGATAGTATGAACCATCACTTCAGTAGTCATCATACTGCTCACACAAACAACAACGATTATGGTCCTTTTCATGGTCATATTGGTGCTAGCACTACATACACAATTTAGAACTTCCCACTAAAACTCGGTTTCAGTTTCAGCTTCTGGTGTCAGTCGGGCCCTATGACAGCCTTCAACACACCCGGAGTGCCTGTAAGAACGAAACTCTGCTCTGTATCAGGGTTCAGAACTTCGAGGTTTGGGGGTTTAGGGTTTAGGGTTCAGGGTTTGGGGGTTTAGGGTTTAGCCCCGTTTAGGGTTTTGGGGGTTGGGGTTTAGGGTTTAGGGTTTAGCCCCGTTTGGGGTTTTGGGGGTTGGGATTTAGGGTTTAGGGTTTAGCCCCGTTTGGGGTTGAGGGGGTTGGGGTTTAGGGTTTTAGGGTGTCAGGGTTTTAACTTTTTGGTTTACGGTTTAGGCTTTGGTGTCTGGGTTCAACTTGGAGTGAACCTTCTATGAACAAGCGAACGGACACCATTTAGGAGGACACCTCAAAAACATGTCATTTGATTCATACAGAAGCTTGAATAATTACCTAGATATGTAGTTCCTTGGGGCTCGTTGCTTTAATCATATTATGACTATCATCTATCCCCAAACCGGACGTGGCTCGAACCAACGGTTCTTCGGCAGCTAAGAAAGAGTGCCCTTGCCAAGACGGCGCCGAACATTACGATTTCTACTATGATTACAATTATTGTTATTACTATTACTACTACTATTACTACTACTATCACTATTACTATTACTCTTTTGTGGCGTTTGGGTTCTGGGTGGAACCCTTCAGCTGTGAGGTGCTGCGGACAGCAGCATCCGCATGATCCACTCACACCGCAGCGGCGTTACGGTTGACAGCTTGGAGATTTGTCTGTGAAGTTTCCTTAGGAGTACTTAGATGTTTTTTTAATTTTTGGTTATTATAATCCCTAAGAAACAGCTGAAATTATAATTTTTGCTACGTTTCCAAGTTCAGTATAGTTTCGCGCTATCTGACTTCTTCAAGTCTGCACAGGGACTTGGGGCTACCGGTGTGTGGGTTCGGGTGAACCCTTATCAGTCTTAATCCCTAAACCAAACCCTAAGGCTCTATGGACTCATATTTTAAGGCTTTTGGGCCTAAAGACCATATTATATAAGGCTTTTGGGCCATCTTGAGCCTTAGGGAAAGAATCACATAGCCCTCTTAGTTCGACACCCGAAGCCTTGGAAAGCCGCACAACGCTATGAATTCCTATTCTGGAAGCCTTATAGAAGCCTTGTAGTACCGCTTATGGCAACCGTGTAGTTTCCTTGGTTTCTTTACTATACTTCTACCATACTACACCTCAAAACCTAATTCTAAGTTTTTCTTGGGCCACCATGCTATGTAACACCTGACGCTTTCACAAGGAATCCATAGGGTTCAGAGTTCTTGCGCGAGGGCTCAATCAGCGTGCTGAAAGCTGTAAAGAGTAAAGAGCCAGGGACGATAATATACCGTATTGCAATATACTACCTTGTATTGTCTGTATGTGTTATAGGTATTTTCATATGTTAGAACATATTGTAGAGACAAGACGGTTATACATCACAATATGCTGCAATATGCTATACCAGAGCCAAGGACATCTTGCTGAAGCCAGGCGAGAAGTTCGAACAGCAGGCCAGAGAAGAGTGGGGATGATCCTTATCGTAAGGATGAACTTTGCTTTCTAAACCCTCAAAGGGGAAAAGGAGGGACCCTTAATGGGGACCCTACCCTATAATGGGCTATAATGGGTATATACTAGCTATATTAAGGGTATATACCTGGGGGTCCTTATTAAGGGTCTCTCCTTTTCCCCTTTGAAACCCGAAGCCGTTTAGGGTCTTGGGTTTAGGGTCGCCCATTTTCTAAAGCTTCCACATGCTCTGCGTGCTACGACTATCAGCGAAGCTTGCTCTGATTCTGTTTGCGTCCTTGTCGCACGCCACGGTTTAGGGTTTAGGGTTTAGGGTTCAGGGTTTAGGGTTTAGGGTTTAGGGTTTAGGGTTTAGGGTTTAAACCCTGAACTGCTCATGCTGCCTTTTGTCTGACTCTCCGCCTGGAGGTTGAGCTGCCGATTACCGCTTAGCCGCACCGTCCTCACCCACCACTGCGAAAGACCAGTGAGAAATCATGGCAATACCAATAGTGAACAATGGAGAACAACAATCATCATCATGATCAGCATCATCGTCGTAATAGGAATAGCCAGAACAATCACATAATCAGAATAAGAATAGCGAGATCATGATTAGACTATCGGTAAAAAGGACATGAGAACACCAATATCTTTCACAGTTCAGTAGTGCTATTAAACCCGTACCTCGAAAGCTAAACCTGAAACCCAAATCCAAGGGTTGAACCCTTGACATTGCAGCCCGCCAAGCGGCAGTGGCAGACTCACACTACGTAGCCGAAACCCCACCGGGGTACTTCGCGACGATGAGTGCCGATGGCAAATCTAGTGTTCTCACATCTTATGCGGTTTAGGGTTTAGTTGTGTCGCGGTCAGAAGTGAGTTGCACACCTGAAAAGCTCTAGAGTTTCCAAGCCCCAGCCCGGTGTAGTCTAGTGTCCACTGCCAACAAATGCTTCATGTAGAACCCTGTCACAGCACAAGTAAGCACAACGAGAATTTGCCCTTAAACCCTGAACCTAAAACCCTTGGAAAAGCAGGTCGCCGAGGCAAGCTCCGTTCAAGCTCTCAGCGCCATTCCGGGCCGATTCTCGCAGTTCGTTCACTCGGCGCCCGAGCCGCAGCTTTGAGGGTTTAAGGGTTTAGGGTTTTGGGTTTAGGGCTTAGGGTTAGGGTTTGGGGTTTAGGCTTTGAGGGTTTGGGGAAAAGAGGTTTGGAATTTTCTGGATTTTTGTGTTTAGGGGTTTGGGGTTTAGGCTTTAGGGTTTGGGGAAGAGGGCTCTTATCAAGGTTCTGTCCGTTCGGTTTCACGGTTTTGGGGTTCAGGGTGTTGGGTGTTGTAGTTATACAGGTGCCTTAACGTTGTAAGGGTTTATGTATTCAAGCACTTGGCTTTGGAGGTTCGCGGTCTAGGAGTGTAGGAGAGCTACAGGAAATCGCAAAAGCTTCTCCAAACTATATCTTCATAGAAGTTTGCATGATGGGGTTGCGATTTTCAGCCCGAGAAAAGTATGGAACTTTGGTTTGTGCGATCCTTCAATGCAGGAAATCCTTGCAAAACTTTTGACAAACATCCGTCAGAGCCCTCTTGAAAGCTTCAGGACACCCTTCAATCCAGGAAGCCGTAGGTATTTCTACAGTCTCCTTAGGATTTTTTGTTCATTTCAAACCCCACAGAAGATTAAGCACATTTATTTTTATTATGGGTCTAAGGGGGGGGGATAGATTTGGGGTCCAGATTCATGGTTCGATTGATGCCTGACCCGTACCGCCCACATAAATACGAGAGATGAGCACCTGAAGCCTTGTGTTTGAGGGGTTAGGGTTTAGGGTTTAGGCTTCAGGGTTTAGGGTTCAGGGGTTAGGGTCCAGGGGTTTGGGTTCTGGGTTTAGGGTTTAGGGTTCAGGGTTCAGGGTTTAGGGTTTAGGGTTTAGGGTTCAGGGTTTAGGGTGCAGGGTACATTTAGAGGGTTCCATTTCGCCGCCCGAGACCAGCAACACCGCCAGCAGGTGGCGCAGAAATCAGAGGCGGTCGTTGGGCAGTTCATGACCCAGCCACTCGGCTACAGTTACATAGAAGGCAGGGCACCGGCCCAAAACCCTTCAACCTCTTAAACTGTAGGGCATCAGGGGTTTAGGGTTTAGGGTTTAGGGACCTAAATCGTAAGACTTGGGATCACGTATAAGGAAGTCTGGCGACGGCATGGCTCACAGGTACTGCATCTCCATCAGAGCCAGTATGTCCCCATCTAAGTATCGATCTGGGACAAAGAGTGAAATTCCTTATTGTTTATATAGAGCCCGAATTATACAAGAGTTTGGGGCTTGTTGAAATCGACACTTCAACCTTGAAACACAGACGCCGAAAACCCTAAACCCAAAGCCTGAAGCCCCAAAGCCCCAAGCCGTAACCTCCAAAGGCCCGAAACCCCAGCCCCTAGACCCCAAACCCCTACAACCCCAATCAGAGGTTCGGCGTCCGCGCTCATGGGAGCTCTGCCGTCCACTTCGTGCTGAAGCAGCCCTGGTGGGCTCGCGTTGGGCTCCTCGTTAGTTTAAGGTTTATGGCTTAGGGCAAGGGTTTTAGAGGTTTAAGGCTTAGGGCTTAGGGTTTTCGAGTTTTAAGGCTTAGGGCTTAGGGTTTGAGAGGTTAAAGGCTTAGGGCTTAGGGTTTTAGAGTTTTAGGGCTTAGGGCTTAGGGTTTGGTCAGGGTTTAGGGCTGTAGTTAGGGTTTAGATTTGCAGGGCAAATCGGTAGGTTTCAATGGAGCTTAGGTGAGGTCTTAGTCACCCCAGCCACGAAGCCCAAAACCCTACTTGGAGGTTCATGGGTAGTTATAAGTAGGGTTATAAGCAGGGTAACTATACTTATAACCCATATTACGGGACTTATAACCTTACTTACTAAGTCCCATGACCCTCCAAGTAGTAGGGCGTCTAGGGTTTAGGATTGAGGGTTCATGTCGGAGAGGTTGGAGGCCTTACGGCTCATACGGCCTTGTTCTCCAAGGTTAGGTTCCTGACGAGTACCCCTTGCCCTTTTTATTTTGGGGTCTCCTTAGTGTCACAGAATATAAGCAAAACGGGCACCCTTATTACTAAGGGTTACTGGCGAACCTAGCAGGCTGCACGGTTCATACAGCTTTGTTCTGCAAGATGCGGAAAAAACCCTAAGCCTTAAACTCTGCATAAACCCTGAACTCTATAAACCCTAAACTCTAAACCCTAAGCCCTAAACCCTAAACTCTAAACCCTAAACACTAAACCCAAAAACTCTAAACCCAGAAAACTTTAGACCCTAACCTCTAAACCCCAAACCCTGTGATTTCTTGTTCCATGGCTTTGGCAACCCGGTTGGAGGGATCCATTGGGCGGATTTCTTTTGGCGAGTTACTTCAGGGTTGGGGTTTAGGGGTTCAGGGTTTAGGGTTTTGGAAGTTTACGGGTTTAGGGTTTAGGGTTTACTGGTTGAGGGGTTTCTGCCACAGCTCACAAGGGATTTAGGGCAGCAGCAGGTTGATGCGTCGCAGTTGCGGCGTGTCACTTATTTTGAAGGCCCCCTGACCCAGCCACATACAAGAGTGCGAACCCCAAGTTTCGGAATTTGCCGTTTCAAGCCTTTTGAACCCTAAACCCTAAACCCTAAACCCTAAACCCTAAACCCTAAACCCTAAACCCTAAACCCTCCCTATTAGCGGATGCATATGGCACCCTCTAGTCGTTTTCGGTGTGCACCTGCCCTCAGGCGCCGGAGACGCGAGTCCCTATTCCTAAACCTGACCTTAATCTCGAATAGCCTACCTTTTTAGGATTCCTTCTTATGATTTCCTTACACCCATACAGGTGTGCAAGGTCCTTTTTGGGTACCCTAGATATTAGGTGCCGTATGATATAAGGGATCCAAAGATTTCCTTACATAAGCCCATGAAAGAGGCAGGTTGGTAGGGGTCAAGGCAAGCCATCGACTCTGACTCCCTAAACCCTGCTTACACCCTCAACCCTACTTACACCTGAACCCTAAGACTCTGAATCCCGAAACCCCAATTACACCCTAAGCCCGAAGAGAAGCCGAAAAGGGTTTAGGGCTCATATGCCTTGTAGGGATTCATAGTAGCCTTGCATAGGGCCCCTACTTTTAAGGGTCATCCGGTCCGTAAGGCAACTTACACCCGAAACTCCAAGGGTAAAAGGAGGGACCCTTAAGAAGGACCCCTAGGTATACACCCTTAATATAGCTATTATACACCCATTATATAGCCCAATATAGGGTAGGGGTCCCCATTAAGGGTCCCTCCTTTTCCCCTTTGAGAACCCGAAGAGAAACCAGGCTTCTGTTTCTGGCGGGCCATCCCTGGCTGGACCTCACGCGCGTGAACTTGCGCATCTCCTTCAGGCGGGACATCTTTAGCCAGGTTCCTGAGTAGTGCCCTTTTGCCCTTTTTTTTGGGGGGCCCTCCTTATTAAAACATCATATTAGGGGGGCGGCCCCCCTTATTATCACGGTGTTTCTGTGAAACCTAGTTAGTAGTTTTGGGACTGAGCGATGCAGGGCTGGCTCCCTTAGGAGTTTTGTAATTATATAAGGGGTTTAGGAGTTCAGGGTGTAGCGTTCCCTTAAGAGTACTACAGTTCTATCAGGGTTTAATGCTTACAAGGTTTTCTATGGGCAAGAACTATTGAAGCAGACCTCCTTTGCAGGAGCTTGACCAAAACAGGTTCATGGTTCGATGATCTGTGGGCTCTCACAAGCCCCAACACCCCTACACCATGAACTCTGAGCCCCCAACCTTAAACTCTACCTTAAACCCTTTTGCTCTAAACTCCGAATCCCCAACCTGAACCGTTAAATTTACCCTAAACCGTTTTGGCTTTAAACTCCGAATCCTTACCTGAACTCTGCGCTCCAGGGTGCGTGTGGCGCTCCTCTTCCTGGAGGTCGCCACGACGGCGATGCTGGCAGCGGTATGGTTCACCAGCGACGCCGCTTTTTGATGATTTGGCTGGTAAGTTTCGGGTTTGCTGTCCTCTAGCCCAAAAGGCCTATCTTTAGGTATCTAAGGACTCATATAAGGCTTTTGGGCCCAAAGACCCTACTATATAAGGCTTTTGGGCTATTTTGATGCCCAGGGTACGATCCAGAGCCTTACAACCCGACTCCCGGGTGCTTCAGTCGAAGCTTGGGAGCCTGAGAACAGGGGTTCGAGCGATGATTGCAGAGGGGTTGCAGAGCCACGGTTTAGTGATGTTTAGGGTTTAGGGTTGCAGCTCCGAGCCCATGCCGAAAATATCCTCGAACTCCATGTCTTTTTGAACCTAAAGCCTGAACCCTACACCCTAGATCCTGCTACGATCCGAACCTTGAGCCATAAACCGTAAACCCCGAAAGCCTGGTACAACCTATGTAAACCAGAGCCCCAAACCCTAAACCCTGAGCCCTGAGTCGAAAGGGGTGACGATCCTATGCCACATTGCGGAGATTGCCAAGGGTTTTCTTTTCTGCCTGCCCAATATGGGCTGAGAACGCTGTCAGACTCTGTCATGCAGACTCAAAAAGGCCCTCAAAAAAAAAAAAAACCCTGAGCCCTAAACCCTGTAAGCCCTAAGCCCTGAACCCTGCAAGCCCTAAACCCCAAACCTCTGTAGATCCCTTATAGATCCCTTAAAGGGAACCCTGAACCTTAAACCCTATAAACCCTAAACCCCTATAGATCCCTTGTAGATTCCTCAAAAGGAACCCCTAAGACCTCCTACAACCGAAACCTGAAGCCCTCCACCCTAAGCTTCTTCCCGTGCGAGGCGACGGTAGAGGACAAGGAGGACCGATTGGCGGAGGGTTGGCGTCTAGGGCTTAGGGTTTAGGGCTTAGGGCTTGGGGGTTTTGGGGTTAGGGTTTAAGGTTTAGGGCTTAGGGCTTAGGGTTTTGGGTTTTAGGGTTTTAGGGTTTCAGGTGTAGGGTTTAGGGTTTTAGGGCTTGCGGTTTCAGGTTTAGGGCTTAGGGTTTTGGGTTTTTAGGGTTTTAGGGTTTCAGGTTTGGGTTTAGGGCTTAGGGTTTTGGGTTTTTAGGGTTGAGGGTTTCAGGTGTAGGGGGCCATTGTGAATCTGCTTCCTTTTGAGGAGATGGTAGCCCCCAAACAAGGCACCTATCTCGCGGCCATTTTTTTGGGACACGAGTTTTGACCAACCAGTATTCAGGGCACGTGATCGCGGACTTTGGGGTTTAGGAGAACCAGGATTCAGGGGACCCCTAAACCCTAAGCTTGGAACCCCCTAAACCCTAAGCTCGGAATCCCTTGATCGTAAGTCTGGGTGCCGTCCAACCGTAGACCCTAAACGCTAAGCTCTAAACCGATAAATTGAAACCCTAAGCCTAAACCCCAAACCTGAAACTGAAACCCTAAACCTGACACCCCAAACCCTAAAGCCCAAAGCCTGAACCCTAAACAATGCTTAAACCCTAAAAAGCCCTGAACCCTACATACGGTTGATGATATAAATCCTGCATTAAGCAGATCCACGACGAGTGCCTGGGGGAGGTGGCCATCATCCATTACTTGGGCACGCCAAACAAGCGGCAAGGGTTTGGGAGCGCATATGGCGCGACGGGGAGGGCGCCAGCCTCTCAGTGCGCAGTTGCCGAGCCTCCTGCATCGCATCTTGGCCCTCGCTGTTGAAAAGGTCCTCCGCAACCGCGGCGTCACGCGGGCCATAATCCAATCCCGTTTGGATGCGGTAGAATTCTGGACCAGGCTGGCAATAGCGGGCTTTTGGGCTTTAGTAGACGTTCGGGTCAAGATGCTGAAGGTCATGTGCTCCTGTTCTCAACGGTAAACCGGCACATGTAGCTTCCTGAAACACCTTAAGGACCCTAAACGATGGGAATTATGGTATATTCCATATTATGGGCAATGCAGGATTTATATCATCAACCATAACGCCTAAACTGGGTTCCTTGTAGCCTAACCCTAAAAACCCTAAGCCCTAAAGCCCTGAGCACTAGATAATTAAACTGGGCGCCTTGTAGCCTAACTCTAAACCCTAAAGCCCTGAACCCTCAATATCTAAACTGGGTTCTTCCTTGTATATAGGAACCCTAAATAATGCTTAACCCCTAAACCCTTGAAAGCCCTGAGCCCTACATATCGCCTAAACCCTAAACCCTAAACCCTAAACCACACTTGAGAGAGGGTTTTGTTGCTTTGTTGAGTTCCAATGGGACCAACTCTCCTGACCCCCAGGGTCTTTCGTCGACGGTCACCTGAGGCGGAAAAAGGAGTTCAAAAAAAAAACCCTAAACCCTAAACAACGCCTTGTAGGAGTGCCGAAGGGCTGACTGGATCGCCAACTTCCTCGAGCGGCTCATTCAGCAGGTCGCCTGGCCTCCTGGAGGTTTTCAGTTTTGCAGTTTAGGGTTTAGGGTTTAGGGGTTTAGGGTTTAGGGTTTAGAGGTTTAGGGTTTAGGGTTTAGGGTTTAGAGGTTTAGGGTTTAGGGTTTAGGGTTTAGGGTTTAGGGTTTAGAGGTTTAGGCTTTAGGGTTTGGGGTTTAGGGGTTTAGGGGTTTGGGGTTTAGGGGTTTAGGGGTTTAGGGTTTAGGGGTTTAAGTTTAGGGGTTTAGGGTTTAGGGTTTGGGTTTTGTGCATCAGGGTGGTGGGTTTGTGGTTTTAGCAGTTGAGGGGTTGTTTCGTGCATGGCGAGTCTGTGCGGATCAGGGGCTAGGTTTCGGTTGATGTTCGTTTGTTGCTGGGTTTCACGGTTGTATAGGGCTTCCATAAGGGATCTTTATAGGTCCCCAACCCGATTCTATCCACAAAGGTCCTATACGAAACCCACGCGAACCCTATAAACAGCTCATGCAAGCCTTGATTACAAACTTGTAAACACCTACAGAACCCTCAAGAACCCTACACTCTAAACCCTAAGACCCAGAGCCCCAAGCCCAAAACCTTAAACCTTAAACATTGTACATAATCCCTTACAGAACCCTAGACCCTAAACCCTGAACCCTAATCCTTAAACCCTAATCCCTAAACCCTAAACCCTAAACCCTAATCCCTTAACCCTAAACCCTAATCCCTTAACCCTAAACCCTAAACCCTAATCCCTAAACCTCAAACCCTAAACCCTTACAGAACCCTCAAAGACCCTTGAGCCCTCGCGGAGCTGGGGCGCTCGAACGGAGGCCGTGGTACACTCTAAACCCCAAATCCTAAACCCTGAACCCTGAAACCCTGAACCCTAAACCCTGAACCCTAAACCCTAAACCCTAAACCCTGAACCCTAAACCCTAAACCCTAAACCCTGAACCCTGAACCCTCAAATCCTAAACCCTAAACCGTACCGAAAGAGGCCGTGGTGGCTTTCTTCGCCCTAATCCTGGGGAATCTGGTGATCCTCGGGCTTTTTCTGCTCCTGGGCTCTCCTTGAGGTCTTGCAGGTCAGTATCAGATGCCATAAGATACTAGGTTATATAGTATACTTTACCTTGTTATATATGCTTTTCTATAGTATAGTATACTATACTATCCTATTCGATGCTAGGCTATGCTATGCTATATTGCACTGTGCTATCTGCATATATATATATATATATACATATATACATACATACACACACACACACTACTTTGGGAGGTTGTAGGGTTGTCGGTTTTGAGTTTAGGTCTAAGGAGCTGGATTTGTTCAAGTTAGATGTATATATACATATGTATGTATATATATATATATGTATGTATGTATGTATGTATGTATGTATGTATGTATGTATGTATACATATATATATATATATATATATACATATATATATATATATGTGTGCAAAATGCAAATTTAAGGAAACCATAAAGGATTCCTTAAAGGAGCCCTTAAAGGAATCCTTAAAGGATCCCTTAAAAGATCTTGTAAAGGATCCCTCAAAGGAAACCTTAAAGGATCCCTTAGCAGGCTTCCCTGTTAATCTGGCTGTTGGAATCGCCCCGTAAGCATTACGAGCTCCATATAGCATGCGAATTTTTTACAAGACCCGAGGCTACAACGGCCAGCTGTGGTGAAGAGGTGGCGCTGTCAAGTTTGTTGGTAGGGTGTAGGGCTTGGTTATGGGTTTAATTAACGGTTTTGCGAGGCTGAGGCTAAAACCTGTTGTATACATGTAAACTACGCCTAGCTACGCCTACACTCCTTTATGACCTTGAAAGCTTATGATGAGAAGCAGTGGCTTACGTCTCCAGGTTATGGATTTCGTGGTTTGGGTTTGGCTGACGATTTGGGAGGGGAGGTTCGTAGCTTTACGTTTTTGTGGTTTGAGAGCATAGGTTTCTGGGTCTATGACTACGGGTTCAGCGGTTTTAGGGTGTACGGCTTCGGGAAGGGTTGAGGGTAATGGGCCCCAAGACCCTTCCAATTAGTAAGGCCCCTATATGACCGCAAGTAGTTTTAAGCTGCATCAAGCCCTGAACCTTAATCGTTTAAGTACCCTAGATCCTCAACTCTAAATCCTCTAAGTGCCCGAAGCCCAACCCTAAACCCCAAACTCGTAAACCCCTAAGCCCAACAGGCCAACCCTGAATCCCAACTCCCAAGCCAAACAGGCAGGAGTGGACCGAGGAGCTGTCGAAGCGCCAGCAGAGGAGTGCAAATTCCATCAGGGTGGGGGTGGGGGTTGGGTGGGGAGGGGAGGGGGGGGGGTAGGGGCTAGCTGAGGGTGCTGGGATCTACGGACAACTTCTGATGTTTTAAGAATTCGCGGTTGCAAATTTCGAGGCCAAGTTCAGGGTCTAATGTAGGAGCCTGATGAAGAAACCCTGGGCCTATAACCCCAAATACTGCCGGATTCATATAAGGAACCCTAATAAGGGCCCAAGGTTCCTACATTCGGGAGTAGGGGTGGTTTGTGCTTAGAGATAGGGGTTCCGGGGTTCAGGGGTTCAAGGTTCTAAGGTGTTAAGGTAAAAGCCAGAAAGTTGGAATATGATTATCCTAAACCCTTTGTGGTAAATTATAGGGTATCCTACCCTGAAACCATATTCCAACTTTCTGGAGTTCCGTTTAAGGAACCCTTATAGATCCTTTAAAGGAACCCTTATAGATCCCTTATAGTAACCCTTATAGATCCCTTAAAGGAACCCTTATAGATCCCTAGGTGTTATGAGGCTTAAGCAGCAATAGGTAGGTGGGCACTGCTCGCCTCGAGTAGGTTAGCGAGGAAAAGAAAAGCCCTAAATCCCCGAAGCCCTAAACCCCCAAAGCCCTAAACCCCCAAAGCCCTAAACCCCCAAAACCCCTAAACCCCCAAAACCCTAAACCCCTAAACCCTAAAGCCCTAAACCCTAAAATCTGTCTGGTCCGATCAGTTGAGGATCGAGGTGCGCAGAAGAAATCCCCCTAAACCCTAAACCCCAAATCCCCTAAACCCTAAACCCTACGTAAACTCCTCATCCCCTCAACCCTAAACACCAAAGCCCCTACACCCTAAACCCTAAACTCCAAATCCCCTAAACCCTAAACCCCAAATCCCCTAAACCCTACATAAACTCCTAATCCCCTAAACACTAAACCCTACATAAACTCCAACTCCCCTAAGCCCTAAACCCTGCATAAACCCCTCATCCCCTTAAACCCTAAACCCCAAATCCCCTAAACAACCCTACATAAACTCCCCATCCCCTAAACCCTAAACCCCAAATTCCTTGAACCCTAAACCCGACGTAAACCCCAAGTCCCCTAAACCCTAAACCCCAAAGCCCCTACACCCTAAACCCTAAGCTCCAAATCCCCTAAACCCTAACCCCAAATACCCTAAACCCCAAATCCCAAATGCCTCAAGATGTGAGATTTGCGATGGACTCAGTCTATTGCCTATTTGGTGGCACTTGCACTGAACGCTATGCCAAACTCGAAACCTGGTGTGCTTGGAACGACAGGCGCTCTTGTTATCTCAGCAGGCACGGGACATGTTGCAGTTCCCGGCAATGTGGCCGGCGTGACTGCTGGAGCCACCATTGCTTATGCTGCAATGATGCAACAGAACGTTCAAGTGCCAACCATGGGGTTCGTGAATGGCAAGTCGCGCATTCAGCAAACAGCAACGACTCAAAGCTTCATTGCCAATGGCAGACAATGGGCTGTGCTTGAGATGGAGGCGCCCATGATGTCGAATGCCATCATTAGACACGGCAGCCAGTTGTGCAATCTGCCTACACAGCTGGTGTCGTTGATGCATTTGGAGGGTTGTTGCTGCAGAGCATTTACCAGTATTCTTCCTCAAGGTTCCTTAGTATTCGTATACCATAATATCCCCCCTCAAGTCGTGTTTTCATTATTAAGGCCATCATGTTAGAATCCTGATCGTAGCCCTCATAGCACCCTAAACCCTAAACCCTAAACCCTAAACCCTAAACCCTAAACCCTAAACCCTAAACTGCCGAGAGCGCCGCTGACCATTTGCATGGGCGCTCGAGGCTCCGACCGAGGCCCCCGGCCGAGCGTCCCGACAAGACGGTGAGGGAGGGTAGAGCCTCCCGGTATACGGGGACGGAAATGACTCGGCTACGCCTCACACAATATGGACGTCAGTCCGTTATAATGAGGACCCATTGATGTCTTTTTGGTCTGGCTTGGGGGTCTGGGGGGTACCCCCGGGGGGTCTGGGGCCCCAGGCTGGCCGACTCCAGGGACCCGGGGGCCTCCAGGTGGGTCCTAGGGGGCGACCTCTCCATTTTCGCCCTTTTCGCTCCCCCCTTTTTGGGGGGTGCCCCGCCCTACCCTGCCCTACCCTGCCTCTCCTGCCCTGCCCTGCCCGCCTGGTTCGCACTTCGAGCAGCCCTTACAGGGCGCGAGACCCAAGTTGTTTGTTGGAAACCCTCTTCTCGTCGAGCGGCCGGCACAGGCCGCGAGGACCCACAACCCGACCGAAACCATTTCTGCTGTGATTTCTGGAGAAATATTGTTGTTCACATGTCGAGCTGCGAAAGGAAGCAGAGAGCAAGAAAGCCCCCCTTGAGGGGGGTTTGGGGGGTGAACCCTAAACCCTAATTGAGAATAGTTGGGGTGGTTGGGGCGGGACTACATGCTGACGCAAGCGCGCGATTAGTGGGTGCGCCCCTTATTCCTAAAGTAAAAGGTGCACCCACCGCGCGCATACTGTTACACACCCTGCACCCTAAACCCTAAACCCTAAACCCTAAACCCTAAAAAGGAGGTTTAGGGTTCGGGCTCTTGGGCCGCTTTAAGGGGATTCGGAAGCCTCTCCTTAACTTCCTAGAGACTCCAATATCCCTTAATTAAGGGATACCTAGGGCTCCTTTAAGGGATCCTTTAAGGGATCCATAAGGTTTAGGGTTTAGGGGACTCCAATATCCCTGGATTAAGGAATATACCTTAAATTATAGTAGGATCCCTAATATGACTTAAGGTATATTCCTTAATTAAGGGGTATTGGAGTCTCTGGGTTCGTGCAGGCGAAAAGAGCCCTTAACAAAAGAAACTCTGGGCCACAGGAGCTGGATTTGGCGCAATACCCCTTAATTAAGGAACAGAGCTTAAATCATAATATGAAGCCCCTTATAATTTAAGGCATATGGCTTAATTAAGGGGTACTGGGCTCTCTGGGCCACAGGAGCTGGATTTGGCGCAACCGGCTCTTTTGGTTCCTTTGGAGTCTGCAGATGAGCCTTGGAGTGAAGAGAGGCCCCGTGCTTTCGGATCATGGGAGAGAGGGTTTAGTAGGGTTTAGGGTTTAGGGTGTATAGGGGTTTAGGGGTTGGGTTTAGGGTTTGGGGGGTAATGGGACTGACAGGACATTGGGTCTAGAGGTAAGTAATGTAGGGGCCTACTTAATTACCTAGGGTTCCCTGTAAAGGGCTCCTTAAAGGGGTCTATAAGGGATCTATAGTAGGGTTCTATAACATAGGGGCTTACTTAATTACCGATACTATTTTCGGGGTTCCTTGTTATAGTTGCAGTATAATGGGTATAATGGGCCCCAAAACCCTATTCTAATTTTTAAGGCTCCTATAGTAGACAAAGTCAGATAAACTCTCAGTAGGCCAAGCGGCAGTCCTAAGTATAATGCTACTCAAAACTCTATTTCTGCTATCCATGAACCTTCAAGCACTGGCGGGTTTTTTTGAGTTTGGGATTTTTCCTTTATCAGCTTGCCTTCCCCATCGTTCCTGAGAGGTTCCTTATTTCTCGCTGAATCCGAAACCTGAGCCCTAAACCTAAACCCTAGGGTCGAGTTCCTGTTGGGGGACGCCTTGGGTTCCGGGCCAAGTGCTTTACGGTTTTGAGTTTAGAGTGCAGGGTTTAGGATCTTGAGGGTGTGCGGTTCTGGATTTCGTGTGGAAGGGTTCAAGTCTAGTGCATGCATCAAACCCTAACTCGAAACCGAAACCCTAAACCCTGAACCACCAAACCCGAAACCCCAAACCCGAAACCCCAATCCTGTTTAGGCGCCGAAGCTATGGGATCCCAGGCTTCTTTGCCCCAAGTTGGCAACACCCTCACGGCTAAAGCCCCAGAAGCACAAATCATACCCAACCTTTAAACTTTTTGGGGTTCTTATAGTTTAGTAGGAGTTTCAAAGTTCAACCTTTTATTTCTGTGGCTTATTGGGGCAGGATGTAGTCCCCCTAAACCCTAGTAGCCCTGAGAGCCCTAGACCCCGCGGTGGGTGCTCAGGATTGTCTGCTTGTTCTACATCGTCGTCTTCCTGGCCAATGTGAGCCCCGAGGTTCCTTCAAATTTGAGATTGGGAGTTAAGGGTTTAGGGTTAAGGGTTTATGGTTTAGGAGTATAGCTAGGATGCCCAGTAGTACCCTTATTCCCTTTTTGTAGTCCTAGGTTCCTTATAAAGTTACCCAATACCAAAAAGAGAGGCCTTTTTATTCTTAGGTTACTGGGTATCCTAGATAGGGTTTGCAGAGTTTAGGGGTTTTGGGGTCTATAAGGGTTCAGAAAATGGCTCCTATACAGGCTCTTTTAAGGTTTAGTATATGGCTCGGTAGAAGGGTCACGATGCGGGTTGCTATAAGGGTGATAATAAGGTTTTATGCGACGGCTTCCTGATGCAAACCCAGGTCGCAACCCACTGAAGTCACAGTCCTGAAGGTTTGAGAATAGGGCTTAGGGTTTAAGGGTATCCCTCTGTCCGTATCGAAAACCTGATAGCGCCCTTGCAAAGAGTCTTTTCTTCACCACGGGTCGACATTAGTCTGTAAGTCCTTCTGGCACACCTGCTTTGACAAGATCCCTCTGGACTTCAAGGATCTGTTCTACAAAGGTGTTGTATGTGGCTCCGAAACCTACTATGGTGTATGCATCGGAATGAAAGGAGATTCGCCTGCACAGGCGAAGGCAGGCTCTCTGACACGGACATTTGCCCACTTGGGGCATCTGAAAGGCATCTGCCCGCAGTGCTTTGCTGGCACAGGCATGCAAGCATCACACCGCACCCCGGCAGACGTCCGGTGGTCGCGCCAAGCGTGCCCGTGGTACTCCGACAATCAAGGTCGCTCTTGATGCGCTGTCGAATGTGAGCAAATTTTCAACCACGCACTGCCTTCCTTGCAGGAAGCCTTCCACAAACGCACAGCCTCTGACTGCCTTGCAACATATCGCCGTAAGGGTTTGGGTGCTTTTGGGGTGTTTTCATTAGATCTGTACAGGGTCTTGTAAGAGAACTTCATAAATCCCACGAAACTCCAAGTGCTCGTGTATCTCTTACTTGTACCACAGCAGCAGTACTTTTCGTTAGGTTTCCCTAGTTTACTTATACGATATATATATATACACACACACACACCAAAATCTCCTATTCTACCTAGGAAGGCCGTAGTATTAGGACCTAAAGCCTAAACCCTAAACATTAGGTGTTGAAAGAACCAGCTCGCTGGTAGGTTAGTCTCTGAAGACTGCTTGATGTGATCAGACGTGTCATCGCTCCCGCGGTGGCTCAAGATGCATCCTTGAGGCCGGACAGGTGAGGAAAAGACAGACATGCGTCTTCCTGCAGACATGCGACATGTATGGATTGTTTCTGTGATGACTACATCTTTCATTAGGTTGGCACTCCTTTCAGGTGTCACATTGAAGCTCTTTGTAGGGCTTATCGCTGCCTTCCGATCAACATGGCAGCGGAGCCGGCGAGCTCTTTTGCTTGAGATCCAGGGCGGTCGGTGCAGCGACAACGCGTTCAAGAACATGGACAACAAGGACGATGATACCAAACGTGTCCCTGCCTTTGATGGCAGGTTGGATCAGTACCGGGATTATCGCAAGCGTGCTCTTCTCTATCTTCACGGGCTGGAGGACAATAAGCAGGCGCTTGCAGCGCCACGTCTCATCGCGAACTTGTCAGGCTCTGCCTTTGAATGTTTCCGCGAGAGGGATCCAGCAGATTATCGACAGGGTGATGGAGTAGAGAAAATGCTTGCTGTCTTGGATACGCGGTTCCAGTTTTCCCCGGAACAAGAATTATCCGATTGGTTGGAGAACTTGCTCTATAGGATGCGGCGCCGGAGGGGGGAGGAATCCACTTCATTCACTACACGTTTCGAGACTACAGTTGCAAAGTTGGAAGAATTGGTGACTGCTGAAATACGTGCAGAGAAACGCCGCCACCATGATTTGATCCGTGCAGACTTCAGAAGACAATCACTTGATTACATGGTGGCTTTGCAAGCCCACAATCAAGCAGTGGCGGCGCTCCCTGACGGACAGACGGCACCACCTGAGCCAACGCCTCCCAGACCTCCAGGCGACCTCCCAACAACGACTCCTTTCAGTTTTCCTGAGGTGCTAAAAGGCTTCTTGTATCTTCGCCACGTCGGGATCTCGCTTCAGACAAGGGCGAGTCTTCTTCGCTCGTCAGGCGGTTCCTTGCGCTACGACAAGGTGTCAGAGCTGCTTCGGAAGACCGAGCTGGACGCTTTGTTGGCGTCTCGGAATAACACCAGCAGTGCAGATCATAGCTACCTTGCCGACGCATACGACGACGATTATGACGACGATGATCCCGACGATGAGTGGCCATCGAACGACGACGATGACGATGAAGAGTATGGATGGCTTGCCGAAGACGAGGAAGCTGAAAACTTAGAAGATGACCCAGAAGAGACAGAGGAACCAGACGCTGAGTATGATGCGGCGATGCTGGGATACTTGGAAGCCAGGAAGCGGCTTATGGCAATGCGAAAGGCCAGAGGCTTCAAGGAGCCCGAGGCTTCAAGTAGCAACCACGGTAAGGCATCATCTAAGCACTCATCGGCTAAGGGTGGCAAGGGCCGCTCTGCCAGCCAGAGCCGTGGAAAGGACTTCGCATGGAAAGAGCGTCCACGATCAGACCGTCCTCGACCACGACAGAAGACTCCACCCCCAACATCAAGGAACAAGGGCACTGGCAAGAGCGGTGGCCGTGGACGTTTCCGACCACGCGGTGGACGAAGTTCATCAAGGAAGGACCCAGCGGGTTCCCAGTATTTGGGCATGGCTACGGCAACCTATGCCGAGCCACCTCCTCAGAATGCCGGTCTCAGTTTCCAGCCTGAGTTCAACTTTATGGCGGTGTCCCATGATCACTACAAGAATGCTGAATTCTGCTTTGTGTCTCGCCATGACTTAGACCCTTTTGAGAGGCTCATTGGTCGTTATCTTGAGCTAGATGAGGTTTTGGGTCTAGGCCATGGGGAGGACGGTGCAGTAGAGTCATGCTGTTTGGTAACACCGCCGGGCTATGCCATTCTCGACACAGGTTGCACGTCCACACTCGTAGGAGAGGATAATGAGCGACTTTGGAGCGCAGAGTTGCACCGTGTGTCGGGTGGCAGTCTATCTGCCGAGCGCGGGCCATCAGAGGTTCGCTTTGAGGGCATTAATGGAGAGACTAGGGCATCCCATAAGGTCAAGTACCCAGTGAGGATTGGTAGTCATGATGGCTACGTTCAGGCATCGGTGATTCCCGGCAGGGCACCCTTCCTCCTATCAATCCAGGCTTTACGTCAGATGAAAGCAAAATTGGATTGTGAGCATGACACGTTAGAGGTGCCTGGGATTGGTAAGGTCAAGTTGGAAGTGAATGCCGTAGGTCATTACCTATTGCCGCTCTTCGACTTCTCGCCTAAGACCGGCCTCGCAGCAGCAGAGGTTGAAGATCCCAGTTTCGGGCCGGAGGGTGATCTCGAGGTTGAAGAGGAGTTGGCCAGGCCAGGGAACATTAGTGAGACTAGTGTTCTTCCTAGTCTAGGTCAGACGGAACCCGAGAACACCCCCCGGACCGGACAGCGGGAGTTTCCATTGCATGTGCCAAATTTCAGTGCAGTTTCCCCTCGGAAGGATAATTACGCCAGGGCAGTTCTTCTTAGGCTAGCTAAGGAGACACATGGGCCGTGGGTTGCACTTCCACGGGAACTGCCAGCACTGCACATCATTCTCGGTAAGCACGGGTTCGATGAACATCGCGATCCGTGGCAGGTCAGAGCTGCGCAGATCGGATACAGGTGCAAGGTTGTGCGACGACCACCTCCACAGATGAGGGCTGCTAGTGTACTCGTACTTGCAATTAGAGATTCTTCCTTAGAGTTAGTGTCGGATTGGACTGAGTGCGAGAGCGCATGTGGAAAGCCGATCAGTGGATTTGAGCGCGCCCAATTGTACCTGTTCGTCTTCGCATACAAGCCTCGGGCCACAGTCGTAGACGATGTACCTTGCATGAATGTGACGGCTAGGGTTCCGGAGGGGCCCCGAGCCATTAGAACAGTGTTCGTCACGACTGATGGTCACACAGCTGAATTCTCCTCTAAATCAGCGAAGCACTTTATTATGCCTCCAAGGTCCAGTGGTTTGTCTATGGATGGGCTAGCCACTAGGAAAACATTTTGTGCTGTATCAGGAGAGTTGCTGGAGGAGCGTGTTTTCCCTGCAAGTAGGACCGACAGGCAGCAGCAAGGTAGGCTCGCACATCAGGCCCTGGTGGCTAGACATTGCTCGAAGACTCCTAGCGCTCAATCGGCTCCAGCTTGTCAGGAAGGTGAAAGTGACTCCGATTCCAATTCATTCTACAGTGCGGACGAGGGCGATGGCCGTGCAAGCGGGGGCATACTTCCATGCGAAGTGTCTCCATCAAGCGGGGGCGGAAACAACTCAACCACCTCCGTATGCCCACACGGCCTTGCACAACCTCGAACGCTTCTCGAACAAGACGTCGACGACATACCATTGTGCTCGATGCAGGCCCTGCAGAGCGTGCAAGGGGAAGGTGATCCAAATCTCCCATGTCACAGGTCAGATCCAATACTACCCCCTCCAGGACTGTGTGGATACAGCACTGGCGGCACCGCCGGGATGCCAGGAGGGCGATTTGGTTCAAGACCTGGATGCTCAGGAGTACATCATCGATGGCAGAAGCATCGACGGGACAGAACAGAGGATCCCCTATCCCTTTCACATCCGCAAGGTTACGCTGACCAAGGCAGCAATTCCAGGACCGAGTGGTACCGCATCGCAACGCCCCCAGACTGCGATGACAACGAAGCCACAGATCAAGGGGACCATCGGGGGCCGCACGGAGAGCTCGGGGCCACCGACTGGTATACCAGTATACCAGTGACCAAGGCACTTGCGACACCACACGTCCGAATGACAGTGGGAGGTCCACTACAGGAGGTGCCGTTGCCACAACCGTGCATGACCTCGGGTCCCCAGGGTTACTCAACACAAGGTCCGCCAGCAATTCCT